CCGGCCAGAGCCTTAGGCTGGAAGAGGGGATGAGCGGCCAAGCTAAGGGGATCTATCATGTTGCTGTCTCTGTGGATGGCTCTCAGAGATCCAGTCAGTCCAGGCATGAGGGAGAAGACACCAGGAAGTCACCTGTCGACCCCGTCAGCTTCAAGGCTTCATCAGAGCCCTGTCGAAGCAGCCTGGAGGTCTCCCTAAACTCGCCCTCTGCTGCGTCCTCACCGGGCCTCATGATGTCAGTCTCCCCTGTCCCCTCCTCCTCGGCTCCCATCTCGCCCTCGTTGCCAAACCCCCCCTCAACGAGCACCAATCACAGCCTGGACCCTAACCCGCTTCCTCCTTTCCAAAGCCCCAAACTCAACAGGAGCACTCAGAGACGTAATGAGAAAATGGCAAACCTCAATAATATCATCCACAGGCTAGAGAGGGCAGCCAATCGTGAAGAAACACTGGAATGGGAGTTTTGAGTCCCCCTTATGCTTGGATCTTATCCTGATGGCTGTCATGGCACATGTGAGAATCTCGAAAAGAAGTTTCTTGAAGACTTGGAACAGAGCCTGGCTTTTAAAGGCCTGTCATCTTAGACTTTTAGGTCATAGGAAATGAAATGCAGAGCTAATGGGGCTGAATTCCCAACATGAACTATAAGAGTTCACAAAAATTTATAATTGCATTTTTGTTTATTTGTTTTTTTTATTTTTTTTTTCTCTTTGTTTGTTTTTGTTTTTGATAATGCATACTACTTTTAAATATATATGTGACAGCATTAGCTGTTGTTTTACCTTTTGGACTTGACATAAGACTTTTGCAGCTATGGTGTCATAAGATGTACACTAAAGTTCTGTAGATTGCCACTGGGTGAGATTATAAAAGACCCCTGTCTTAAGCCATTAAAAGCACTATAACTATTTGAAAAGAGACATTGACCAAATTTGCTACTTTTTGAATAGCAATTTTTCAAATTTTGTCTGTAAGACTGGACAGTTTAAGTCAAGTAACATGAAATCCTATTACTGACTGAGGGATAGTCCTTTAAGACTCTAAATATTCAACATCTTGTATGTACTTAGTTTCTTGGTGATATGTTTTGAAATATTTGTAACTCACGTATAAAATGTGGTTGTACATGTTGTAGAATTGTCTGCAATAGCCTTCTCTAAATCTGATGTAGCATGGTACTCACCTGACCCTGTTATCTCTGTAGTTGGTCACCTGTGATTATACTTGAGCGAAAACAAGAGAAAAAAAAAAAGTTGAAAACCCTTCAAAAAATAAGAAAAAATGAGATGTTGAAAAATAACGAGTAGAGTACTTTTAGTATTTTATTTTTTCTTTAAATAATCCTTGAGGTTTACAGTTTAGGGCCCTTGTGCTATTGGTAGTAAGTGAGACATTCACTACACATGAGCACAGTTTACATGATTTCTTTCTGACTTACCTCTCGGACCCTCTAAGGCACTGGTTCTCAGACTGTAACAGGCCAAGACGCAGGACACTTGGTTTACCTCAGATTATGTTGATGTACATCATGCTATGACCATGCGATTCATTCTTCTACATTGACATGACCCACACTTATTTAAATTGATTGAAGGGACTTGCTCTGTATCATACCTCAGAAAAGAGAGAGATCATACATGAAGCAGATGGCTACTCTTACTAAGCAAAATCAGTTCTCTACAATGAATATGCTGCTGTTTGAACAGAAAGGGAGCTAATAATTCCTTTCCATATGTGTATTATGATGATGATGACCCTTCTCAAAGGTACCTGATTGAGTGCACTTTCTCAAATGGGACATTTTCTGTAAATAAAATTATGTGTACTTGATCAAACACCTCAACTTCTAAGCACTGACATGTTTTGCCGGGCAAAATGATACAAAAAGGTTGCTTTGAGCAACACTACAGTGCTGTGTTTGGATCTCCCTAAGGCTCACAATATGTGAAAGCATGATGCAGTATGACCTTTCATCAACAAGAAAACATCCAATCTGTAAGTATGCTACATTCAAGGACGCAAAAGGTTCCTGGTATCCCCTCATATTATCTTTGACCACGTGTGTATTGTGTCTGTAGTTTTTTGTTTTTGTTTGTTTGTTTTTTTTGTCATGCTTGCAAATGTTCTTTATGTATTTTGCCTCTATTTTATACTCAAATATTAACTAGATATTCAATACCTCGTGTATGAACTACTTACAGCACTTAGATTTTGATAATTGTGAGCACTCAAAAAATTTAAAGTTTCAACATTATCCTAACTTAGTGTCCACAAGTCTTTGCCTTTACTGTATCGTTGAAGTTGGTAGTAAAAACTTGCACATGTCTACATAGTTCAGAGGACTTGGATTGTATTATGTAGAGATATATATTCCACAATTACTAAAAATGATATCTTGCATTCTTGGAACACAACGTGCTGATTATATTGAAATAGAGTGTACAGATTTAATAAACCAAACCCATTTAAGCCAGTGCTTATCTGGCAAGCTTGCCCACATTTTAGACCTTCTCTCAGGGTAGTCTTGCTTTTTAAAGCTTTACTGAAACAGTTGCTCTCAGCAGTGGTTGTGACTATGATTAACATTATGTGGTGTAAAGAATGACTCGTATATTTAGTGGAAGTTGTGTGTAAATGGGGAATTCAACTTTCACAAAGGGTGGTAGTTTGATGGAGGGCTGTAGCTGTTTTGTAATTCATCGCAGATTGGTCAAAAATAAGTGTTAATTGGAACTGCCAAGGTGAGGCTAATGGGTTGCATTTTTTTGGGATCAGTGGACTTTGCTCTCAATTTTTTTTTTCTATCTTGAAGCCACAGAAGATTTTTCTCTGGTTTCCATACCACCATTTTTGTGCATAATATACTGTAAGATTACAAGTGGCATTTCTGATGTGAAATTTCATTCTCTTTCATGGTAACATGAGCATATGGCTGAAAAGAAATGTATTTACCCACACCATCATCTCTCCATGTAAAGCTCATCTTGTTGTTTTGCATGCAAATCCAATCTAGTCATATGAAAAGGGATAGACTGTGTTTTTATGTTATTCTTGCACAGAGACATTGAATAGGCACTTAGTCTTCTTTTCTTGTCTTTTTTTTAACATCAGTTAAGTGCATGGTGCAGCTGATAAATTTGGCTCTCACAAAATCATAATGATTCCTGTCAAAACAGAACCCAACCAGGACCCAGTAAACGTGACTTTCAGGTAAAAATTTTAATTACTTTGTGCCATATCATTAACCTCACAGGAGTGATGCTTTTTGGAAAAGTGTGTGTCTTTTGAGGGGTGCCGGGTTTTTGTAACTCAGCTCAGAAAAAAAGCAAAGCTTTTTGTACTAGAAGCCCAACACATCAGATTGTTTAATTTTATAAATGACATTTGTCACTAAATGAGGTAATTGGTTTGCAAAATTCAATGATTGTATCAGAGTTGGAAATAGGCAGTACAAGCAACTCTGACAATAAGGGTTTGTCACAAAGAAGGCTTTGATTTGAAAGTCAGCTGAGAGCCAATGAAGAGAAGTGTCTTGTGTTGCAGGCTTATATTACTGTCTAATGCCTCTCTTGTCAGGATATCAAATGTCAAAGAATAGATAAGGGTATGCCAAGCGTCTTGGAATTGAATCTGCATATGTAAGCCATCATTCAATACATAATTGTCTAAGATCCAGCTGTGTTGTGTTTTTATTTCTTCATGGAGCACCAAGGTTCAGCTTAATGTACACAAAATACCATGTGTCGTATTTATCTATGATAACCATCATGTAGAATCTTTATCTGTTTGGAGCAGCTATCATTTTCTAGCTGCATCAGTAGTTCATTAACCCTAAAACACAATCGCTGGGTGATTTTCACCCGACCAAACACGTTTACGCGATTTTCATGATGTTGCGTTTGTCTGAGTATCATGGGTCTTTGGGTAACTTTAGCATTGCCTTTGACATCTTTGAAGGCATATTTGTTTCCCTGATCCAAAACCTGCTTTTTCCTACAGGCACGTGTTCACAGGGTGATTTTCATCTGGCAATAGTGATAGAGGGTAAAGTAGGTTTGGGTGGATTTGATAGCTGCATGTAGGGAATAAGGTCAATAAGAGTGGTCCTGGAATTTGCGTGTTATCTTTATTTAGTGCAGTGGTTATGAATAACTATCACAAAGTAGTGATTTTTAAGGGAATTCCTATGGTGAAAAGAAATATTTTAGTCAGCTGGTCATTTTTACTCACCCAAAATATGCCATATTTTGGTTCTCTCAAGATTCAAGAGATTCAGGATTTGTTTATTTGTCATGTGCATGTTAGACAAGTTCAACAGTGCAATGAAATGCCCTGGATGAGAGGACCTCTCAACTCAAAGGGGCACAGATAAAACACACAATAGTACTGAAGAAATACAATAAAATAAGGATACAAAAAAAAAAATGTATTTATAATTTTTGACAAATAAAAGTATAGGAGAAATAGTATAGTGCAAGAAATATTTACAAGTGAAAAAGCAGATATTTACTAAGTGAAAAGGTGATGCAGTAGGTGCTGAGTGTCAATGTATGAGATGAAGGATAAGTTGGTGGGATAAATGAGGTATGAACATTGCTGTATTGCACATGATTAATAAGGGTGTACGAATGCTGTATTGCACATGGTATTGCACATCATAGATGTTATTGCACAGAGTATTGTTTGGTGAAAATAAACAAAATTGACTCGTGTTTTCGTTGACTATATTGAATGGAATAATTGAATGGATGGATAATACTCGGACCCGTTAACTTCCGTTGTGACTTCTTTTTTTGCATCCTTTTTTATTTGCAGCAGTGGCGGTTCTCGGCCGCCGTATAAAACCTCCAGACCTCTGAAATTTTGATTGTTTCCATCTTAATCTCTCAGTATTGGAGAAGTCACGGGCTCACTGTTTACATCAACGTACCGCGTGGTCTGTCCGAGCCCCTCCCCCGCCCAGAGCATCATCCCGACGCGATGACGTAACGCGCTCACGTAGGTTGTTGGGCTGGAGAATTCGCGACGATGGCGACGACGACTCGGTGCTGGAGAGGGACGCAGTGAAGCTGGCTTCGGCTCTGATATGACTCATTCTTATCTGGTCGAGGTTTGTTTGCTGCTCAATAACTGCACGGGCTTCGGATGAATCTTTGGCTCCTAACTTCTCCTCACTCCGTGTGCTGGTGAGTGCGCCGGTCGCGGTCGTTCATTTGTGTGTGTTTTGACAGAGGCCTCCTCTCTGGGTTCCGCCCTCCATCTCACAACAACAAAAACAGTTGCATAGCCGCGCTAGCTTAACAAGCTAATGTCAGCTAGTCAGCTTACTGCCTCGTCTGTGTGTCACGGCTACTAACGGCAAACTCTTAAGTACTTCGAGATTACTACGGTGCAAAAATGCTCTCCAGTCGACGCAAAGATCCGCTCTTTTCGGTCTTAATATGCACTCTGAGTTAGCCGAGCGTTAGCGTGCTAGCAATACTTTGGGGACGTGTTATCTTGATTAACTGTAGACGTTAGCTCTCATGCTACTGAGGATCTGGCACAATCTGGACCTACACGACAAGAATGCACATCTATATTAACTACTATTGTTAACTAGCTGGTGTTAATTGATATTTGGAGTTGGTAGATATCTCCCGTTTAGACCTAATGTTAGTAACAGTCTGCTTAAAGGTGTCTCCATCAGTTATGTCGCAGAGGACTTCGCCTTTTGCCAATCTTTAAGTTTCATTATAACTTATTTCAGGAATGATTAACTTGATTTCTTTCGGTTTGACTGTGAAATCTTGAGGTTACTTTGGTGTCTTTGGTAATGGTGTAAATACTTTGCTAGTTCACATCAACATAAAGTTTATTAGTATAAAAAAGTTATTCATTTACTTCAACTTTTAATGAGTAGCTTGTTGTTTATTTGTACTTTTTGATTAGTTTTGAAATTAACACTTTCATTTAATTATTTTCTGGACAAAATATTGCCCTTCACTACATTAAAAAGCATCAATTACTGTATAAAAATTACAAATCAATATAAAAACTTTACATTAAAAGCATGGTAAGCAGCTGAGCAGATGTCTTAAATTGTGTAAAACCCTCCTACAAGGTCATTTCATCTCATATTTAGTCAAAAATCTAATTTAACTTATTGTAAACTTTCGCAAACTTAAGTCCTGTATTTAAAAGATTTTGTACTTGCTGCATTTGCTGCCACTTTCATCATTTCAATTAATAAGTCTTTATTCTTGACTCTTAATCACATGCCTCTCTACACAGGAGGAGGCCATGACTTTCAGTGCAGAGGTCTTTTAGAAAGTGTTGAAAGTGTCGTGCAGAGTACTGTTTGTTATATTGCATAAAATAGTTTCAGAAATTATGTTTTTGCGTTATTGGGGGTACGGCTTATTCCCCTACATCCAACCCCAGTGTTAAAAAGTACTACTAAGTACTTGAATAACATATCAAATGAAGTATTTTTTACTTTAATGGGGTAGAATTACAAACCAGCAGTTTTATTCTGCTTCAGTAAGATGTACTTTTAATTTAGCAGAATTAGTTATCTTTACTGTTGTGAAACTTTTGCTTTCACTTTCAGGCGCCTTATATGCTCTTATGTTACTTCACCCTTTTCATGGCCACAGTTCAATATTGCTATCCAAATGTCAACTTGCGTAATCTTAGTGTTGTCAGTGCATCGTCATGATCTCTGCACATATTTGAGTCTGAGGGTGGACTCTCTGCTTGAAAATGTTGCAGCCTGTGATGCACGGTGGCTAGTCACGGGACAGGAGTAACGTTAAGGCTCTAAGGGGCTTAGCCGTCCCTGTGTAACTCTGAACTCAGATCCAGACTGAGCCGTAGCCACAGGTCATAAGCCCGCTGCAGTAAATAGAGCCCTGTGTGTTTGGCTGATATGCTTTATCTGGTAGCACCAGCAGTAAAAACAGGGCTCCCCAGTGAGTGATGTAATGACCTCCGCCGGCTGCTTTACATCACTTGACCATCAGATGGGACTGAGGGCCGTGTCAAATGCTGATGTAACAGTTTTTATAGTTTTGCTCTTCTGCGTCTCTAATGTTACAGAAAAGGTGTGTCAAGTTCTGCTCACTCACTGACCTTCTTAGCTCAGGTTTCAGTCTCTGTAAGAGTAGCTGACCTAGACAACCACTTTTAGGCCTGAATACCAAGTTTTGTAACAGGCGCTCTGTTTTAAATCAGAAAGATTGAACAGAAATGGTCATTTCTTCCTGTTCTAATGAAAAATATTTTTGCAGATATTTGATCATAAATGATATATAATACCAGCATCTAGCCCCACACTTCAGCTATGACTGTGGCGCTTCTGAATAAGTTAAATAGACACATGCTTGTGATGTTAAACCCTTTTTCTCCTAATCCAGATGAGTATTTATCTCCATCTCCACAGATTTATACATCTTACTTGTGAGAGCTTACAGACAGAATCATCAGGACATCTCATCGATACTGATTGTCAGCGGTAAGTGTGAAATATATTGAACTTTTTGGCCATGACAGTTTTAGTTTTGCATCAGCAAACCCCATACCCAGTCATTTAGAAAGTACTTCCACATCCTGATGATTGCATCACATTGACAGAATGTAAGCAATTTTTGCAGGACTTCAAATCGAATCCCTGCATCTAGTCTTATACAAGATCCTTGAAAATCTATCCGAATGCAGTCCAAACAAAGCCAAAAGAAGCACTAAAACTATTTTGGCAAAATGTGGAAGTGTGGCGGAGAGAGAGATCGGACAGGAGATGTCTCAGTGATCTCTGGCAGGTTTCAAATCGGGGAAATTCAGTTATTTGGACTGTATCTTCAACCTTGAGCCAACGGAACCTCAACAAAGGTGAATCTGTATTTTAGTTAACAAACCATCTCAGAGAAATTTAAAGCTTTACAGTCAGATTTAAAGCCACATAAAAATTGTGTTGGATACTTTAAATAAGCAGTTGTTTTTATCAGGTTCAGAAGTACTTTTGATCTTTTGTTTGTATGTTTTATAGGTTTGTTAAGCTGTTTTGGAAATATTTACCTTAGGTCTCTAACTTCTTGCTACACATTATGATGTAACTTCTGTCATTCTAAAATGTCAGAAAAAACAGCCTCTAGTTACAGAAGTCAGTAGTTCAGAGAAAATATGAGTTTTCCATCAGAAAAACTTAACAACTTTCTTTTTTCATCGTTTACAGACTGGTCCAGGCCGGAGGTCTTTGTTGGGTGACCCACACTCCTTCACAGGGGCCATGGTAAAGTACATTTACTTCACACATTGATAGCAGCTTCTCTGTGGCCTGTGCGTGGGCTGATGAATCAGAATCTTCCATTGATTCTCTTTTAATCAGCTCTGTTTACCAGAGAGCAGACACTTCAATGTCAGCTTTAGCCGTGTCGAAGGTCTTCAGAGGCTGTCGTATAAGCAGGGCAGCTTTCAGTTTTCATTAAAAGCTACCCTGCAGACAGAAGCCCCAGCAGAGCTTATTGCAGAATTTTCCTTCAGATTGCTACACCAGACCCACCGGTTTGGATGCATTGCTTGTCGAATGGTTTGTGTTTGCATGAGTTTTCGTGAACTTGGCATGCTGCCGTATACCCGCTGCCCCCACGGTTGGCCTCAGCACTCTGGTCCTCTGGCCATTACACTTGTGCGTATATCAGCTGTACCAGCACTTGGAAAGCAATCAACAGGCTGCACGGTTGCTGTCTGGCATCTCTTCGACCACCTTTATCATTCTTTGAACACCATCCAGAGTAAACTCTGTTCTTGACCAAACACAGCCCATAGATCCTCCTCCATCTCTGCGAGTACAAGGCCAGAATTTTTTATCCAGTCGTTTGCCCTTGAGGAAAAATCTCTGACTCTGCTTGAACATTCTCCGACAGAGATATGTCCATATCATATAATATAAACTAAGACATTTTTTAATCAACTAAGCAGACCGACTTTTGGTGAAAACTCTGTCATTAAAGGTCCTGTTAAGAACTTTTGTTTGCGTCAAATTTGGTGCCCCCTGTGGACAAAGCAGTCTTAACTTATTTTTGTGTTATTTATAAAAACAAATCTCATCCTGCTGACTTTTGATGGTCAAATGTCGTATTTTTAATGAATGTTTTAATGGAAATCATAAAAACATGTCTGTTTCTTCAGCGGCAAGACTTGGACCGACCCCCCTCAAACTGATTTCAGACACAAAAATAAGGATATAAAGATCTTAAGTCTTGCTGCTGATGATCTTGTTATATCTATAAAGGGATCAGGATTCATTTCAGTCTATTTCATACATGTCAAAAACTCCTCACAGGAGCTTTTGCATAAAGAATATATGATTTTTTATCATTTTCTTAAAGGGTCTTATGTCGAAATATGAAAGTATGTTTGTAACACTGACTGTCATCTGTTACACCACAGCTTGTTTTGACAATGGCTGATTATAGTAAATCAGGCTGGGATGTTTATTACAGTGTGGGTGGAGAAGGAGAAGACAGCCACACAAAGCAGGTTGTTAGTAATCTGAAATCCAATTCCTAATGCCAGGAAACCGAGGCAAATCGAAGTGATGGAGTCACATTTCTGTCTTTGCCTCAAAGATGAAGTCTTTTAGCTTCCCAAACTACTATAAAGCAGCGTAATGGTTGGCTGGGTATTTACGTGAGAGTGTGCTCGAATGTGATAAGGTTGTGGTTGGTAAAACTTGATACGCTTCAGTGCCATTTATCGTCTTTTTCTCTCTGTAGGAGGAGGAGGGGCAGCAGCAGAGCGGTATCCAGGCCAATCACTTCTTCCCCAAGAAGTCTCCCGTCTTGGAGGAGGAGAACATGCAGGTGAGGAGGCCGCTGCTTCATCCTTGTATACTGAGTGTTGATTGTTTATGTGTAGGCGTGTCTCTTCTTGTAACACACTATGACACAATTGCTTTTAAGTCACATCACTTTGAGCTTTATCAGCTACAGAAGCTGAAGTGTTTCTGACATCTGACATGAATTACTTTGATCGTGAATGCCCCGTTTACCTAGCTAGCTCAAGGTGAGAATGATAAGCTGTTACTTACCTGTCATGTACTCTATGATTTTTTTAAAGTCCTGGGGAAATAAGCTCAGAGTGTACGAGTAAATCATATATGACACACCAGTGAAGCTCATAATTTATGAGTTCCCTCTATATGGTCCAACTTTCAGGTGCTCACTCTGAGTGAATTAAATCTGATGGAGCTTTGATAACTGTCAATAAATTTTCCTTTTATGACACCCACACAGGGAAGAAAGAGTCAGATGATATGACTTCAACACTTATTATACAACTATCACCTTTCTGATATGACCACACATGAATATATAAATAAAAAATCTTTAAAGGAAATACATTCATGTCTTTCTTTGTTTTGTTCTCAGTTACACAGTCGTTTGTGAAAGCTAATCAGAGTTGGCATGTTTCCTCATTACTGGCGATGGTTGCGGCTCTCTCAGTTTGTTTAAAAATGTCTCATCTCCTGCGGTTGCTAGGTGCCCTTTCCTGAGCTGCATGGGGAGTTTACAGAGTATGTGGGGAGGGCAGAGGATGCGATCATTGCGACGTCCAACTACCGTCTGCACATCAAGTTCAAGGAATCTGTTGTCAATGTAAGTATATCTGAAAAGTGACACATTAGCTGAAAGTTCAGCCACTCTAAAAGAAATGAGGGAAGAATGAACCCTGTTCTCTCTAACAGAGACTGTGAATGTGAAAGACTAGTGTTTTGTGAATGGACAGAGCTGGGCCCAGTGTGTCAGCAGCACTGTGGTGACCCGGCCATTCAGAGCTGATTTACACAAGCAGCAGTGCTGCATGACTTCTCCTCTTTCTAGTCCAGCCTGCCTGCTCTGCTTTCTCACTGCACCTGCTGTTGCCTTGGTTGCAGAGGTCCCTGCCTCTCCTTCTCAATTCACAATGTTACTGTAGAGAGACGAGCTTCTTTCACTCAACAGTGGTTTTGGAAATGTTCTCATTTATTTTTAAGTGTATCTTTCTTTTCAGATTCTCTTTCATGTTGTATTTTTGAGTGAAAAAGTTGCTCCTCATGATTTTACCTTCATCTAAATGACCAAAAGAGAAACACATGTTTTGTTCAGATCCTCAAACTTCTCTGTTGTTGACGTGCAAAAGCAGAAGTTGAACAATAACAACACAAGACCGAGCTGTTTGTCAATCCCCGACCTGCTGATTGTATTTTTCTAGAACTGAAATTCATAACCACAAATTACAATGTGAAAATCAGTCTAATTTAATCGCTCTGCAATGCATCAATCCTTTTTTTGTCCGGCCCTCACTGGTCATATGTTAACTTGTGACTTTGTTTTGCCGAGGTAAATTATCAGATGTTCTCAGAGTCTGAGAAAGTGCAAGAGCGTATCCTGTGTATATTTGGTCAAGGCTGATTTTGTGGTTTCGGGTCACTTTGAAACAGGTTGTAGAGTCAACAGCTTGCCACACTTTTTCTCCCGCATGGCTCTGATGCACCCAAAACACAAAATTGTGCAACGCTGAATTTGCAAGTGTTTGGGACGGCTCCGCATGTGGTAGCGTTCTCGTTTCAGAGAAAACGTCGATAAGCCTTCAGCTCCTGGTGCAGATTCTGGTTCCCTGTGCTCACTTTAGACCGAGCCAACATTCTCCTCACAGATATTTGGAGTCGATGAGGCATTTGCATCACATGGCTTCACTGTCAAAGCTCGCAAATCAGGGGTGGGATGTGCTGCAAGGGAGTGATAGTCTTTAACAAACATCCCAGGAATTTCAATGGTGGCAAGATAGGGGATGTAGATTAGAGGGCAGGAATTAAGTTGAAGCAGCAGGATGCCTGAACATCCGGAATGTGCTGGGGTTGCTGTCTCTCATCGACAGAGAAAGTCCAAAATCGACATGCATCACTTTTACACATTTTCTCTCTGTTTCTCTCTGGATAGGGTTGTTGTTGTGAGGTGTCAGTAAGTACCTGGCAGAGCTGCATGGCGTGGAGTAGTGCCTGTCTGAACTGACTGTTGCTTTGAGGTCTTGAATCCTGCTTGTTCATTCTGTTAAATAACACGCAACGGGAGAAAGTAGTGGTGAATTAAACCGTGTGCTGTACAAACCTATTTACAAAAAGCATCCAAACTGCCGGACCTTGAATGTAGCTCATAATAAAGCAGCAAAATTCTTAATCAGGGACTAACCCTCTACTGTACTGGGAGCTTTGCTTTGCATCGATTTGCAGCCGTTCTTGCATGACTTTGGTCTGAGTGTGAGCTGCTGCACACTTTGGATGAAAGCCCACCGCACTACAGACATTGCTTTCAGCTAATTAACAGAGCTCGGTCAAAAGCTCTAGTTCTTTTCCCTACAGTTTTGGATGTGTGCTCTTATGTCATAATAAGCACATGACATTTCCGTACTTTGGATGTTGTTTGCTTATAAAAGATAAAACTGTAGACAGGCACTAAGCAGGAAATCCAGAAACAAGCCAGTATCAAGTTTTTCTTGTTCTTCTATTTTAACTCGGATTAAGAAGGTCATGTTTATTACAAAAAGAAGCTCAGGGCAGGACACTTATTGTGGTGGTGGGGTGTTGGTGTTGACATTCAGGGCTTCATGAAAATATTTCAAGTAGTGCATGAACACAATACATCGAATAAAACCTGTTTCCACCACATAAGTTTACTCAAAATCAGGGCTGTCAGCATGAATGCTCTAATCCTGATGCAGGTTTCTGTGGGTCTCCCTCAGAGGAATTTTCATGCACTAATTTGTGACTTTTATTCCTCTTTTCATGATTATGATTTTACCTTTTTTGGTGTCAATCCTAAACCTCTATTATCATCATCATTAATACATTTACTTATTTGAATAAACTCATAAACATGTTGGCTTAAGAAGTTTCTGTTTTTCAGCACAATCCTAGCGATGGCAGCTTCTGTGAAAGAGCAGCATATGTGAAGTTTGTTTGCTGTCAAAGTGTCGTTCAGAATTTGATCATTTCCATCGTTTTCTGTAGTTTTACAGGTTTTTTTAGTGATCTCAACTTTTGATGTGCAGCAAGCTTAATTTTGGTTAATAAACAGGTCAGGACTGAAAGAGAAAGGTAGAAAGAGACATGCCGTGTAGTATGCAGGTTAACAGTTGTCACTGTCCTGTTTCCGATTAAGCTGTAAAAAAAAAACCTGATTATTTTATAACTACATTTGAGGCGTGAATCCTGCTGACATCTGTTCTTTTGACCGTCTGTGTCAGAAGAAGTCATCTTTGAGATAGTTTCACTCGTGGGTCCACGATCGGAGGCCTCAGGGAGCTTGTTATGAAGGACACAGAGCAACAAGAAAGTGCAAAGTAACACAGCACAAGATGATTAAAACAACTGCATTAGGATGTTAGGAGAGATTGCATTGAAGTCCTGTATTTAGAGACAAAACAGGAGATGTCTCTAATTAGAGGATACCTGCACTTGTATTCAGGGTACAGGGTCATAATACACCTGGACGGCCCGTCAAGTATGGTCTTAATGTGGGAAACAATGCTCAGGGACGTGTGTGAAAAAATAATGAGAGTGCACAGACATAAGTGATCTCTTTGTTTCCTATCTTGGTGCTTAATGGTTAATCAGTTTATTCAGATGTTTTTTTTTAATGTCAAAATTTCTGTATTTAGATTCTTTTTTTTACCGTGAAAGGATTTTCTGTAGAGCTGAAACAAGTAAAAAGACAAGATACCCTTCCCATCTTACCTCAACAGGAACATTAGCATTGTTGCAGCAGTACAGGCACAAAAATAATTGGTCAAATTACTGCTGATGGGAGCCAGAACATCATTATGACATCTGGGCTCTCCAGGCTGGCTGTATGGTTGGTCATGACTCTTTGGCCTTTAAACACGGCTGAAAATCCGCACCATGTGCACAGTTTCCACATTTTAATTCAGAATGTGTTAATCGAGATTAATGCATGATTTGTGGTCGACCACAGTACTTGCACTGATACACGCACACATATTTGGCTGGTACTTTTCAGTCTTTGTTTTGATGCAGTTTATAGATTTCCATCAAAGCTCGACAGACCGTAGAGGTAACGTTTGTTCTCTCTTCCACAGGTTCCTCTTCAGCTCATTGAATGTGCAGAGTGTCGGGATATGTTCCAGCTACATGTGACCTGTAAGGATTGCAAAGTCATCAGGTAAGACAGATTATACACTCCTCTTTGTCAAAGGTTAAGAAATAATAAACTCTTTTGTATCCTGTTACATCCATCTGCTGGATGACAAGCTGGATAACTCCTCGGTTAGGAAGTATGTGCTGTCTCAGGGTCTTAATAATAAGAATTTGTAAATTCCTCGGCTCTTTTTTCTCCCCAGGTGTCAGTTCTCCACTTTTGAACAGTGTCAGGAATGGCTGAAACGTCTAAACGCAGTCGTGCGCCCTCCCTCTCGTCTGGAAGATCTCTTCTCCTTTGCATTCCATGCCTGGTGCATGGAGGTGTACGCTGGCGAGAAGGAGCAGCACGGGGAGTTGTGCAGACCAGGTGACCCACTATCTCCTACATGTGTGAACATGATTCCTGCAGAATATTCACTCAACCCTGAGCTTATCTGTCATCTTTACTCTGACTGTAGGGGAGCACGTGACCTCCTGGTTCAAGAATGAGGTGGAGAGGATGGGCTTTGACACTCAAAACGCCTGGAGGATATCTGACATCAACAGCAAATTCAGGTAGGATTGTTTCCATTCAGGTTTTTGCTGCTGTGCCCTTTTCTGTGACAAGAAACTGGATCTCTTCTTGGTGTTCAACACAAGTTTGTGCTCGTGTTAGCCTATGGTTTGTTGTGTTATTGTACCTCACTGTTATTGCCCCTCAGGCAGTGAGGAACCTAAGCTCAGGATAAGATGTCTGTAGATGAGGACTTGAATTTAGCCATACAGCTAACTGGAATCCCCGTCTGTGTTTTCTTCTTGTTTAATCTTTGCCCTCTCTGTCACCTTCTTTGCCAGGCTTTGTCCCAGCTATCCTCAGCAGCTCCTGGTGCCAGCCTGGATCACTGACAAGGAGCTGGAAAACGTGGCAGCCTTCCGGTCTTGGAAGAGGTTTCCTGCTGTAGTGTACAGGTAGGTGTGTTTGTTTTGAGGCACTGAATCAAACCTGTTTACTACCACACAGCAGTGAAGAGCTTCTTATGAACCAAGTGATAATGTTGGTTAAAGGTATCAAACCATCTTTAATTAATCATCTATATATTATCTATATCTTATAGGCATATCATCTATATAAACAAACTATTACGGGGCTGAAATGATAAGTCAAATTAATGATTAGTTGATAGATGATTTTAATAATCTGGGTAATGTTAGTTTGAACTATGAAAAAAAGTTACAACAAACATTACTTCTCTGCAGATGGAAAATTTGAATGTGTTTGAGTGTAAGAAAACTGCTGTGGCTTTGGAAATGACCCTTTTTTTAATTAAAATAAACTGAAATTTTACATGCAAAATGTTTAATGCAGTTATAAAAAGGATAGATTAATTGATGATTGAATAAATTGCTGTTTGAAGTCCAGTTGATTAAAAAAAAAAGTGCTGAACGACAACAAAACGTACTGTTTTCTGTAAGAGAGGGAGGGACAGATAATCCTGAATTTTATCCAGGACACATACCAAATTAAAAACCCGAGACAGTGGACTGCCTTTGTTGTGATGTTCTATCTAATGTGACTCCTATAGGCACCAGATCACTGGAGCTGTAATCGCCCGCTGCGGCCAGCCAGAAGTCAGCTGGTGGGGCTGGAGAAATGCTGATGACGAGCACCTGGTCCAATCCATTGCCAAGGCCTGTGCTGTAGACAGCAGCTCCCGTAAGCACCTTTCCAACGGCGGCTACGGGAACGGCTCTGATCTGCCTGACACAGACTTCGGTAAGAGTTCACGCTAAGTATCATTTGCTCGCTGACATACCGCGCACTACACCTACTCATGAACACACAGGTGAATACACACCCACAACCACAGACTGACAGACTTCTTCATGCAGAGCACTTATCTGCAGGAGTAGCAGACACTGTTGTGCAATCTGATCTGTTAGGGCTTGTTTGAAACAGCAGCCTCACAGGAAGATATGGATCACAGGAGCTGTTTTTTTTTCTTTGAAAAGGCAGATTATTTTGAGTTTGTGATCATCTTTACAAACACCTGCCTGAGTTTTCTTCTTCTTCTGTTGTCTTTATTAGAATCCTCCATGACCAACAGCTCAGAGGTGGAGACGTTGGCCATCCAGCCCCATAAGTTACTGATCTTGGATGCTAGGTCCTACGCTGCTGCTGTAGCTAACAGGGCCAAAGGGGGAGGCTGCGAATGCCCAGGTGGGTCTTCTCGTAAACTGCACCTGTGGTTGTCATGCTGGCCAAAATGAAAACCAGAAACATGTTTCATTTTGTGTTTTTGACCACCATTTTTCCTCCTGTTCCTTCCTCCTCTAGAGTATTATCCCAACTGCGAGGTGGTGTTCATGGGCATGGCCAACATCCACTCCATCCGCAAGAGTTTCCAATCTCTGCGGTTCCTCTGCACTCAGATGCCTGATCCAGCCAAGTAAGCAGTATCTCTTTTTTTCCCCCCTCTGTTGTAACTCTTTTTAGACAGTCAGCTTTAAAGCTTTGCTGTAGTTTCTGTAGGTAACAAGTAATCACAGCTCTGGTTTGATCTTGGCCTGAATGCAGTGCCAGCGCCTTTTTGATCCTTTGGATGCTCTGGCTGTGGAAACTAACTCAAAAATTACTTTGTGAAAACTCAGTCACAGACTTAATCTTGTGCTGGTATGCGTGCAAAATTAGTCGAAGTTGCAAAACTTTCAGCTAAGAACAAAGTGAAAAAAAAATCAAAGAGTGTGAACCAACACGTGGTTGAGATCCTGTGGGCTGAGGGCGGTAAATCTAGCATGGAGACCAGGGTTGAGCTGTCCTCACTACAGATTGAACTAGGGCTGGGCGATATGGCCTCAAATCAATATCATGATATATTGATCAGTTCACCTCAATAACGATAAATGGACGATAACTACCACACAATCTGCTCACCCCCTCCCGAGTTAACTTTGTCTACTTCAGCGAATACAACTTTTGAACCGTCCTCCATCTCCTCACTTGTCTTTCCCTCTTTGTTACTGGATGGGGGTGGAGTCACGCCTCTGACGTAGGACAGCATCTTAAAGGGACATGAGACTATAGCCTACCTACACACATCCAAAATCTACTTTTACACTGAATATATGGATATGGGCAAAATGACGTTGGTTAATGTCGTAAATTTCGGTATCTGTAAATTTTGGTTTATCGCCCAGCCCTAGATTGCACTGAGAATGTCCTTAAAGGTTGTCAGGAGTTCAAAACAAGGAATAAGGTTTTATAAAACATCCTCCTTCATCTTGATCCCATCTTAACACATTCATTCAGATCACATAGTTACCCCTGTAGAGCTTCCTGTCTTTGGGCAACCTTTGCCTCTGCTGCTAAAAGCTCTACAGTTTTTAGAAACAATGTTTTAGTCTGTGTTTGTCCCGAGAGCATGATTGTTGACAAACCTGTAAAATTTGAAAGTAAAAATTGAGTCACAAGCTTTCCTGTCAGACAAGGACGCTCCGGGTTTCTCAATACATAGGATTAGCGCAGTCTTTGAAAAGACAACAACAACCCAGATAAGACAAAGTAGGTAAACATTCACTCATAATTGAAGTAGGTCATGGTTTAAAGTGTCACATAATCTTTGTCCAAATAAGCTAAATCATTCGCTAAGTCTAACAGAACAACACTTTTTTGCCAATAATCACACCGACTGCTAAATACTCGGGGCCAGACATGGATTCAGTTTGATTCAGAGTTGTCTCAGGATTCAGGGTCAGAGTTCATCCAGGACTGGGGAAAGAGTGTAAAACAAACATAACAGGGTCTGTTTTTATCTTCTTTTGACGTGAAGATGCTGGATGAAGATCTGTAAAGGTGTGGGACAGAGTCTTCAGGATTTGGTTTATTTTTGCCTCAAAGTTTGTCATCTGAATACTTTCTTAACCCTTAATTCTTCACAGCAGACAAATCGTGACAGATGTCAGCTTGTTGGGTCAGGTTCTGCCATGTTCTGAAGTTTTACCAGGATGTCCTCACTTTCCCCTCTCATCCTCTTCTCCAGTTCACTCAAACATACATGTTCATACCCAAATAAATGTATTTCTCATCGTTGTGAAAGGGCTGAAGATGAAACTTGTTTTCCTTTTAAACACACGCGCTGCTATCTTTTAGTGGTTAAGGCTACATGAGGTCCTCTTATCTGTGTGTGTTTGCAGCTGGCTCTCTGCGCTGGAGAGCACCAAGTGGCTGCAGCATCTTTCCCTGCTGCTGAAGGCGGCGCTGCTGGTGGTCAACGCCGTGGACCGAGACCACAGGCCTGTCCTGGTGCACTGTTCTGATGGGTGGGACCGCACACCTCAGATAGTTGCTTTATCCAAGCTGCTGTTGGACCCTTACTACCGCACTATTGAGGTACAGACACAGAGTCTCTGCTCTCTCTCTCTCTCTTACTGGCATCTGTTGACTCTTTTTCTTGACCGTGTCTCTGTCTTCTCGCAGGGCTTCCAGGTTTTGGTGGAGACAGAGTGGCTGGACTTTGGCCATAAATTTGCAGATCGATGCGGTCACGGAGAAAACTCGGAAGACCTGAATGAACGCTGCCCTGTCTTCCTGCAGTGGCTAGACTGTGTTCACCAGCTGCAGAGGCAGTTCCCATGCTCCTTTGAGTTTAATGAGGCCTTCCTGGTGTGTACGAGTTTATAGAGAAAGTTACCCTGGTGGTCCTTGGAGCTTCACGTGCTTCTTATCTTACCTGTCCTGTGGATACGAATCTTTGCATGTTTGTTTGTTTTTTTGTGTGTATACAGGTGAAACTTGTGCAGCACACCTACTCCTGTCTATTCGGCACCTTCCTGTGTAACAGCGGCAAAGAGAGGGAGGACCGCCATGTTCAAGAGAGGACATGCTCCGTCTGGTCACTGCTGAGACCAGCCAACCGCACCCTGAAGAACATGCTGTACTCCTCACACTCTGAAACCGTACGTCCTCCATCTCCTCTGTTACGTCTAGACTTCTCAGGAAGAAGCGATCAGTCCAGTTTGTTATTTTATCATGCTTCTGAAAAAGTCTTAAAGACACCACCCTTTCGAGAAATGCATTCAGTGGTTTATGTTGATTCACATTTCTGTGTGTGGGTTTCATAGCTGTAAATATTGTTTATGTACCATGACTGGGAAACCATACTGAAACAGCTCTTAAACTTTTCAATGTTCTTGTCAATCTTACACAAATAACCCCCATAAAAAAAACACCAAAGCAGCTGTTAAATCTTATTTTTCCTGCGTTATTGATGCCCTCCAAATGTCTGGTTACATTCTTAGTGAAGTCGCTGCTGTTGTGGTTCGCAGGTTCTCCACCCGGTGTGTCACGTACGCAACCTGATGCTGTGGACGGCGGTCTATCTGCCCAACTCCTCTCCGACCACCCCTTCCGATGACTCCTGCGCCCCCTACCCTGCGCCCGGATGCAACCCCGAGGACACGCCCCTGGCCAGGTGAGCCTGGCTTGCTGGAACCCGACCCCCTTCTCTTCTACACTCATGTAAGATCGAGGACTCCCACAGTCCTGAGGAGCTTGACTTTTGACCGCCGCTGCTTAAGACTCTCTGCTCCGCTCAGGCCCTCAGAGCCGCAGATTCTGCTTTGTGTTCTGCTTACTTTGTGTCTCGTGACACAACAGCAACAGGATGTTTCATCTTCGTGTTGACACAGTTTGTGACAGCGAGCTCTAACTTAGTGTGAGCTGCATTTTCCCTGCGTTGTCGAAGTTGACCGTATTAAAACTGTATCTCAATGTGCGGCTACAAGTGGATCACCGGAGTTCGAACATGAAGAGCCGTTGTTATGTAACCAAGTCTGTTTCAAAAGCATAACTCTGCTCTTTCTCTCTCTCTTTAGATGTACAAAGACTCGTTCCTTCGATAACTTGCCAAGTGCATGTGAGCTGGGGAGCTCCCTAGCTCCCAACCGCCGCTCCAGTGACCCGAGCCTAAATGAGAAATGGCAGGACCACCGGCGATCTCTGGAGCTCAACATGGCAGTGGGGCCTGAGGGAGGGGGCAGCCAAGATCAAGAAGTGCTGCCCAACGGAGTGGGGCCTTGCTTAGAGGGAGGGGACTCCGAGCTGGACGAGAGCCCTCAGCCCAGAGTCACACACGCTGAGCTCGGACACGGAGCCTCTGGAGGCCCAGCAGAGGCAGTAGAGGAAGCAGAGGAGGCCGAGCTCTCTGTGGTGGTAGGTGTGGCAGAGGGCCAGATGGAGAACATCCTCCAGGAAGCCACGAAGGAGGATGCAGGCGCAGATGTTCAGGCCGAGGAAGGTACTGTCGCCACGTATGATATAAACACTTCTGAGACAGAGATGGGTAAGGAGGCTCAAGCCGAGGAGGAGGAGGATGTGTGTGCTAAGGTCAATGACTCTGAGACTGAGACAGGAGCATTTGCAAATGGTCACCATCCAGAAAATGGTGTAATGGAGGGTGAGGAGAACATGTCTCCCCCTCCTCCTCCTCCTCCTGCCCAGGAAGCAGAGGAGCTGGATCAGAAAGCTGCCGAGGTCACTCGGGCAGCAGGTGATCCAGTCGAGGAGGAGAAAGAGGACTCTTCTGTACAAGAGGAGCTTTCACATGGACCCAGTGAGTCCTGCTCAGGTGAGCCAGTCACTCATAGAACTATAACTAATGGCTATTTGGAGGGGTCACCTGAGGAGCAAGGCGTGGATGAGGAGCCCTGCTCTCACTCTGAATCTGTCAGTGTTAACTTGGGGCAGGTTGAGCAGGTAGATAAGAGGGCCTCCCTCATGGAAAGCTCCACAGAGACTCTAACTGAGGAGGCCTGCAGCAAGTTGGAGCCGCCAGCACATTCCCCTGTTTGCCCAAGTCATCAGCCCTGCAGTGAAGGCAAGAGTCACCCCCCCTGCTCCAGGAAGGAGAGAGGAGTGGAGACAGCGGAGCATGGCTTTTTCAGAACTTTAAACGGGGGCAGCAAGCGTCCCTCTGTCAGTGCCTTTCAGTCTTTCAGTGGTGACCTCAGTAGGGACGGGCTTTGCAATGGCGACAACTCAGAGGGGGAACCCTGCACAGGACCTCACTGGGCCAAAGGAAACGGGGAGAGGGCCCCTCTGAGCCGCCAGGTGTCCTTGGCGAGCTGCAACTCCCTGATCCTCCACCCCAGAGGCAGCTGCTCACAGCACCGCTGGTGCCACGCCCTGTTAGGCCGGGCAGCAATTAGCCCGGAGCAGCCGTCCCGCAGCCACCTGGACGATGACGGGCTAACGCTCCACACAGACGCCATCCAGCAGAGACTGAGGCAGATCGAGGCGGGACATCAGATGGAGGTGGAGACGCTGAAGAAACAGGTGCAGGAGCTGTGGAGTCGGCTGGAGAATCAGCAGCATGCTGGGTCCCACAGGATCAACGGAGACATGGGAGATGAAGTGGTAAGACCTGTAAACTCTGAAATTAGACTGTCCAGTATCTGTGTTAGCTGTGACTGTAGCTCATACCACTTCCTCTTCTTGGTTTAAGTGTATCTGGTCCTTTTTTCTGTGTCTCCCTTCGTGCAGACCTCAATTACAGACTCCGAGTACAACCTGGACCCCAACTGTTTATCACGCTGTAGCACAGAGTTCTTCTCTGAGGCCAGCTGGGAGCAGGTGGACAAACAGGACACTGAGGTGAGCAGCTAGATTGAGGTATAAGTAACACCTTTAAGGTAACGGTTGTGTCTATTTAAAGAGTCCAGAAATGGCAAAGAAATACCGTCAGATGGTTGGTGGGCTGCCCTGAAGACGAGAGCTGGGAAATGAGATCAGTCTGTGCTTCACAGGTGACGCGTTGGTACCCGGACCATTTGGCAGCCCAGTGTTACGGCTGTGAGAGCAGGTTCTGGCTTGCCACCAGGAAGCATCACTGCAGGTAAGAACTGAGAGATTTCTGTCTGCAGGAGGGGATATTTCCTCTGTTTAGGTGTCCTGATAAATCCTCTGAAGCATCACTTGCGTTTCATGCATTAGTTTGGTTAAAATATCCCTTTAACTCTGACACCACAACGACCTCTGCTCCTGTAGATATTCTGTTTAGCTAGAAGGCTAGCCCTGAAGAGAGAGAGAGAGAGAGAGCAGCAGTGGTCGAGTGACCTATGAGTGAGTGATGCTCATAAAGGAGACAGTGACTAAGAAACTAGAACCGTGTTATTTTGTGCTTCGTACAGAGTTCAGAAATACGTCCTGGTCTTTGCACAAACGTGTGAGAGAAAGATTGACTTTGTTTGTATGCAGCTGCTCCTTATTTGTCCCTGTTTGTAAGTAAGTGTGTGTGTTTCTCCATCACTCTCTGTTTCGCCCATAGCTCTTACACAACAATGACATAGACAAACAGTTTGAATTAAAGGGTCAGGAAATAACCGTGTTTTGTGGAGGCCTTTTGGCGTCTCGTCGTGAGATAGAAAAGTTACATTCGCACCTGTTTCAGAGTTACAGACAGCAGAGAGGAGAGTTATCTGATGGCTGTTTTTTCTCTTGGTTTCGTTCTTTTAACTGAGTGAGAGATCAGCAGAGAAATGCCCCAAACATGGACACATAATAATGACCCGAATCCAAAAATATAACCCAGAGAGCATCGTCCCTAAAAACATCACCAAGACTGTGCAGAGATGCATAAATGTCCACAGCATGTATAGCTCACACATAGATAGGCGTTATTAATGCTTAACAACATTGACCAGATTTGGAGAAATAGTCCTTTTTGCAGGACAGACCTTGCAGATTTCAGTAAAGCGATGCCAAAACCACATTCTGCACGTCTTACAATAGCGCGTCTAGACAGTCTGAACTTGTCACTCATTAAAAACATTAAATCATGACAGAGGGAAACCCAAAGATAACCAACAAGATATTTTATTTTCAGTGTTTGAAATGTTCTCTTTGCACTTGAAGTATGTGGTTTGAATGAGTAACAAACCATCATAATCTGTTTGTGTCAACATTTTACAAAGCTCAACTTGTATTTTGGGAATAATGTGATTACATATGATGATAGAAACCATCACACTCCCTGTCTCCTCTATTTAAGAAACAGAAACAGTTGCATTTCTGACTGTTAAGTTTGTAGCTTTTGCCCAAACCAAAACATGCGGGTAAATAAAGACTGTGACGATAAATAATCACATTAACAGTCAGATTTGAAGAGGTAAACATCAAACGCAGGATTTAGTCTGTAGCTAATTCAGATTTTTATCTCCTTGCAAAAACACAAATCTTTAGCAGAAAGCATGTCAAGTGCTCAGAAGGTATTCATCCATTGTCTGCCCCTCTCCTCTACAGTGGCAGGGAGCCTGTCCAGGAGGTCTGGTGAGATCTGGCTCCTCTGTCCCCCCCACCTCCACTACCCCACCCTTCACTGTCCATCCTTTAACCTGTCAATGCTGCACCTTTCTTTTAACCCTTCCCCCATCCAACCCTGCTCTTCCCCTCCTCGCGGAGTGCCTCCATTCTGTTGTGGTTGTCAGTAAACTCTGAAGGGAAATTTTCCTTTTTTTATTGATTCTTTTATTTTTTATTTAAGTGTGGCTATGTAGAAGTTGATGGCTGTAGCAGATGCTGGTAACAGTGGGAGAGTAGGGATCGGTCAAGGGCTGTTACTTTGTTTTTGTTCATTTGTCAAATTGAAAAGAAAAAATCTAAAAGGAAAAAAAAACACTCCTTGAAATGTCCCCTCCTCCTCCTCCTCCTACCACAGTGCCTCATCCACGCCCTGCCCTCCCACCGCCCTCTTTGCCCATATCCTGGCAGCATGCTGCCCCAAACCAGCCCACTGCATCTCACCTACCGAAAGCACAGCATGCTACTCAGAGATTAGTCAACTCTGTTGTGTGAAAGAGTTTTCACTTAAGGTCAGCTCTGTATGTAATCTGAGCATGGGTATCCAGAGCCTGTGTTACCTACCTGTCTTCTTGTCTAGCAGTGATGGGCAGAATAATCAATTGAGCAGCAGTCAGTGACGGTCGGCCGTTCCTAAAGCAGCATGTGATCCAACATCAGGCTCATTGTCTCATCAGCTTCCTGCTTTAAAAACGCAAAAAAAACCTCCAACAACTCGACCTTTTGTTGCTAGTTAAAGCCATCTCAGTACTTCTCACTTGACTTGCATGGAATGAGAACGATATAGGATGTGTGGTAACAGTGCTATAATATTATAATCTCTATATGAAGTGCACACTAACTTGGGCTGGCGTTTATGTCTTACACTTTTGTCTGTTTGAAGTGTGTTTGTTTTTTTCTGAAACCAAAATGAAACTCTTTATTCACTAATCTGAGGGTGGGTGATAGCTTCATCTGATATGAGCATTTTAGTTCGACCTCTAACTAACATAGAAATGTCACCATGTTTCGTGACAAAGATTTGCTAGTTAAAATTTTGTTAAAAAAATGCTGATTATGATTAATTCAGATGTTTTGACTCGTCATGTCTTTATTAATGAAATCACTTGTCATCTAGTTAATTTCCAACATGATTAAAAGTTCAGTTTAATGTGTTTTCAGTTTAATATCATGATTGTCCACAAATCTTTTCTTGTATTAAATACCCACAAGTGAGTCCTGCTGTAGGTCTGGATGAATCCTTAATGAAAAAAAGTTTTTGTAAAGTTCAATTTTAATTCTGTTTATCATATTTTAATACCTTCGGTTTCCTGCTGTTTAAAAATGTAAACCTTTTTTTTTAAACTGTATTTTATTAAGTTTTTACAAAAAAGAAAAACATACAAATAACACAGCAGAAATAGCAATGATGTACAAATGACCTATACAGCAAAACTATCAAAAAATCCAAAGAAGAGAAAAATAAGTGAATAAAGATAAAAAATAATTTAAAAATCATAATAATACAAGTAAAAGAGTAGGAACAGAAATAAAAAAAATACAACTGAAAAAGTAGCAGCAGTGGAGACTTGAAGACCTCAAGTTATAACAACATCTTCATCGTCCAAAAATTCTGTAAAAAGTTTCCATACTATAACAAACTGTTTTCTTTTCCCTCTGACAGTTTATGTAAGTCTTTCCAATTTGAACTTTTTTTATGGAAACATGAATTTCTGACCCTTCTCAAAGGTTAACCTTTAGTAATAGTCAATAGAGAGATGGACAGACTCAAATAGTCGAAGCTCAGGACTCACTGAAACTCTGTTGAGAGAGTAGCTCACCTCCTTAACTGCATACCATACTCTAAAGGTGAGTACATAGTGCAGTGACTTGTTGCTGCACGTCACCTCTCTCCTCTTATCACCTTTTCCTGCTCTTTAAATCAAAATCAGGAGATTTATCCCAGAATTATCTGAGTCTGTCCTTGTTACTCTCTGTGATAACAACATCTTTAGGAGAACCTCAAACAAAACTGAATAAATAAAATTTCAAACTTTTGTGCAAAATAATCAACAATCAAACCCAGAAATCTGAGCGCCTCATGAATTTGGAATAAAACTGTAAACATTGAGTGTTTGCAAAGTAGAAGCATGTTGACTGTTGGTTTACGATCTCTATCTGAGGGTCCATTATCGACATGCGTGTGTGTCTCCCTGCAGGAATTGCGGTAACGTGTTCTGCGCTAGCTGTTGCGACCAGAAGATCCCAGTGCCAAGCCAGCAGCTGTTCGAGCCCAGCCGTGTCTGTAAGACCTGCTACGGCAGTCTCCAGCTGAGCCCGGCTCCCCTGGACCTGGAGCTGGAGAAACCCATCACTGCGAGCTCCAACTGAGTTTTTCAAGGACTGGAACAGGAGGGGGAGCTGGGCTGAGCCGCCAGCCGCTGACACAGGCGCACTGCTGAAGAAGAAGAAGAAGAGCACAGGAGCTACATGGAATGTCCTATGTACTTAATGTGTGTGTGGTGTGTGTGTGTGCGTGTGCGTGTGCTGCAGATGTGGAATTTAATGTGTACATACTGAGGATGTCTCAGCGGAACAGCTGAACGGTGTGACCGCGTGATGCAGAGCGCTCTGAACGGTGGGTGTGTATAGAGGTGAAGTGTGTGAGACAGTGTGAGGAGAAATCACACGTTCATCATGCAAAAGGGTTTTCGGCAATGACAGGTGTGCGCTGTGAAGCTAAGAGGAGTGAGAATGGACATCCTGGTGCCTTGGACCAGGCAGGCAGAGGAGGTTGTCTCACTGTGTCGCTGAAGTCTCTCGGAGGACTTCGGTACATTGAATCATTGCTTGTCTCATCCACTTCTCTTCAGACTTCTTTGTGTCCACATCTCTCCCAGCGTGGACTTCATCGTATCTCGGAAAGATTAGGATTAGTACCAACAGGAAAATGTCCAGACAGCACACATCAGACAGCTCCACGAATATCTGGCGTCCAGAGAGTAGTCGTAAGGGTCAGTTCACCCAACATCCCCCAGATTAGATGTTTAAAAACAACTCTTTGTCCAAAAAGTAGTTAAAAACCAAGTAATGAGTATTATTTTTATAGATTTGAAGTGATACTGACACCAGAACAGTGGAATAAAACCTTAAAATGATCTATTTTAGTTAATTTACTGTAATTTTGCTTTTTTGTCATTAAATTGTTACAGCAGTGAAAAGTAAAAACCCAAAGAGGAACTCAAGGTAACCAGTTTTATCACACTTCTGTTGAGCTTCTGGCTTTTCAAAAATGAAACGCTAATAATAGGAAAGAAAATCTGCCACATCGTGTCCTTAGTTTAGGTTGGATCCAGTATTTAAAGCCCCTGTTACGAGTGTTTAACTGGTTTTGAAACAGACTGAAAATAATCCTGATGCGTCTTTATGATCTACAGAAGTAAACACCACTTGACTTGTACAGGACAAGATCAGAGGAGCGATATGATGTTTATATTTGCCCACAGGGGATGTGAAAAGTGACACAAACCAAAAGTCGAGCAACTTGATTTTTTAACGTCGTTTCTGAGTGAACAAAAACACCTAAAGCATCTCTCTTTTTAACATCAAGTGGTCCTATTATCTATTTTATTTGGGTGAACTGACCCTTTAAATTGCCTGGACTAAATCTGAACTCAGCAAGTGTGTTTGCCTGAAGTGATTTTTTTGTGTTTTTGGTGCACATTATAAAATGTTCGGGCACATCTCAACAAATTGGAATATACTGAAAAAAATAACATATTTTCTGTCGATTTCAGAAAGTGATTTGAAGGAGTCGAACCCGAGTGCTGAGTAAAAATTAAGACGCACACGTTGGGATTTTAACTCTCTTTTTTAATTAGTCTTCAGAACAACTTTGAGGTGCTATATTTGTGATTTTTTTTAAGCACCTGATAATCAAAATCAAAACCAGAAAAGACGAGGAATGCTTCACCTTAACATCCAGTAAATAGAGAAAATCTTAAAGTTTACATCAGATAAAATAAAATAAAATAATTTGCACAATATTCCAGTTTGATGGAGATGCCCCCTTTGTGTGCATGAGTCTGTCTTTCTCTTTGTTTTCGCCCCCTCTCTCTCACTCTCTCTGTCAGCTTACAAGTGAGTACAAAAAAAATCAATTGCTCGCAGTTTTGTCTGCATCAGTTCAGATCTGACATTGAACATGTTGAGGTTCACCCCGGAGTGCAATCACAGAATGCTGGATTCTTGAACACTGAGGATTTTTAGAGATTTCAACAAAACCGAGGCCGAGGAGGTTTTTTTTCTATGAAAGTTTCACTCTCGCTCTGCCCGCGGTGAACAGAGAGACGGTGTGTACTTTCATTTTCATGGTCAATAAGCCCTTTGAGGAAGTTTGTGATGTATTGAACATTTTTAACATGACCCCTGAACAGCTGACGGTCACTGGGCTCTGCTGCGATCACAGCCTGTTAGTACTGGTCTGCTGGAAGGTTACACTGATGTGTTGTGGCGTTGTCGGTTTGTGTCAGACAGCAGTTGAGCTGAAGATTGATTGTGCCCGACACGGACCAACTGATTGTGCGAGTGTGAAATCTCTCCTGTTAGCCACACCTTTATGCCCTTCACTCTCCACGTTTCCCTTTTGTTGTGTTTACCCAGCAGGCACTGGGATCTAGACATTTTGTGGTATTCTCAGCCCCAGTGGACACCACAAGTGAAGAAAAAAGACCCGGACACTTTCAGACTTCTTCACTCAGCTTTTTCGGACTTGTTTTCTCTGAAGGTGACGGTCGACCTCACTTGTGATTCCCGCTTCGATTGGCTGAAACAGTGAGAGCGCTCTCGAACGCCTGCTCTGCACACCCATTCAGTGACCTCCTCGCACACGTAAACATGTTTTGTAAAATAAATGAATGAAATAATATATTCAGATACCTATATAGCATTTAAGAGAATTGTATTGAATCCTTGAATAGTGGCTCACTTAATTAGTCACCAAAAAGTTTTCTTTTTTTTGTTTTTTTTTTTTTACTTTCTTTGTTTTCTTATGATGTTAATTGCAGAAAGAAACATATATTTTGCAACCTGTTTGAAAAGAGCAGGTGTTTTTTAAATAGAGAGGTAGAGAGGTGTACTGTTTTGATGCTGCAGTTATTTTCCCTTTCAAATGCGATGATTACTAATTTATTTTATTCGAGGTTTTGATGTTTGAATTGCCGTGTCCTCCAGACAATTCAATCGCCGCGGGATAATCAGTGTTTGTGTGACGGGAAATGAGCAATTGTTCTGATCTTTGGCTTCACTATCACTCATCATCAGCTGTGATGCACTGATTTAAGAACGGTCCAACAGAAGCTGTCAAAAAAAAAAAAAAAAAACCCAAACCGATCTGACACATACACCGAACATCTATATTACTCCATTCAAATCCATCTCCAAACAAACACTACCTCTACTGAGCACACACACGCATGTTAGCGGACACGCACACTCGCACACTGAGCTTGCGGAGTAACTTACTTTTTAAATCTACACCGTGAAGAACGGCGGTTGTCGTCATCGGTCTTGAACACGGCAGAGTTAGATTTCATCTTTTTGTTGTGACTGCCAGACTTCAAATCCTCATCATCCAGCTCGCCGTGTGAGCTCAGGCCGAGATAGGCGTATAACCACCGTCGTTTTGACTATCATAAAAAAAATGCATAAATGAAAGTGTGTGATTTACAACGTGATGCTATAATCAACCTGAAGCTGTGCGTCTGATCTCGTGTCCCTGACGACCTCTGTTGAACTGATCGAGGTGTTAAAAATCAGGTGATTGAAGTATGCAGCGGCGCCACAGTTTTAACAGGTCAGAACACGAGGTTTCCAGTCTTGGTTTAGCTCCCTGCCCTCTTTGTGAAAGCGCAGATCTTTTTATGTAACAGCTGCGAATTCCTGCGAACACAAAATCAGGACTTTGTTGCTGTAAATTTGATTCGACAAAAAAATCTCTCGGACAGGCGTCACGATAAGAACGGCGTTAACCGCATCAAATGTGCAACAGCTTCATGACTGGCCTGTACTTCATTAATGATTTGCAGTCAGAGTTTTGACCTTAGACTGAAGCCATAACTGCGTGTTACTCCAGCTCAGTGATGATATGAACTGGTTTATATTCTTAGGCCTTATCCTCTTCACAGATATATTTGTACCTGTACTAAAAGACCGCGTTTCAAACCTGGAGGAGTTTTCATCTGAGGCTAAAATTCTGTCACTTTTCCCGCTGAAACACTGACCAGAACTCTCTTTACCATCCAAAGCATGCAGGCGACAAAGCTTTTCTTATAAATCAATCCATTAATGTGAATTATCTAAAAAAAAAAAGAAGAAAGAAAAACAGGCTATTTTTTGCACATAACCTAAAGTCGACACTGCCAGAGTGCATCAGAATAAGACACAGTGTGCTGTTCAGTATTGTGGCGAGCGCCATGGTTGTCGGTTGTCTGTGTGGGAGGGCTGGGTAACATGGTGAACAGGTCATCATTTAACACGTCGCCAGGATGATCCCTTGCTTTTGTTTTTGTTGTTTTTTTTCACCCCCTCCCAACAAGTTCTCTCAATCTGCATTTGTTGTATTTCTCTTCACTCACGCTGATGCGCTATTAGAGGCGTCACTGCAGCGGCCCAGTAATCACTTGACGTGTGTGTGTGTGTGCGTGCGCGTGTGTGTGTGAATGCACCAACCGTTTGTGCGACTGAGTGTGCGTGAATGCGTCTCTTTTGGTGGAGACTGGTGCCAAGCAGATTTACTACGGGTCTCTCACAAAAGGGATCACTCGTGCTTTTTGTTTGATTTTCCTCTTCTTTCCCTTCTGTTTGATAAGCACTTTGAACCCTCTAATGTCTGTCAGAGGAGTGTGTAGCTGTACATAGCAATTTCCTGTAACAATAAGTGCTCCTTGTTCAGTCTGAATATTTTGTTTTGTTGGATTTACTTTAAAGAGCATTACATTGTTGTAGAATTAAAGGAGAAATAAACTAGATAAACCCGCTCTTGTTGTTGTTCGTTTTGCACTTGATTCCTATCATAGACTGTATATATTATGGACAACTTGGTTCCGCCTTCTGTTACTATATGGATTTGAGGCCAAAAAGCTCTCGGTATTTCTGTTTTTTTCTCCACTTCCTGAAACCAACATTGCGCAGTAGCGTTCTATGCAGGGTATCCCTCGGGTAAGCTACACAATCTTCATACACCCGTAGGCTTTATTGAGTGTCAATCATAGAAAACATGAACCCCTTTTTGAAAATGGAGCTGCGTAGAAAAAAAGAGAACGAATGTAAAGTCATTTGTCTGAATGGATTGCATGTTATGTTAAGTAGGGTGACCATATTCTGACTTCCCAAAAAGAGGACACGACTACGCCGGGGCGGAGTCACGGAGTCGCACTAAGTTAATGTTAAAGAGTTTTTCAGGTCGGATCGAGTGTCTTTTACGTGCTCTTAACTCAGCAAGTCCACATGACACAAAATCGAACATATGTACAAAACAGGTAAAAGAGGACGTGTGGTCACCCTAATATTAAGTCGATGCAAAGACACGATTAGACGCTTCTTCCAATCTGACGGCGCGAATAACGTGACTTGGGCGTGAGCTGAAAATGTCTCAACTTGAGTGGATATTCGCGTCAAGATAACTAATCAACATGAAGGTTGCCGGGTGACGTATGAAAACGGACGGTTGTTCACTGGTTTCTAAAATGGAGGACAAACTGATCGTGTCGATGTGTGGGTGCTCCAAAATATGTGATACCTTTTCTTTCAATTACCAAAACCGAAAAGTGAGTGAGGAGGTCAGATTACCTGGTAAATTGTAAAAAAATGTCTATCACTTGATACCGCAGGTTGAATCTGCAGGGATTACTGTTGAAATTACCTCTGACGCGTGAATAAAGCAAGTAAATACTATTCAGTCAAGCTACGAATTAAGCAAGTAGATGATTTTACTCACGCTTGGTGTGAGCGCCCCATCACAGTAACTACATGTCAACATCGCAACCAGGGGGGAGAAACATTTATATTCTGTATAATAAATTTCTAAAGTTTGTCCACAGCTCCATAGCGATTGCTGGAGGAGGCGGGATTTATGACCTATACTGCAGCCCATCACCAGAGGGTGCTGTTCTCAGAGCTGCTTCACCCAGCGAAGAGGCAGACTCTGTCCATTCTATATACAGTCTATGATTCCTACCTGATAGCTGTGACTAAAACACACAAACACACACAAATAAAAGCAGTCAGACTTGTCAATCATGTTTAATGCATGGACTGTGATTCAGCCCTAAAAATCAAGAAACTCTTAAATCACTGTCTTACATCAATGTCTACTTATTGAATGCAAATTCAAGTGAATACATGACAGAAAAGAACAACCAATAGAGAGAATCAAGATCCAAAAGTGACAGTGCTGCCCTAAGTTAGTCATGCTCACTGATGTGACGAATGGTGGTGGTCTTACTGGCTCTAAAGAAACAATACTAGAAAATAACGACCCCTGACAGTTACTAGACTGAATAATCACTGCACAATAACGGGACAGCTGTACCATAATTAGCAGCGGCAGCAGCAGCGGACTAAGAGCAAGCTGAAGCGGCGTCAGCCAGCCTGACCGCACAAACGTCCAGCATCAGAAGCAGGGCTGCGTGTTTCTTGATCTTAAAGTTTGCTTAAAACATCACAAGGAACACTCGGAGCTAAACATTGCTTAATAATCGTTTTACAAACTATGGCCAGACAATAAAGCAATCATATGCAGTTATTTATCAAAGGCTTTATAGTCGAGAGGACCAGAGATGTGATCCGAAGAAAGAAGACTGGTCATATAACAAGATCATGATTTTAACTCCTGTTCAAATCCAATCTCATGTGCAAAGTGTTGCCTTATCAGACCTGTTTCATCATCATTTCAGAGCAATTAAGAGCTGTTTGGATTCTCTGCACACAGAGAGGAAACCGGACATTATTAAGATTCGATTCTGGTGAAATGTTGATCTTATTTTTCTGAACCAACGTCATCAAGAATCTCCCTGCAACATCTTTAGAAACTCATTTTTAAAAAAAATAGACATGGCTTCACCAGCCGACTATTCCCTTTATCTATAAAAACTCACACAGCAATATATACAACTTTGTTTATATGTTATAAAGTAGATTCTATTGATCTGGAGATCAGCAAAGGTTCCCTGCCACCACGTCGTCTTCTGTGGGATCTCTCGCCTGAAAGCACAAGTCGGAAAAGTGGATTGTCGCAAGGAGACGCCTCCCAGTGCAGGTTTACGTGTTGTCGAACGAAGAACTACTCTAAGACTGGACTATGCACAGGCAATGGGGCTGACAGACTGAGGGGTGTGTGTGTGGAAGTGTGTATATGTGTGTGAGATTGTGAGTGTGTGTGCTTGCACTTAGAGTAGATCAAGGGATTCCCAAAGGTTCACTTCAACCTCCAATCAGGAGCAGACAGGATCTGGATTCACACTGAAGACTGATCCCACACCTGGAAGACCACAGTAAGGAAAGGTCACACTCATTTACACACACGGGTATGATGCGTAATCTTGTCTTTTTGTGGAAACGCCGTCTGTCTGTACCTTGTTTACAGGGGCGAGTTGTGTTCTGACAGACCCGGCGTGGAGTCTGATGCTGTCCCCAAATCTCCCAGGAGACCTCTCCCTGCGACTGTCCAGCACCCTGCCCGGTGACTTCTCCCGGTCCAGAGGTCTGGCGGGAGACTTGTCCCTTCTGAACTCGGTGCGACCCTCCCGGTAACGATGCGGAGTGCTGGGCTCACGGTGCAGGCCGTCGTGGCTTCCAGGGCCTGAGGTCAAACGCTTGGTGATGTGCTCTGAATACGTGGGTGGACCTCGTTTACTGGGACTACTGTAGATACACAGACGTTGAAGATTCAGGTTTTAAAGGACTAAAGTAAAAAAGGTTTTATGTTTTTACAGCAGGTGGCACTGTTGGCCCTTTTTTCCTGAGTTGCCAGGTTTGGATTTATGACTGTAATAAACGTTTAAAGGTGGGGTAGGCAGGATCTGAGGAGGTGCCAGTTTCTGGGAGAAATCTTGAATGTAAACTTTACCCTACCAACCAGTTTTCCCCTCAGCTCCTCCTCTTTGCTCCAACAAGCCCCGCCCACAAACAGACGCTCCTGCTCGCTCGTATCGTTCCAATTAAATTCAGATATAATGCAGATAAATACTTCAGATAATTACAGATGGGGCCCAGTCAGTGTGAAAGTAAAAAGCATTGGTGCTACTGTAGATGCCAACAGACTACCAGCAAACACAATGTTTACAGGACTTCTACAACGAGGATAAAGTGACATAGTCCAGGACTCGAGGTCAACAGTTTAGCGGCGCTACAACACGCTACAGCAGGTCACGTTTGACAAGAAACACTTCTGTTACAGACACTTGGCTTACTTTTCTGACCAACAGAAAGGTTACAGGGTCCGGAAGATCTCAAAGTGTCCCCATCGTTTATGCTGATGTTGACCCGGCTTCTCAGCTCTTGTCCGGTCTACCTTATTCCACCAGTCTCCGGTATTTACTTCGTTTTCTTGCTTGTGTCGGCAGTCGTGGTCAAAGGAGGATTCAGACAATTTTCTGAACTTTCTGGTTGGTTTCTACTGTCTGATATTGTAGCACGTTAAATTTGTTTGGGCTCGTGAACGACACGGGAGAGCAGTGTCTGCCTAACGACCAATCAGGTTGGGGAGGCGGAGAATGGTTTTGTTTACAGTCAGAAGGAGCGGGCTGTTTGAATTTTTTTAAATGTTGACTACACAGGCATAACAAAACACAGGGATATCGTGATATTACCAAATGTCATTAATAACTAATAGATATTGACTGATATTAAAAGCTTTTTTGTATATAAACCACAAAAAATATTGCTTCTTTAACAGAATCCTGCCCACACCACATTTAAGTGTCTTTAAATCTGCGTCTACATTATCACATGAACAGATTTGAAAGTCGCTGACCCTCTGCTGGAGCCGGTCCTCTGCAGCTCTCTAGACTCTCTAATCAGACTCCCCTTACAGCAGATGACGCGCAGTTTGTTCTGATACGAAGACGCCAAGTAAATGGCTCCAGAGGAGATGGCTGGGCCCAGGTAGCGAGGGTTGGGGATGTCCAGTTGGGCCAGCACTGTAGGACTGGAAGCACAGGCACTGATGTTGAAAATATGGCTGACAACCAGCATCGGAGTATTTCAACTAATGTCCAAAGAAGCTTTTGTGTCTCACCAGAGAGAAGCGTGTCCCTGAACCTCAATCACATCCAGAGAGTTGAAGTAGGTGACGAACAGGTAGGGCTCCCTGTAGGCTGTACCCACCGGAGGAGAGACGAGCAGAAATGTGAGGCTGTGTTTATAAAAACTGATGAAGACATGAAGGAGCTGGAGTCACTACATGAATTTACCAAAGGAGAGGGGCAGACGGCTCCACTTGATGTCATCTGTGCGGCTCCTTCGTCCATACATGTCCACGAAAACTCCAAACTCTACCAAACAAATAAAGCTTACTGTTCACTCTTCTTTCTGCCTTAGGGCTGGGCGATAAAACGACAACGATATATATCAAAAATTAGTTTCCCTCGATATGGTCAATATGCTTTTTGATAGCCGTAATTCTGCCATGTTTTGGTAGACTATACGAATAGCCAATGAAAAGAGGAGTTGCTGCCATGCTGAACCAATTGAACAGTACTGTTGGTGAGAAACAAAGAAAATGAGTGCTACCCCCAACAGATGAGCACATCGTCGACAACGCTGGCATGAAAACGTTGGTGATGTGGAGGTATTTTGGTATTTTGAGGTTGGACATGAAGAATCCCACTGAGCAACAGACGGCTTTTAGACGTCTAGTTTTTTTTCTAGACCTTATTTCAACCGTCTAGATTTTGTATATTTTTAGACAGAATATAGACGTTGCACTTTAACCCATCATTCGATAACTATTTATTTTAAAAAGCAACTGTGAGTTGCACAACTGATCTCCAAGTACTTAACCAAAATACTTATGATAGCTGTTGAGTAATATACAGTGTAGTAAAGATATAGCCCAGATTTAGATTTAGTCTAAACTTCCTCTAAATTTAGACATCTAAAAAAATTTCATTTTTACACCTGTGGTAGACATCTAAATGTAGTCTCGGCTACATATAGATGTCTATTAGACCTCTTTTAGACCAAAAAATGCTCAGTGGGAGAGTAGTTTGCACTGCAAATTATGTGGAGTACATGTAAAATTTCATTTAAAGGTAACTGGGAACAGTTAAGATTGACCAGTTATTTTTATACGATATCGACTGATATGAAAAAAAATATATCATGATAAACTTTTTCCCTTATCGCCCAGCCCTATACTCTGCCTGATCATATTTTATCCAACTGTAGCTTCAAACATGCTTCCACACAGAAATAAATACACTATTCTGCTGTATAAACATTGAAGACAGAAAACAACAGGTGCTTTTTGATCAAAACCACCCGGTTTGGTTTAAGGGACTTCTCTTGATCGGTTCCTGTTGTCCGTAAATCAAACGCACCATGAAAGCACAGCAGGTATTCCTCCTTCTGCATGCTGCTGGTCACCTGCATGATAGCAATGGGGAAACTGTGGGACGAGGCTGCAAACACCGCCGAGGCCAGAGACATGTCGTTCTTGTCCAGGAACTCTGAGAAACGTGGAAAGTCAAAATTAAATCGAAAATTTTAGTGCTGCTGAAGCGTGCTGATATATTCTTCCTTGGAGCTCACCCTCCAACACAAACTGCTTCATCTCAATCTCGTAGAACTTGTTGGTGCCGATGATGATGCTGTAACTGGTCAGGTGGATGCAGCTGCAGGGTTCAAGAGTTTCGATCTCCTACAGGGATGAAAAATGGAGACAGTGTCGGTAAATCTCGTAGTGCAAGAGACATAATGTTTTCTTTGATGTTTTCACACCCACCTTGCGGATGCAGTATTTGTTGAGATTATCATTGTAGCGCAGGATGGTTATCTTGTTCGGCATTGCAGCGCATATACACGGCCCATTATCTATCTGTAAAGCAGGATATCGTCTGTTTCAGTGTATAATTACAGTTTCTGATATCTATGAGTCGTTAAAGGGAGCATGTTAAATTTTGAAGGAGAGGAAGACCTACTCTTCCTGCAGAGAACAGATGACAACCCTTCACGGTCTCAAAGATGTACGGGGCCAGTTCAGACTGGCTGGGTAGGTGGGACTGAGCGAGATACTGTTTGACTCTTTTAATCTCCACCAGACACAACGCCCTCTCGTCTCCTAGAGTACACACAAACACACAGACACACACACAGTCTCATCATTGTTGTCATTGTCAGTATTTTCATGAATGATATTTACTCGCTTTAATGAACTTCAAGTGAAACTCTCAGGTATCCAAACTCCTCACCGACTATCATCAGCAGCTTCTCCTGCTCTTTGATGACGTGGATCTGAAAAACTGATCCCAGACCCGGGATGTGGGTGAGAGAGTTCTTGATAACATTCAGGGCGTAAAGACCCTCCTCAGAACCAACCAGAACAATCTGAAAACACAGCAAGAAAACACAGAAATGAACATTATTGCCACGGTAGGCAGATCACTTCCTTGTCCCATGATCTAAAATGAATTAATTCACTTTCATGGCATTAAGTACCTGGTCTGTGAGGGGGAGGGTGCAGTTAATATCCAGTCTATCGTCTCCCTCCAGCTTCAGCAGAGAGTTCCCCAGCAGCTTCTGTAAGAGCAGAGACAGTTGAAGGATCAGGTGGGTCACAACCTGAGCAGGACCTAAGGGGCAGGCAGCAGGAGGAGGAGGAGGAGGAGGAGGAGGAGAGGGATAGAGAGGGCCAGTCGGCTAAAAGGAGACTGTGTGCAGAGGTGGGACTAAGTCACGTGTCCATCTCCAGTTTCAGGAACCCTTTCCTTAATTGATTATATAAATCAAACTCCTGGCTAATGCACCTATGGATATAAATAATAACAACAGGTGATAAAAGTGTTTCCTGTTCGTTTAATTAAGCAGTATAATCCAAAGTGGTCTGAGTTTTTCTTTTATACCACGTCCAACAATTTATTCTGACACAAAAAGTTCATGAAATATAAAAGTGCATCTCAACAAATTAGATTAGATTCTCTGTGAGGTTCAGGCCAGCAAACTGTTTGGTGGGAGTTTTGGCGCCGTGAGCAGGTGCAAAGTCCTGCTCTAAAAGGATATCTGCACCTCCGTAAGCTTCTCTAAATTAGACTTTAACTCTGGACTCATTAAAACCCAGTGAGAAGACAGTCCAGCTCTATTCCTCTTCAGTCCAGGTTTGAGTCTTTTATTGTTGTCTCTGATTCAGGAGAGGTTTGACTTTAAGAATGCAGATTGTAGTCTCCTCCCCTGAAGACTTCTGTGTGAGGTGACTCTTGTCGCACTGACACCAGCCTCGGTTCGCTCCTCGTGGAGTTCTTCAAGTTCTTGATTTGACCCGTCTTGACAGTCCTCTCCAGGCTGTGGTCATCCCTGGCGCTCGTGCGTCTTACTTTCTAATAATATGCTTTCACACAGCGCTCTGCTAACAGTCACATCCTGTTTTACCCTCCATATGAAGAGTGTTAATTATCGTCTTTTTGACGACTGTCAAGGCAGCAGTTTTCCCCATGACTGTGGTTGTGTGAACAGAAATATAACAACAAATTCACAGTATTTATTCTAGTTTAACCGTCGTATTTTTTCCCCAAAATAAGTGATTAAAAAATATCAAACTTTTTCATGACAGTCTAATTTGATGAGATGCACCTGTGAAATGTGATATAATTCAGAGGGATTCATTCTCAATTTCTAAGCTTACCCTCTGAAACTGAACCATGTGGATAATAATAATGAAAATAATAATAATAGTAATAATAATAATGACATTTTATTTATAGGTGTCTTTCAGGCCACTCAAGGTCACCTTACAGGACAATTAAAATGACACACCAGCACGTCAAAAGGTTTTGAATCAATAAGTTTTAAAGTTTTAAATCTGGACTTGGACTTATGCTAAATAAAAAAAAAAGTCCACTAATTAACAAAGTCACGTTCCTCACTGCTAATTCCTGCCACAGGTGATTTTGGGCTTAATTTACTCCTGAGAGTAAAATCAATCAAATACCGTTTCGATAAACAATGATCTTCACCAAACAGCTGAAACAGCAACCAGTGGGTTATTATATAACTGGTATTTTAAACCAAAGCCGCAGATTACTTATACATGCAGTATGTGGGAGTCGATGCAGTAACAACTGGAAAATCACAAAGACACTCAGAAAAATCGGTCACATTAAGACACGGAAGGACCAACATCCTGAAACCATAAATCCAATGAGGTTGAGATGTTGTGTAAAATGTGGATAAAAAAAGAATACAGTGATTTTGAAATCCGTTTTCACCTGTATCCAACTCAATACTCTGCAAAGACAAGACAATTAATGTTCAAACTGATAAACTTGATTGTGTTTTTGTAAAAATTTACTCACTGTAATATGTTTCTAAGAAGCCGGGACTGCATCATATATAAATGTATATATATATATATATATATATATATATGAAAAGGGGTGGGACTAGATAAGTTTCGACTCCTTTTTGAACATGGATGACTTTTATTTGCATTTGGATCATTTGAATAACCTATCACTTGTTGTTGTTTTCTTTACTTTTCAATTATTTAAAAAAAACATCTGTTCAAAATAATCAATCAAACAAACAAACAAACAAACAAACAAACAAACAAACAAACAAATTCAATATCAGTTAGAACATTAGATGTCTCTTCTTTGTATTATATTTTATTAAATAAATAATTGTATTATGCTTTTATTCATGTTTTATGCAATGTCCCACATTAACTGGAATTATTGCTGCTGTGTATTCTATGAAAAATGCAGCTTAAAATAACGGCAAACTGGCCACCAGCAAAAAAATAATAATATTTTGTTTTGTCAAATTTATTCTATTTTATGAGTCAGTAAACAAAGTGAATTGAGTAGAAGTTTCAGAACATTATCAAGAATAAATTTTAATTGTAAAGTTGAGTTTATGTCGCAGAGTTTGTGATATTTTATCTCTTTCAGATGAATCAAATGACTTCAGTCCCAGTCTCTACTCTAAAGAGAGTGCAGTGGACAGCAGGGTCAGAACAGACAAGGACACTATCAGGTCAAAACCCACTGACTGATCTGTCCTCCTCCAGACAGGACTGCTGAGGAGGATCAGCACAGAGATGATCAAACATCGTGATTAGAAGAAGTCGTGTGCTGTGGTTAAAAAACGGGACATTCAGTCTGTAAGAAAACAAACAGGATGTGACACTGAAGCAGAGGACAGTTCAGAGGGAGGACGGGCCACAGGAGGTGGAGCGAGAGCAGAGGGGAGGATGACCCAACAACACAAAGACAGACTCATGCACAACAGCGTGCCTCATGTAGGATACGCAGGAGTGTGAGTGAATGTGTGTGTTAGTAAGTCTACATGTCTTTGTCTTTGTCAGTGTTTACCTGGACCAGAGGAGACAGAACCATTTGTCTTTTGGACACAGCAGCCTATGTGTGCAATGACACCCCATGGGATGAGCAGAATAGGGCGAATTAACAAAACATGCCCATATACCGGACATACAATGTGACGGGATGAAAAAGCAACAAAGAGCGGTGAGAAAGAAAGACAGAGAGAGAAAGAGAGAAGAAGGGAAAGAGAAGAAGAAAGGAGAAGGGGACAATTAATGACACATATATGTGAACTGGGGGTTATCCATTAAAACTCCAAAATTTCAACCTTAATGTTAAATCCTCAATAAATGTATTTCCCACTTATGAATAGCCCCCAACAAGAGCAAGTATACGACCACAGTCAAAGATAAGTCTGTTATTTTTGACTCTGGTCATCACAGGCAGCAGACACTGACAGCCACAGGCCCCACTTTCCCCCCTCCTCTCCTTGCACAGAAATACTCACTGCGTCAGCCTCGGCTTTCTCCCGTGAGGCTCGCCCGGCAGCAACTACAGACTCCATGACAGCCACCCAGCGCTGTTTGTCTGGGAAGCTGGGGGCCATGAAGTAGATCGCCTGTCCCGGCCAACAGGGGGTGTGACACCGGGACTCAAGCTTGAGGACATAGGGGACATCTGGCACACAGAGAGAGGAGAGAGATGCTCGCTCTTATTTTGATCATTTTTTCCATGGCGCCTGTAAAAATACACTTAGAGGGATATAGTTTAAAACCAATACTATGAGGACAGTCCTTGTACCTGACTTGGCAGTGTTGGGTAGCTCAGAGGCCCCCACAGCTCCATGAACAAGCACCTCTCCATCTAACAAGCACAGGTCAAACTCCTCCAGCGGTTTCACTGAATCTAAAAAGTACAAACGGAAAAGAAAACACCTTTGGTTAGGAGTAGAGGGAGTTTTACTCGAGTGGGACCAAGTTAGACAAAGAGAGACTACCTTCTCTGGGCTCGATCTCGTAGATGGACACTTTAGTCCCATCCAGGACCACATATTTTCTCTCCCAGCCTTGGCCTCGCTTCCCATTCCTACAAACACACAAAGCAAGAGCAAAGGTAATGGCGCAGATTCAGCAGGTCTACTGTAGGAGACTAGTCGAATTCACTAGTTTAGAGTTCCAGATAAGGAGACTATCATAGAGTACAAGATGATAATTTGCACCCCTGCATTTGCTCCACCCCTCAAACTCATGTGATTAAAAAGATCCCACAATATCACTGTATAATTTATGCTGAACTGACCTGGGCTGCTTCATCCAGCCCTCCAGGTGCATGTGGCCACTGGCCTCTTTGTGCTGAGGGGCCGGGGAGCTGCCTTTATCCCGACACAGGCCGCCGTCAGACAGGTGCAGGGAGCAGTCGCTGGACATGCCACACGTGGCTGGAAGGCAGGGGGAGCACTTTGGGTGGCACAAAGCGTGACATTCTGAAGAGAATGTTGAAAATATTATTATAAATTTGCTAGTATAGTATGTTAAAGAAATAATAGTATAGTATTTAGTATAAGAATAATACTATAGTATATTAGTATAATTATAAAAGAAATGTCAAAGTATGAAAAAAAATGTCATTGTATAGTTTGTAAAGAATATCAAATAGTGTACAATAAAAATGTTATAGTATAGTATAATAAAAACGTCCTACTATAAAATGATAAAAATATCATTTTATTGAACAATAATATATCATAATATGGTATGTTAAAAAAAATCATTGTATAGTATGATGAAAAATGTCATAGTACAGTATGATCGAAATATTAAAGTGTAGTATATAAATAAAAACATAGTATAGTATGATATAAATGTCATATAAAGTATGTTAAAACAATCAAAGTTAAGTTTGTTAAAAATATTATAGTATAGTATGATAAATATAAGTATAGACAAAGCTTTCACAGGGGCGGAGACCCAGGCAAGTATAAATCAGAGGAGGTTCTTTATTTTGTAGGCAAACTGTGAGAAACGTGTAAAACTAAAAAAAGTTTGACCCTGTTTTTGTAAACCATGGTTGCTGCATCCAGTGGTCTACAAAAGGGGGTTTGAAAAAACAGATGACATCATGAAAAAAGTTTCTTTATGGATAAAAACAAATGACTAGTTTAAACTGTTTTTGTTTTCATAAACCATAAAGATGTAATTAGGTGGCCTGAATTTGATTTCTTTATGAAATCTGTAACCTATCAAACGAAAATTGTATATAAATAAATTCAGTTAAGTTAATGGGGATCATTTGGAGCTGCCCTCTCAGACACATCTGTAACTTACCAAGACAGGTAGCAGCTTGGCGACCAAAGTGCACCGTATCCAGGCACACGGTACACTTGGCAGCTCTCATGTTGAGTCCCACTGTGAAGCGGTGAGCGGTGTTGTGGTGCACCACCCTCTCTCTCTCCCTCTCTCTGTCTCTCTGACTGTCCTTCAGACGACGGCTATACTCTGAATACAGTCAGGGGAACACAGTGAGGGGCAGGCAGCTCCGGTATGCCTTACTGTGTCAGGTGCATCCATCACTTCAAAACCTCAGTGCACCATGCCATACCCGCTATGAAATCAGTTCAACAAAAGAGGGTTTCCAAAAGACTGTAAGATGTTAAGCAAAATGCATAAGCAAGTAAACTCTGAAGACAGATGCTTAAACAGAATATTGAGATTTGATCAGTCCTTTTACTCGTGCCCACTCACTGTCCCAAGGCTTTACAAGGCCTTATCCAGTCAGCATCGAGAATCTCATAAAGTCAATTTTTCTCCTTTTTAAGTCTGTATACTCCAAGGTTTTCCATTGCACAAGGACTTGTTAATGTTGATGCAAGAAAGTGTGTACAACAGGCATAGCCAAAGGTCAATTTTTATAGGGCCCATTATCTATGGCAGAGAAATGCATCTGAATTAACCTAAATTATCATTATCTTGGATTTTAAACAGGCCAAAACTCTGTGAATACTGCAGGACTAAAATCTGATGGTGACATGAAAACTCACACATCTTCAAATTAGTGTTTTAATGAGGAGTAAGGAGTGCATCATGGACACTAAAAGTTCAATAAAAATAAAACAAAATGAGGAAAAAAGAATAAATTAAATGAAGCAGAAGAGGCAAAAATTGGTGCAAACAATTGTTCAGAATTCAGGTAAAGAAAAAGTAGCTGCTATAATGATGTTTACTAGTCAAAAAAAAGGCTTATTATTATTCAAATTTATTTCAGTCCCACCTACAGGATGGTCCATATCACTAAAAATAAAAAATAAGAAAAATATAAAAAATATAAACAACATGGAAGGAATTCAGATGAAATCCATGATATGTTTCTGGCACAAAAAAAAAAAAAAAAAAAACAAACAAAAGAAAAAAACGGAGACATATTTTTTTTATGTTGCCCAAATCATCATAAAAAGAGCAGTAGGGGGCGCTGGCATTTTCATAACAACAAACATTATCATCTTTGAACAAAGTTTGGACAGCCCTGGTGTAAATATTCAGAAACACTCGTCTTAAATCTCATAACTACTTTTGCATGTTTTGATTGAACTAATTCATTTTTGTTTAGTTAATTATAATTAGTTGATTTTCTGCAGGTTTTCTCTCCTGTTATATACACTTTGTTTACTTCATGTGCTGTATTCTCCCACTTCAATCTGTTGTTTTTCGCTTTATTTACATTTCATATACATGTCAGTAATCTTTCTACTGAATTTTTCTCATAACTCGATCTCCCCACATTTCTGGTGGTAAATAATCCAAATTAAACTGAGAATAATTTTTGTAACCTTGGTTGTTCGTATGATGACTGGATAATACCTTTTTTTCAGGGTTTGGGTTCAAACAGTGGTTATGCACAAACCCCAACTCCAAAGAAGTTGGGACGTTGTGTAAAGCGTGAATAAAAACAGAGCACAGTGATCAGTTTGAACATTATTAAATCTCTTGTATTTAATAAAATAAAGGATTTACAGATCACTGTATTCTGTATTTATTCACATTTTACACAACGTCCCCGCTTCACTGGACTGGGTGTTTGTAGCTCAGAGTTTATCAAACAGTACATGTGGGTTAGTGCATGATTAGACGTCAGGGTGGGTTACCTAAGTGAGTTGTAGAGCAGAGGCTAAGCTTCAGCAACCAAGATAAAATGCTTCAGATTTCTAAAGCTGTGCACTAATGAGGGGAAAATTAGCGTGATTGTTTCTCAGCCTCACCTGACCAGCCTGGTGGGATCTCATGTTTGTTTTAAGTGCAGAGCTTTTAAAATCTGGCCTTTAAGGATGTGGATGAGGCAAAAAAGAAGAGAGATAATAGACCAAACTGCAGAAACCATGAGTTTGGACAACTTACTTTCAAAAGTGACTCTCCTTCTCTCTGAAAGTTGTGTGAAAGAAAAAGGATAGTGAGAGCTTCATAAATGATCCTTTACCAGTAATATTGAATATGTGTTTCAATGTGTGTGCAGGTGAGGGCCATGTTATAAAGCTGCTGACCTCCACATACAGTAGATCTCTGTTCAAAAGAACAATCCACATGAGCGCCTCACTCACCCTCAGGGGTCGCGGTCTCCTTCCTCCGTCCAGAGTTGGAGGGCGCCAGACTGGTTGGGCCTTGCTGGTGCTCAGGAGACTTGACCATGGCAGACATAACCATCTGCTGTCGCGCTGAGGCCGGGTTGGTAGAGTTAGTGATATCCTTATACTGGAGGGCTGGTGTGGTGATTAAAAAGGTGATTAATTTACCTGTTTTTACAAAAATGTCCATTTATTATAGTAAAAGTTAGTGGTCCTAAATAAGAGGGTGTCCTGATACAACTTTTTGACTTCTGATACAATACTGATTTTGTAGCCAAAATTGTGCATGACAAGTTTTTCACTCAGCTGCAATATCTTTTTCATACTTAAACAAAAAATACTGCCACAAGGCCGACATCACTCCTACTCCTTGCTACTTTGTTAGTACCTTAGTACACACTGTTGTTGTGATTTTGTGGGCTCAGCTTACTGGATCAGGGCGCTGCTAGATAGAGGTGCTGGAGCGGAGTCTGAAATGGACTGCTTGTATCGGAGATTTTAGATGCAGGTCAATATATTTTCTGATATTTGATTTTTTTTTCTGATATTGGACCGATATCAATATTTTATCGGGACACCCCCAATATGACTGAAGCATACAGGGATGTATTTGCACGGCTAAACGGAGTCAACTTACCCTCCTCTCTCAGAGATCGCAGCTCTGCTCTCATCTTCTGGAGAGCATCTTCCAGCTCAGAGCAGCGAGCTCGTTCTTTATCCAGAGCTGCTTTCATGTCGCTGTACTGCAGCGGCACCGGCTGGATCGGGGGCACAGGAGAAACCGGGCCCTGACCCTGACCTTGAGCCTGGGCCTGAGCAGCCATGGCGGCCAAGAGATCCTCTCGACGTCGCCCGAACAGGCCCTAAGACACGGCAGTCGACAGTTAGTTCACTTTCATTAAAAAATTTAAACTTTTTCTTACTTGAACACATTTTTAAAACATCCAGTTAATCACTCTGAACATTTATTTGCTCCTTTTGATCAGGGACGCATCAAGACATGCAATAATTTAGCTAAACTCAAGGTTTGTTTTTGCAGTTTTACACTTGTCTAATGCCAAAGTCTGTACATTTCTGTTCAAATTTCTACTAAAGAAAAGAAATTGAATATATAAGTAGTATATCTGTAGTCTGACCTTTTTCTTCTTGGAGCCACCGTGAGCCTGGGCCTGAAGGAAATCTATGAGCTTGGTCTGCTGGGTGATGGTCCCTTCCATTTTCACCTTCTCATGAGAGTACACAGCCTGCAGGTGGAGCTAAGTGAACATCACTACTGCCATGAATTTCTCCTCAAGTACTTCACTTCACACACAGAGGGTGACAGAGAGACAGAGAGAAGGGGGAGGTATGCTGTGGGGGTAGAATAAACAATGTACGGGGGGGCAAAACGCATCCATCCTTATCTTCCCCAGAGGAACAAAGTGACCGAACAGAGGGGGAGAAACAAGGACTGCAGATGACAGATGGATTGACCCCCAGCCCAGCAGTTGACCGTGTTCTCTATGTGCTTGAACTGACCGGGATACTTTTCTCTGTCTGTGTCTGTGTTTACTGATGCAAACTAAAATCATGCGTGTGTGTAGCAGCACCTGGATGTTCTCCAGCTGGAATTCCAGGTCGGTCCGTTCGGTCTTCAGTATGTCGGTCTGATCGAGAGCATCTTGCAGCCCCTGTGTCAGGCGGAAGATGTGGGTCTTCTGGGCGTCCATCTGTTGCTGCAGTTTCTCTTGCTGCAAAGGTAAACAGCTGTTTACATCCCCACACATGGAGGCTCCTGATTTCTTCCAACGGTGGCATTATTTAACAGATTACAAATACAGAATCTCTACTTCAATAGTTTTGCATCTTAGATGTAAATGAATGCATGCAAATTTTTTCAGTGCAACTCAATTTTAATTTAAGGAAACAAAGTGTGAAATATTGCATGTACCTCCTCTAACAGCCTCTGCTTCAAATCTCTCTCGCTCTCCAGTTTTTGCTGCAAACTGCGAGCGTTCATCTCCAGCATGGCGTGCTTTTTCTCCAGATCATTCAGCTGAGGACAGAGAGCAAGACGAGTTTCCAGAAACATCTGCCAACCAAAAATAGTTAAAAGAAAACAAACACTTATTAAGCAGAGTGGAAATCCTTACAGTGTCAGCCAGACTTTCAGCTTTGAGTTTTTGGTCTTTGAGGGCTTGTTGTAGAGCGAGAATCTCGGCTTTGTGCTCCTTGACGGCCTGTTCAACGGCCTGGCGAGACTCTGAGCAGCGCTGCTCCGATCGTAGCCTGTAGCGCATAAAAACAATTATTAACATGAGATGTTTTTAAGTATGTAAATTCCCCACCATGTCAGTTATCAGTAGTCAGTAAGTCAGTAATCAATCTCTTCAATTTTCTCCATCAGGGGTCCGTCTACAGTTCGTTTAAAGGGGTAACTCGAGGTTAAAGTTTTGTTTTGAGACTGTCTCTGTGTTTTAATATGTTTTTTCTTATACTTAGAGTTTATCACCTGCTCTGCCTACATCAACCCCAAATAAAATCATATATTTCCCAGAATACCTTATGACAAACCCTAGAGAATATTCCTAGACCTGTTGCATTCAGCTAGTGTAGGTGTAGAAAGACCTGATCCAACGCGGACTGCAACACTCGGAGCAGATAAAGATTTCTTTCCAGCCAGTTAAAGCAAACTCTTAAAAATAAACCAGAAGAGACCTGATGAAGACAAAATATTATAGCTGTGGTTTTTGACGAAGAATGAGACTTTTATATCTGATTACATAGAGCCAGTCTGCGTCCATGGGAGTCACAATCCAGCACCACAGAACAGACAGTAAGTGGACTTCTCAGGTACATCAGATTTAGTATTTGTAAGTAGGAGTATCATAGTCAGGTCTGGACCAGCGCTTAGTTCTGCTGCTAAAGGTTTAGACTGCCGGGGTTAACAGGCACATTAAGCATCTTCCTCTCCTTCTCTATCCTCTCTCTCTGTCTGTGTCATTAACTCTGAATCATCATGTCCCATTAGAGTCACTAACACACAGTTTTTTCTGAGAGTCCCTGAACTCCATCATGATGTAGTTTCCTCTGGATCGCTGCTGCAGACCTGCCTGCTTTCCAGCTGTTTCAACTACAAGCATCAATCTCACCTATGTCCGTCTCTCTCTTTCTGCATCTCCGTCTATCTCTAAACGAAAATACAGTAGCGGCAGATGGCTGTCTTAGAAGAGTCTGGTTCTGCTCGAAGTTTCGGCTCAGTAGCCACAACCTCTGGTAAAAGGTTGGTGCAAACAAGCCAGTTTAGACTCAACTTTAAAGAAAACATTATCTCATAAAACAACTGTTTTTGATGGTGTCACTGCAGCATTTTTACTGCCTTTTGTTAAGGTAACTGTATTTTACGAAAGAAGATTAGGGCCACATGAAGAGAAAAAAATAATTACAGGAAGGAGATTAAAGTCGAAATTTTAAGATTAAATGCAAAATTTCATCATTAAAAAGATCAAAATTATGTCAATAAAGGCGAAATTTCAGGATGAAAAATTGAAATTTTGATATTAAAGCTGAAATTTCAAGAATATGAAATGTCAAAATATCGTGAATGTCAAAATTTTGAGATTGAAAAAAAAGATTTTGAGATTAAAGTCAAAATTTCGAGATTGAAGTCGACAGTTAAAGTCATGAATAAAGTCGAAATTTTGATTTTTTTTAATTTTTGACTTCCATCCAGAAATTTCAACTTTAATCTCGAAATGGAAATTAAAAGAATCTCCCTCCTGCAATTCTTTTTTCTCCTCTTGTGGCGCTAATCTTCTTTTGTAGTATTTCCTATACTGTAAAAAAAAAAAACTTTTACTTCCTTTTGGAGTATGTTCTCAGACTGAAAATAGCTAAAAGACGTAAATCGCCAATACCTTCATGTTGCAGCAGTCTTAGTTTAAACTGTGTCATTCATGCTTGAAAACACTATGAGAGGTGCAGCTGTTGTTCTTTTAATTATCGACGCATCGTGCAGGTTATCCAGCGACCGCTAGAAACAGGAAAACCACATATCTAACTGAACACAAAATCCAAGTACAAACTTTGCATGATCATTAAGGTTTAATTTTGTTGATTTGTTTCCACGCTGTGAAAGTGTTTCTGTATCTGCGGTTGAGATTGTCACCTGTTTTGTTTCTCTGTATCCAGCAGTCTCTGGATCTCCCTGGTCCTCCGCTCAGCCTGGTTCTTCTCGTCTTCGAGTGTCGACCTCCAGGCCTCCCACTGTCTTTCCTTCTCCAGCAACTCGTCATTAAGGGTCTCAAGCTCCAGAACCTGCTCCTCCAGCATCGTACATGTAGTCTTCAGCGTCTCAAGGTTCTGTTACAGATCAGTACAACAACTCAAAAATAAATCTCATACTAATTTTAAAATAGCAGTCTTTAAAGGGTTAAACTCTAGTCTTTTAAGTGGTAAACAAAAGTGTTTCAAGCGGAAAGAAATGTTACGAAACCACAAGATGTCCACTCCTCCCACCAGAACCTGGGGCAGTTATGCAGACACCTGGGCTGAGCTGAGGCTATCTGGAGAGGAGTATGTACTTTTTATAAATCACATGTGAAGTCTAATAAGCCATGAAACTGCAGCAAACCAGAAATAGATACCATCACAGACGAGGGCTATAGAGGGAACATTAAATGACATGTTTGTGCTCAGAGGATCTACACAAACCGCTGTGTTTTAAGTGTTGCTTTAGACAAAGCGTTGGGAGACAAATATAGCCGGTTCTGGTGCTGCAGCAACACCACGGCCCTCTGAAGTCCAACACTTCCACAGCTGACTCGACCTGGGAGTGATGGGGATGACACATCCCGCCCACACACCACCCCATCCCTCGTCTATGACTTCCATCGCTGGTTACACAACCAGCAGGACCGAGAGCGCTACTGCACACCCACACAGAAATCCTCCCACAGGGGCCGCGCACACATCACACAGCCTCCTCGCTCGCGCTCTCTCACTCTTACTGCATCCAGAATGCAGCACATAACAATACTGACATATTCCCAGGGTTTCTCCTGCCTGATTTACACTTAACACTGTCAGAGCGGGGAGAGATGTCTAGGTCATTTGTCAAAGGTAGTGTGGAGATATCACATAATGTGACTAAGTGAGAATCTGGTGTCTGACTGAGTGGGAGCTGGGCAGGGGGAGGGAAGTTGAACTAAAGGAATGAATAAAGCTGTCTAAGAAACTGGTGTTGTTTTAGTCCGCGTTGTCAACTTATGACAGCTTCTATTTGTGACAGCTTGATGCAGAAACGATAGAAAATGCTCGACGTATGTGGGAACAAGATGGCTCATTCGAAACAACTGTGAGTGACTCCATCAAAGTCAGACGTTTGCTTGTTTGTGTATTTTACTAATTGATTAATACACTGTTGTTCCAGATTAAACAGAGGAGTGTAGTTTCTCTGTTTAAGCCCTTATATACACACAACATAGAACAGTTACTAACAGCATCCCATCATGCCCTCATACTGATAACTTACAAAGCCAGACACATGCTTCCTAATGTCCCCCAGATGGAGACTGATGGGCAGTCAGAGCCGATGCATCCCTGAGGTTATCAAGTGGAAATCATCTTTCACCAGCGCTAAGTTAGACCCTTCCATGTCAGCCGTAGACCCGCCTGCTTTCCTGCTTTATCTACAAGCATCAATCTCACCTCTGTCCATCTCTCTTTGTCTACATCTCTCCCTCTATCCCCTCTCTAAACGCAATGTAACAGCAGCAGATGACTGTCTCACTTGAGTCTGGTTCTGCTCAAGGTTTCTGCCTGTTAATAATAATAATAATAACTTTATTTTTACATTGACAGACAGTTGTAAAGCACAGAACATCAGCACATGAAATAATAAAAACAAATAAAAAACAAAAGCTCAGTTAAGACAAGACCTCCGAATTCAAGGCCAGTTTCATTTGTCATAAGAAACCAAGACAGTAGAAGAACCCGACAACATAAAATGAGACCACGAGGACCAGAATAAACGCATTAAATAGGTAAGAAAAAGAAATGTAATAAAAAAGGGGGGTTGAAAGCAGGAAACAGGATAGTGAATATAAAAAGATGATAAAATAGAATAAAATAAATGAGCAAGAAAAAACAATAAAACCAATAAAAGGCCTAAAAGGTTAAATACAAAAAGATTGGAAGTATAACAAAGGCTAAAAGGACAGCAAGTCGAAATAAGATAGAAGTAAAAGAGGTAAAAGATTTAAATAATAATAACACAAAAATAAAGTAAAATAAAAAAAATAATAATAATAATAATGATAAAGAAAAACTGGAAAAAATGAGAAAAGTTGAGGAAAGTCTCTCCTCTCCACTGTAACTTGCTAAGTGCTAAAGTAACACTCATTGTTACTGCAATGAGTGAGCATGGGCATCCTTACAGCTATTAATATCAGGAATGAAGTAAAAAAAACAAAAAACACCTTGTCTTCTGTCCATCATATTTGATGTTTCATTTCATGACTGAGGAGACCGGTGCCAGCCTTTCATTCAATACATCGCTCCAACACCGCATAATTAAGAATTACCTTTCATACCGATGATGAAATCCAACATCAGCTGGAAAAGAACATTAACACAAACACCCGTACTCAAAAAACCAGAGCAGAGTGGACCGGCAGCCAAGAAAGCCCACCTGTTTCTGGTTGTTGAGGTGCATTTCACGGTCTGCCACCTCCCGACGCAGCCTGTCTACATCCTGACTGAGCTGCAGCCTGTCCTCCCTCTCGTCAGAGGCTTCATCCAGCTGCTTGGACAGGTAGAAGTTCTGGCGGTTCAGCTCGGCGTTCTCCTGAGTCAGCGCGGTCAGCTGCTCCTCGAGATCAGTGATCACCTGCAGGTAAGCAGAGAGTAAAAATCACTTTTTTAACTTGCTTTTACATGATGCATGATTTATTTATTTATTTTATTTTATTTTTGTTTCTTTGTTTGTTTTGTTTTATTTATTTTATTTTATATTATTTTATTGCCTGCTACTTCTTGTTTAACCTTGTCAGTTATTTATAGTATTCATATTATTTTCATATTCACATTATTATTATTATTATTATTATTATTATTATTAATTATTATTTATTTATTTATTTATTTTTAGTCCTTTTTTAAATTTTCTTATGTTTAATATACTCCCTACCTTTTTATTATTTTTTATTTATTTATTTACTATTTATTGTAACTCTTATCTTATTTTATATCCATGTATTTACTTCTCTTCCTCTTTTATTTGTCCTCTATCCACCCTCTTCCTTTTCACCATCCTGATGTGATGCCGCCAGCCACCAATCATTTTTAACCGTCTATTTATTTAACCGTCAATTTTCCTCTGCCTGTTTCTGCCTTCGTTTGCTTCTTCTGTTAAAACATCTGTTTTTAAAGGTGCTACATAAATACAGTCATTATTATTATCATTGAATAAGTGAGTAAATATAGTGAAGATAGTAAACTCAGGATGCGAGATCAGACAGGCGTCCTGCAGAAAACAAACGACTACTGATAAGACAATTTAGCATTTTCGTGTCTACCGCAGAACACTTGAATAAATCGCTGCAGTCTGACTCGAGTGATAAGTATGAAGAGGTCACGTCTCGCCGCACTGTTATGTAAACTACATGATCTCTGACCCGGCTGATCCTGTTACATGTAAGGATGTTTGACAAACTACCATTGCTCTCATTGTACATCATACTCATACAATCTGTACATTTGTTTTACAGTGCGGATGCTGGTGAATATCTCGCTTACAGTAATACCATTACACCATATAGGCTGGCATTGTGCATGTTATTGCTCATCCACAGGAAACTTGGCTTGACACCCCACACAGTCTAAATTCTGCCACTGCATTATTACATGATACAGTTATCTAGGTTAGTGATATAATGCAGTAATCATTTTGTTGGTTGCATGGCTACTTGTATCACTCTGAAGGAGCGAGCTAATCATGTCATCAACACACCACTGTTCGCCTAATCAGAGGAGATTACGGTGCTCACACGGTGCAGGGAGTGGAGGTTACAGGCTGCCTGTTTTGAGCTCTCCTGGGATCATGTGCACCACGCAAAATTTCCAAGTAGTGGTTGGGAAAACGGCAAAGCTTTTAAGTACATAAATTAGCTGTCTGTTCTGCACTGACTCAGTGCTTCTGCTTCCCCCAGGCTGGGGACTGACAGCAGCGACTAAATACTCAAGGCAGGGCGGGGAAATCAACTCAGGAATGGGTACAGTGGTGATCTGGCAAGCCTCTATATTTACTTGACTCATCTGTCATCCACGCCTATAAAGCAACATGCAGTCCTCATGCAAATCAAATCCTGGGCCTTGTGTCCTCAGCGCTGCTAAATGCACATTGCTCAATACTATTTATGAAGGCTGTGGGTGTTAAGATAATAATAAGCCAGCAGAAGAGGCAGTAAATCAGTCCCACAATTTCCTTGACTGAAATAAACACGTTTACCACACAGCAGCAGAACACACGGATAAACAGATAGATGATGGATAAATACATGAGCATGTATACGCACATATATCTGTATATTTTATACAATTGTTTACATGAAAATGGCTGATTTATCTGTCATTATTTAGCTGTGGCAGGTTAACAAAGACAGCAAAGAGGGGAAGAAGAGGGAATTATGGGAAATAATACAGTCAAAAGCCTTGACTGGGTCTGAACCCAACCTGCTGTTAAAAATCTACCAAAGCACCCATACGACTATGAATGATATAAACATTTGTCTGGCCGCTGTGCTCCGGTGTAAATTGTTTAAGAGACAGACTAATGGATGGACTGACGTTATATTCTTAGTAAGGCAGAAATAGAGCGATTCTGACATTTCAAGCTCTGCTTGTCGCAGAATCACTGAACAGAAGCCAGCTGAATCTATGGCCAGTGCTTCCTGAACAGTTTGCAAGTGGGAGTATCTCAAAAGTAGGGCAATGAAATGAAGGAAGACCAAAGCAGTCTTAGTATTTACTCAAGGTATATGAAACCACAGAAACTAAATCCATATTACAACGACATTGTCTCATGGTAAGCTGAACATAAAGCCTCCATAGTAATAAAAATAATGAAAAATACAACATATGTCATAAGAAATAATGCAGAAATCAGCTTAGGGATGAAGAGACGTGAAAGTATTCCAACATGTTTGTGCTACGGGAAAGTTTAATTGAATTTGATCTAAAGGTGAGTTAGTTTTATCTTTCGTTTTCTAAGCATCACTGTAAAATGTGAATGGCTGTTAGCAAACTGCAGCTAATAAACTGGAAGTTTTACTTTCATCTGTTAAGGAAACTGTACTCTTTAGTGGTAGTTTCACCAGACATCATTAGCAGCCCGGCTTCGCATGATGCCTCATTATCAGAAGCTCTGGGGTCGTGGTAATGCGGCTCCGCGTAAGAAGGGGGAATTAATTGGTTTCCCCGCGTGTATCATAGAAAATGTATTCAACTCTGTAGAATTATAAACCCTCAAGCTTATTTGGTCAGAAAATTGCTGTGTTCCAAAAGAGAAAAACTGTGTGATGACAGAGTTGGAGAGGTTTCTGCACGATGGCCACTGGGATCTAAACTGAGCTTAGAGACACAACGTGCTGGGCTCTGGAAACCGTGTTGTGGACACTGACCATTGGCAGCAACTGTAATTAAAGTAACGACTTTTTAAAACTAAGAATATCACAGTTTCTATCAGGACTGAAAAACATGTCTACTTAAAGGGATAGTTCAGTGTTTTTGAAGTGGGATATGTAAACCAGGACAGTTTTGGATCTTACAGAATATGTTTTTAAAGGAAAAAATAACAACTTTGGGCATGACGTAGACCACTTTTCAGTCTTAGTGACGCCACAGTTAGATGGACAGTTTACTGTAGGTTAGGGTTAGGGTTAGGTTGAGGGTTAGGGTTAGGGTTAGAGTCAGGGTGAGGGTTAGGGTTAGGTTTAGGGTGAGGGTGAGGGTTAGAGTTAGGGTGAGGGTTAAGGTTAGGGTTAGGTTTAGGGTGAGAGTGAGGGTTAGGGTTAGGTTTAGGGTGAGGGTTAAGGTTAGGGTTAGGTTTAGGGTGAGAGTGAGGATGGTTAGGGTTAGGTTTAGGGTGAGGGTTAGGGTTAGAGTTAGGGTTCCCAGATTGAGCATGTACTCAACACAGTGAACAATGTTTTGATTAGGGTTAGGGGTTAAGGGTTAGGGGTTAGGGTTAGGTATAGGGTGAGGGTTAAGGTTAGGGTTAGGTTTAGGTTTAGGTATAGGGTGAGAGATAGGGTTAGGGTTTGGATGAGGGTTAGGGTTAGGCTTTCCAGATGGAGCATGTACCTAACACTGAGAACAATGCTGGAGTTTGTTCAAGCTGGCTGATCTACCTGGTAAATCCAACTGGTTTCTAGACAAAGTACTCAGACAACCCCACTCTACAGTAACTTAACCCTTTAAGGCTCATAGTCAATTGTTATGATGTTGTTGTTGATGATGATGATGATGATGATGATGATGATGATGATGATGATAATGGCATTAGTGTGCAGTGTCTTTCAGGAAAGATCGAGGAGCTTACCGCGCAGCTGTCTCTCAGAGCGTCATACTTGCGCTGGATTTCATCTCTGTGTGCCTAGCAGGTATGACAAGCGAGACAGAGGGACAAATGATTTCAGTGTCTGAGTCATATAATATTAAAGGAGATACGATCCACTTTACTCGTCTACTTTCTCTCACTCTAAGAACAGTGATCTCTTCCTCGGCTTCGGCGGTGGTATCCTCCAGCTCCGTCTTGGCATGCTGCAGTTGGCCCTCCAGAGCATGGCGAGCCGCCTGCATGCTGGTAATCTGCGATTCGCGCTCCTGTAGTGAAAGGGTCAGCTCTGTCACCTGGCGCTTGATCTCCAGCTTTTGCTCCTCGTGCTCCAGTCCAATCTACAGAGGGAGACAAAGAGGGGCCGTTCAAGTGCGCTTCACCCCGAGGAGCAGACACTTCAGCTCAATGGGCCGAGCATGGATTCCTGGTGCTGCTCTTTCCTGTTACATCTCTGTTAACACGAGGGAGCTTAAAGAAGAAACATCCCACACAAGGTTGATGATGTTGTTGATCAAAACTAGACATTTAAAAGAAGTTCAGATGAGGAAACAGAAAGCCCATAAAGCTTCCTTTGTGAAGTATTTCACACTGTTAAAAATGGCCTGCACTGCTGTAATCACTACAAACCTCTGGATCACGACTGTTTTGCATAACACAAAAACATTTCTTTGTAGCGTTCAAGCTTCCAGTTAGCACCTGTGTGAGGACTGGTTTTTGCCGACCCTGTTTCAATGAGGGGTCATGATTTAGTTAGATTCAGGTGCAGTGGAGTACGCCAGATAAAGCAATGAAAATGTGAACGTCATTTCAACTGTGAGGAAATATTCATAGATTTTGCATTCATTTTTTATGCACAGGGTTGTCTAAAGGTTTAACAGCATCTTGTATTGACTTCCAAACAGCTCAAGAGGCAAAAACTTAAAGACCCACTGTGATAAAATTCATGTTTTTCTTGTTTTTTACATGTTCATGTGACATTTTTCTGATGCTACACGACATGTCACGAAGAAAGTAAATGCAAAGTTGCTTTTCTGAGTGTTTCTTCATTCAAATCACTGTGAATCTCTGGCAGACCCAAACGGCAGGTTCAGAAATGGTGAGATTTCATACATAACCACTCCAAGCTCCGCCCCCCGACTCAGAAATAGGACGATCGTGGAAAAAGAGTGTGCGTTAGTGGATTGCAATGCCTGTAAGAAAGCTAATTATGATATTAACTTTCATCATGTCCCTAAAGACATTGGTGTCCAAGAGCTGAATAGCTTCTATGTAACCTGCAACTTCTACTACACTGACAATGTTAGTCTGCAAGCTAGCATGAAGAGGAGAGTGCAGAGCAGCGCTGTCTCCGCCCACGACTCAGAGGTGAATTGCTAATGAGCTACTGGAGCTCTGCAGAAGAAAAGTCCTTAAAAATGACACAGGTAACATGATTTTTGGTAAAAACTTCATAATCACAATTTAAAGATCACTGAGAACACTTCAACTTGTAAAAAGAACGATTGGAGTGGGACTTTAAACACTTACATAATAAAACATGAAGAGTTTGAGTTAAAGAGGACGACTGCCAGTGCATCACAAAGAAGTGAATAATGAAATAAAACAATGAGGATACAGTCATTTCAAAAGGTAATTAGATAAATTAAGATGTACTTGATTCTACCCCAGTGGGAACAGGCCTTAGGCTACAGTGCAAAGAGTATAACAACCACAAAAAAAACACACAGGAGCTACAGGGAGGCACAGATGTGCTCTTGATATGAGCCAGTAATCTTTCGCTCTTGTTAACAGGAAGAAGTCTGTTGTGGTTTTTAAAATTTCACTGATCATCTGGCTTGATGTTGAATTAAAGATTTTGTTTCTTGTCTCCACTTCTGTGTGTACACAGAGGAGCTTCATCTCTCCAGCTCGTTTGAGGTACTTTCATCCTCTCTCTCTATTTCTAATCTACTCTAATCAAACTACTCCGTGTATTCAAGCTTCTCTGTCTGCCTAAAAAGCTCCACGTCTACCAGAAACATGTAGTCACTGTGCAGCCATTCAAAACAACCTGATTAAAAGGTGGAAACAGGTTAGTAGATGGTTATTTAAAAGGGTCTGCAGCACCTCCTGTTTGCACATTATAATTCTGACATTATTAACTTTGAATCATCATGTCCCATTAGAGTCACTAACACTCAGTCTTTTCTGGGAGTCCCAGAGCTCCATCATGTTGTAGATTGACCTAATGCAATCTCAGCAGATGACTTTCCAACATGAGTCTGGTTCTGCTCAGGGTTTCTGCCTGTTACAGGAAGTTTCTCCTCTCTACTGTAACTTGCTAAATGCCGCAAAGTGCTTTACTGATGAGGTTGAAGATGGGATAGGAGTGGGTCTGATCTCACAGGATGGGACTCGATCTGATCCCATCTTTATATTGGGTCTTTGTAGACAAAGGATGATCTAGACTAGGGTGACCATACGTCCTCTTTTACCCGGACATGTCCTCTTTTTTGGTGGGAGTCCAGGTTTTCTGGCTTTGTCCGGGGAAGTTTATAAAATCCTTCAAATGTCCAGGGTTTTGTTTGGAGGTTTTGAGTTTGTGTAACATTGACTTGCTGAGTTAGAAGCGCGTAAAAGACACTTAATCCAACCTGACAAACTCTCAAAATTAACTTGTTGTGACTACGTGACTCCACCCCCACATAGTCGTGTTCTCTTTTCGGGGATTCAGAATATGGTCACCCTAATCTAGACCAGCAAATTATTTGTGTAGATTTGTCATATTATCCACTGTCCTCAGAAAAAAGTAATGTCATTTTAATCTGTGTTGGAAATCTGTTTCCAAATGTGTTCGTCAGGAAGCTCCTTAAATTCTTCCTCACCTCTCGGAGCCTCGTTTCCAACTCGACCACACGGCCCTTGCTGCTCTGCTCCTGCTGACTCATTTTCTCTAGATGCTCCTCCAGTTTGGCGTTCTGGGCCTCCAACTTCCCAGCCTGAGACTCCAAGTAGAACTTCTGCTGGCGAAGCTCTGAGATCATCTCCTCCTGGGCTTTCCTGCCAGGGCCATATACACAAAAAAAGCTCCATAAGGTGACAGTAAGGTTTGGCTTTACTCCACAAATCAAGAACTTCTACTCCATGAAAGTTTCTCTGGTGCTCATTATATCGGCGTTGGTACTTACATGTTTTTTTGGGTGTAGATACTGCTGTTGGCTGCCAGTTTGTTGGCCTCAGACAGCTCAGAAATTCTCTGCTCCAGGCTGTTCATCTTAGAGTCCATAGCATTTATGGTCTGAACAGAACCATACCAATGTCGATTGAACATTCAGTCAAACACGTTTAAACGGGACCAGATTACAGCTCATTATTTTTGCTCTATAACAACCAAAAGTATGTCAGTGTGATAAATGTTGAAATACTTCTCGAACAGTGTCATTGCCAAGCCGGTTATCCCTTACCGCCTTCTGTTCGCTGATGATGCTGCATTTCTCCCGCACCTCCTCCTCATACTTGCTCTGACTGGACTCCAGCATCTCCTTATCAGCCATGTCTGCCTTCATCTGGGCCTCCAACACCTGCTCAATGCCAGGCAGCCCACAGAACCATAACCAGGATATCACTTTACAGGACAGAGAATGTGAAGGTGACGTACTGTAGAGCTCACATGCTTTAAGTACACCTACGACTCAAAGAGGAAAACAGAGCTTAGAGCGCTTCCCATAACAATTACACAGCAGGAGTCATATGTCTGCAGATCCACGAAGCACTAATGATCTCAGCAGTCATACAAGTGTTTATGTGTTGTGTTAAAATCAACCTTTATTTTGTCTTCATAGAGCTTCTCCTTCTGCTTCAGATGAGTCTCCAACCGCTGGGCTGTTGCATGGGTCTCTCTGAGGTTCTCCTCCAGCTCCTGCAGGTAAACACACAAACGTTATAGACGACATTTGATGATAAAAGTATAACTCATATTTAGCATTTAAAGGAGACCTGTTATGCTGATTTAAACACAAATATATAACGCCTTATTGCTGGTTGAATGGAGCCGTCCTATCTATAAGGATCTTCCGCACAGGACTACAAGCTGAGGGGAACATAACAACAACTTATGAACAGTGCTATCATGGCTGGATGGAGGGAATCCAGCCATGGATTTTGCATTTCATGAATGAGAAACTGTGCGAAAAGTAGCACCCACAAGCTATGTCTTAGCACTACTTGACTCCACTCTACTCGTACCTCCTCAACAGTGAAGGATGGTAGAACTGCTGCTCGGTCACCAAGGACAGAAACATCTGGACTGTGGTGTTGGTTTGCGTGTTGCTGTTGCCAGGTTTTATGAAAGGGTGGGTTTGATTCTTGTGAAAGAAAACTGACGTCACTCCTTGGCCAATCAATGGTCTGCAGTTTGTTGACATCACATTTTCTGAACCCTGGCCGATAAGGTACTAAAAATGTACCTGGTACCAGGTACTATCATCATATGGAAAACCTTAAAAACCTCAAGTAGAGCTGAGTAGGAGTTGGTAGAAAAGCACCGTAGCTATTTGTCTGTAGAAAAGCAGGTAAAATGAAGTATTTCAGGGAGACGCTGAGGAATGGGATCAGATAATGGCGCCGATATTGACAAATTAACTGGATATCTGATGAATGATGCCGATCCAGTCTTTTTTTCTTTAATTATTTTTCCTTTAATACATGGAAGTCTTTTTGCTGTGTGCCAATGGACTGACCTGAGGTCTCGCTACAAACAAGCGGATGCTGGAAGAGAGTAGGTGAGTTGTGTTTAGTCTCTTTACAAAAGAAATCAGGCAAAGCTAAAAAGATGTTTGGTGTCTAGTACTGTGGCTGGGACCCTATATGTACCGTTGATGAAGTTAGGTGCTGTTCTGAGCATTATTTGTGGCTATAGAGTGGCGTTTGTTTATGTCTCCTTAGACTGCTGTGTATTGCTATCGTGCGGTCGTTACTAATGTTGGTATAACTAGAGAGGCAAGCGGTCGGCAAAATTCATCTCTAGAGGAGGTGTCTAATGGAGGTGTATCGGATATTGGCTGATACGCTTAGCCCAGGTATCGGATTGGATTGGAAAAAAATGGATCGGTGCATCTCTACTCACAGTTACAAGTTTAAGCCAAATAAGTTTTTTTTTTTGTCAGACTGACATAATGAATAGTCTCTTTAAAGGTATTTCTAAATGAAACAGCAAAAACTCTAACACTTTAATCACTACGTAACCCCTCAAACCCTCCACAGGTTGAAAAAAGCTTGAGTGATTGGACTCTATGCAGACCAACAAAAAAACACATTCAGTGTTATGATCTGAATTAATGAACATTTTGTTCCACCTTTACAGATGTAACCGAACCAACAGGAGAGTGAGAAACATGTTGTCCAGAGACAGTCCATCCACACCCACACTAATTAGGTAAAGTAATTGAGAGCACTTGTGTGGGTGTACCGTGGCTGTGTAGGAGATTAAAATGAGACAATATCACAGGAACTTTTTGTTGCGCGGGGCGGCTTCATGCTCTTTGTAAATAAGAGTTTTAATCAAACATGAAAGTGCTCGACCATGAAGCGGAGTTTAATAAGAAAATATCAAATCTAGTTTTGTTTATCTCACAGCTCCAGTGAGTTTTGAATTACCAGAATCTTGTCTGACATCTGCTGAATCTGTTGGCCTTTGCTCTGGATCTCATCCTTTAGTTTGGTCTCCCGGCGCTCCACAATCTCAAGTCTTTTCACCTGGTTCTCCAGAGTCTTCCTCCCATCCTGCACACAATGACAAAATCAGCGCTTGAAAAGAAAACCGTTGACTGACTCATAGACTCCGCTTTATAAATGCAACCTCAGGTCAAATGATCCAAAGTTTATAATTGTGCTCTCTGCTATTTGAACATAACGGCACATTTCCTTTGAAATGCTGATGAGACTTCATATTTCCACCTCAAGGAAGAAGTGAAGATAGTTTGCTGCAGCTGGCTTGTTAGTGATGCGCCTCTATAATGTTAGCACCTCATTATTCAGAGCTCCTCACAATGGCTCCAAAGAGTCATTCATGTGTGAGCCTTGTGAGAAATCTTCGAGGCTGATGAAAGATGTGTAATTTAGAATCTCCTCCCTTTGACTCACTTTTCTAAACTAACGGGAAACTAATCATCGAATTTTGCACGTCTGTTGTAAAATGGGAAATTCTGTTTTAACAAGACATCAGTGAGCAGTTACTCTTGCAGCTAATGCTTTTGTTTGCTCCTGTATACCATAAAAATGCATCAATACAAATTTCAGTCTATTTACCCCTGGGAAAAAAGTGTCATTCATTCATAATCTGTTGTCACACTCATAAAAGCAGAATAACTTTAATCACTGTGAAGCCCTTTTTTATGTTTGAGTGACGTACTAAAAAGTCCATATAGGAACAGCTATCTGTTATTTACTATAAAGACTTCCTGTTAAATACCGGTTTCTGATTGGCCAAAACTCCATAGCAACAGTCATTTAGTCTGATCGCACACTTTAAATCTGTTAAAGTAAAGGAGTTATGGCACATCTAATACTAATACTAATACTTATACCAATACTGATACTGATACTGATACTTATACAATTACTATTACTTATACTAATACTTATGCAAAAACTAATACTAATACTGGTACTAATACTGATACCGATACCAATACGGATGATAATACTGATACAAATACTAATACTAATACTGGTACTAATACTGATACTGGTACTTATACTATTACTATTACTTATACTAATAATCATACTAATACTGATACTAATACTATTACTTTTACAAATACTAATATCAATACTGGTACTGATACTGATACTGGTACTTATACTGTTACTGTTACTATTACCAATACTATTACTAATACTAATACTGATACTAATACTTTTTTTTTTCTCGTACTTATACTGATACTGATACTAATACTTTTACTATAACTATAACTAATTCTAATACTAATGTTATATAAATAAAATGGATTGGATTGGATTAATGCTAATACTAAGACTAATACCACTCCTGATAATAATGCTAATGATAATAATAGTAGAATTCATAGAGAGCCTTTAAAAGAACCTCGGGTGGCTGTATGAGGTGTAGTTATAAACTAAAAATAAAAATTGTAACTGTTACGTAATTTCTCTACTGATAGTAAAAATAAACATTTGAGACTCATGGCTGACTCAGCAGGAAAAAGGAAAACGAAAAGTGGGAAACAGTGCTGAAGCTAGAAGAGACACAAGGACACATAAGCACCAAAGTGACTTCAACCAAACTGAAGAAAACTGCTGAATTTTTCTGCATCTGTTAAGAATGAAAAAAAATTCACCTTGAGTGTTTAATGTGAGTTAAAATTTAGTTTAATGTGATTTTCAGCTAAAAGGGAACAGTGTAATGTTAAGACTGATGAGAAAGCTGTACCCATTAAAGAGCAGCCGACCATCAAAACTGAGAGCAACTACATTTTGATAAGAAAGAAAGAAAGAAAGAAAGAAAGAAAGAAAGAAAGAAAGAAAGAAAGAAAGAAAGAAAAAAAGAAAAAGAAGAACTTCATTGATCCCTGAAAAGAAATTCAATGATATAAAATATTGTCTCTACATCAATAGTTTGAGTCACTATGTTTGTGTATTTAATTGGATTCTGCTTTGCGTAACCACTGGCTTGCAGTATATTATCTCTTACATAATCGGGCCATAAGTGCTCCTCAGAAGAAGATGTAACACATGTTCACAGAGGAGCAGAAAGGCTTTTAGTGCTCAGCTGTCACTCATGACAGATTCATTCTCAAGCTCTTTGAAAACAAAGATTTGTGACTCAAATGACCGAGTACACAGAACAAACAAACAAAAAAAGAAAAAACAGGCGTGGGATCAGAGAGCACATACGCCGCGCTGATTGTGAGTGATAAGAGAGGTGAGCGTATATATACCTCGGTCTCCCGTAGGCGTCGACGCAGACTGTCACTCGAGTCCTCTTTATTCTGAAGCCTCTCTAGATCTCTCTCCAAGCGCTCTTTGGCCATTTTCATACTCTGAAGGTGGTCTGTGGCATCAGCACTGGCCTTCAATGACTGGAGTTGAACACGTTATTAATCAATCAACAAACATAATACACCAAGATGTCCACTTTTATCACAAATCCTTACATTCAATCAGACTTTTTAGACCAATCAGAAAGTATAATCTGAGTTAAAATAAAGGCATTAGTAAAAATTTGATCTCTATAAAGCAACTCAGTGATATAAAAGACTCTGTCAGTGATGGCACCAAGTTTCAACACTCTAGTCTTGGCAAGTTATATGTTCAATGATTAATGGACATTTTTTATGAAGTCCTTTGGCTACATGATTTTTTTATAACTAAGCTTGTATCTAGTCAGAAGTAGATCCGTCCCCAGTGTGGGCTCGGTCAGCTTTGAAAAATCTGCACTAAAAACCTCATGTACTTTTGGCAGGATGAACAGGATGTAAATTCTCATTTCTGAGAAAAAGCAGAAAAGGTAAAAATCTAAAAAGCCAAAAACTGTTTGATTGCTGTAAATTAACCAGAAACCTAAAATCAAAAAGACAGCCTAATTGTTCTCGGGGCCAGAGATCAAATCTGACTGTACACCAAAGTTTTAGAAGAACAACGAGAAAGAGAGAAAAAGGACGAGGTCAGAGAGGGTGCAGACGGTGTTTATACAATCATCTGAGAATGTCAGAAGCTGTTAAATCTCTTGCATCAGGAGCAAAAGCTGATAAATAATTCATTAAATTCTCCCTGTGAAAAAATCCAACCTTAGCGAGCTTCTCTTGAAGATCTTGGATCTTTGTCTGCTGCTCAGCGCTGGCCTAAAAGAGAAAGACACAACTATCAGGACATGAAAAAAAACAAGATTTAAGCTTTTTATTCTTCGCCAATTTTGGAGTTTGCAGATCTGGACACACTTTTGTTGTCTTTGTCCACCCAAAAATCTAAAAAATCGTTAAACAACCTTCTCCATCTTGGTCATGAGGTCATCTGCTTCTGCTTTGCCTTGCTCTTTGGCCTGGAAAGACGTAGGAAACCAACACTCATTATAGAAGCTATCTATGACATAAGTATCTTAAAATGTGTCATTGAGTTAGGCTTTGATTTTGGCCTTTCAAAATACATGTCATATATGTATTTTCAAACATTACAGACCTTCTGTATCCTATGCTGGTAGTCTGCAGCCTTTCTCTTCAGTTCCTCACTGGTCTGACGAGACTCCTTGAGCTCAGCCTCATACAGGTCGCTACGGCGACGAGCAGCAGACAGGTCCTCCTCCAGCTGTCTGATGGAAACCCGCATCTCCTCCAACTGAGCATGATATTCCTACAAATAGACCACAGTGCAGCCTTTGTTGTTAAGAAGAAGCACAGAACAATCGTATAAAACTGCAGTGCAGAAAGGAAAAGGAGGACGGAGGGCAGATCAATGTTTGGTTGAAGAGGGAAAGAGCTCCTCATTAGCCCAAATGTTGTTTGACCTTAACGTGTTTGTGAAGAGCCACATCATTATTTCGAAGAATGAGCAAGCAGTCCAGCCAAAAACAGCTATTTCACATCCTTTTTTTTTTTATCAGTCATGGGAATCAGAGACACTTTAAATGTGACGGCACACACAACAAACACGGAGAGCAGAGAGAAAAGGTGAAGAAAACACGAATCAACCACAGCACTTGTCTGTTTAATGACGATTGGTCACAGACTTTCAGATCTAATTTCCACCACCTCATCAGCTCGCCGCCCGGTGGGCCGTCTGTCAGGCAAAGAGAAAGTAACACGGTTCAGCGTGCAGTGAGACTGATATTAACCAACACAGATCAGGGAAAGTGAAGCTGACGTGTAGAAGCACATCCACAGTAGTTTTGTAATCATGTGTGTCTGCGGACCTCAAAGTGAAGAGACCAACTGGTTTTTCAGATGATGAAAAGAAAGATCGATGCGCCACGATTCAGGCCTGATTTAGTTTCTAAAGCTCTTTCTCAGTGTTTTGACTCTTGTTCCTCTTCTTGCCATCTCTTCTCATAGTCTTTCTTGTTTTAGTTTACTTTGTTGTTGTCGAGTTATTAGGTTATGGATTGAATTGGCAGTCATTTCCCAGAGTCTGTTGCCTTCATTGGATTCCCTTTATTCTGTTATATGCTGCTATTGTGTCCTGTTTTATTTTATAGTCTTATTTTATTATATAGTTCCTGTGTTTCCCCTCAGTTAAGTTAGATAAGATGATTGCTTTCACCTGGATCTTCAAGTCACACCTGTTGCATGTTTCCCTGTGTGTCTCCCTCCCTCTGTGACAGTTCACCGAGTCGTGTGCGAGTCTTTTCCTGTGGGATTTTCAGTTTAATGGACATTTTTGATTCTCTAAATGTATGTTTTTGTTAGACCTTTGTGCCCTTATGTTTATTAAATATTGATTTTTATATATTTGGGTCTTCTAATTTTTAATTTCTTAAAGCCCACTGAGCATTTTTTGGTCTAAAAGAGGTCCAATAGACGTCTAAATGTAGCCTAGATGACTGGTCTAAAATCAGGCTACCACAGGTCTAAAAGTAAAAGTTTTTTAGACGTCTAAATTTAGACCAAGTTTAGACTAAATCTAAATCTGGACTATATCTTTACTACACTGTATATTGCTCAACAGCTATCATAATTATTTTGGTTAAGGACATGGAGATCAGTTATGCAACTCACAGTTGCTTTTTGAAATAAATAGTTATCAAATAACGGGTTAAAGTGTAATGTCTAAGTTCCGTCTAAAAATATACAGACTCGAGAAGGCTGAAATTAGGTCTAAAAAAAAAAACTAGACATCTAATAGTCGTCTATTGCTCAGTGAGAGGGAACTTTCCTAAAAGGAGAGATGAAGTTGTATCCTGTCTAATCTATCTGGTCTATTTTGTTTCATTCCCAGACCAATACACTGTGTAAAACATGCTTCATATCTGTTTTAATTTTCTTTTTAAAAGTAAAGAAGGTAAATTAATACAATGAAAAATAGTAAAATTTAGAAAAAGACCCTGAAATACATTAAAATTGTACAATATTCATCTAAGGATCTGCCTCAGGATAATAATAATAATAATAATACATTTTATTTATAAGCGCGTTTCTAAACACTTAAGTAATAGACTTAAAGAAATCATAAAAATATATATAAATAAAAAAAATAAAAAAAATATGAGTGTGCTAATCTGAACAGCTGGGTTTTGAGTCTGGATTTGAAAAGAGGGAGAGAGTCAGTTATCCTGATGTCAGGTGGGAGTGAGTTCCAGAGTTGGAGATAAATGGAAACGTAACAAGTTTTAGCACAAAATCATAGCTCCTGTCTTAAATGTATAATTTGAAATATCAGATGTGCTTTTTTAAAAACAAAAATGTTTCTACTCCTTGAAGGTTTCATGATGCAGCAAGAGTTTACATTTACAGTCATGCGTCAGACACACTATCGGCCCGAGAAGTCATATGTTGTCTGAATCAATCCGTCAGTTGCATTGGCAGAGACTTCTTTTTCCCTGTGAATAAATCTATCTACAATCTCTACTGTTTGTTGTTCCAACATCGCATGGCTCCTGCATGAGAATGATAAACACTGCTGTTGTATGACAGAGCGTGGGAGACAGATGCTTTTCAAGATGAAATACTGGATTAAGCTGGAGTAAATGCCCAGCTGGGATGCACCGCTGTGAACACAGAGCCAGAAAAAGACTGACGAACAGCACACTTTTGTTCCAGTCCAATTAAATAATTTAAGCTGTATCTTTTTCAACCGCGAGAATAAAAAGTCCTGAATGCACAAAATAAATAGAAATATGACTACTAGATCGGAGAATAAAGCTGGACAAAGATGACAAATGCTGTGTGATATTTAATAGGACAACTAATTTCCCAATACAACCTGAAGGCAAACAAATATTAACATTTAGGTGAAGAACTCGACAGGAGACAGACACTGAGTTAATGAAGCGAACATATCAACCAGGCGATCTGATGTCATTAGTCAGTCTGTTTACTCTGTGAGGCTGTGAGCTAAAGTGTCAGGGTGTATAAAGAGTTAGACCACGCTTGTCAAGCTCAGCCAAACCAGGCGGAGTTACATTAGCATAGCGTTGTTGCTGAGGAAAAGGATCTGTCAGTTTGTCCTGAGGGCCCCCCAAAAGGTCCTGAGAGCGTGCCAGACCAGATACAGAGCTAAACACGAGATAAAGTCCGGTTTGCATCCTGTGTGTCTGACACTAACAACCACATCTGCTTCTCGTACCCAGGTGAGTGGAGGTGACTAAAGAGGTCAAAGTCAAACCCCATTTAGAGGAACTTTTTAGCTCCTGTTTCAGAGACGATACTCTCCCAGCAAAAGAGGGGCATTGAGTGACAAAAGTGCACAGTGACTGCTCCATAATTAAGCGTCTAGAGTACCACCAAAACCTCTTTTTAAATCCCACTCCTGACATTTGCGAAATAACGCTCAGAACCAGTCGATAAAAGCTCTTAAAAACACCGACAAATGGTCCAACAATGAAGTCCAGGCTTAACTAGGTGTTGATACAACAGAGGAGATACAACACAATCTCGACTGGCAAAGCTCGGTATTAAAATCTTCCAGCACAGAGCGAAGCAGTGCTGTGTGAAGACGGAGAAACTCGACCGAAAATAAATAAATCACAACTACAACAACCAAAGCAGATCTGTCAGAGGAACTAGCAGGTGGTATCATCGGCCACAGACCGGCATATGCTGGTAGTGCTGGCATGAACAGTGTTGGTTCGGCACTTTAAGCTTCAAATCAGCTCGAAATGAGGAATCAAGATTGGAAGTTAGAGTTGCAAAAAGTATATAAACTAACTATTCCCTAGCTTTGAGGAGACGCCCTTGTGAAAGCTCCTTTTGAAAAGGTCCTAGAAGTGGACCAAAAAGTCTCCATGTCTATCGTCTCTCCTCTTCTCTTGCAGACTTTGTATGAAATGTTGCTCATGGGTTACATTGTCTGCCCCGACAGGGTATTCACAGCGCAGGTTATAACAGTACAGGATATTTTTGGAGTATCTGTTGGGATAAAACGTTGTAGAAAGCTCTATTCAAGGCTGAATTCGTTCCTCTTAAACACACTTTCACGTCTCTGTTATATCAAGTGATTGTCGAAAATTATGTTCGTCGAGCAGCATGAACCAAGGCCTCGGCACCTCATCACGACAGCCTGCCCACTGCATCAGTGCTCTCTTCACTCGTAGGTATATGGCTCTCGTCGCCATAGCAACCGTTGCACAATGTATTCAGTGCTTGGTAACCAGCACAAGTGTAGGCTGTGGAAAAACAGGTTGCTTTTTTCTATTACCTTTTAGTGATAAAACTGGTGCATAATGCCAGCAGGACGATTTTTCATGCTGTGTGTTTATTGTCCTACATTGTCAATCTTGTAACAGCTTAATTCTCACGCTTAGCAACACTCACGTGGTGCTGTTACACATGCAGAGACAAAAACACACCAGCGCTCACAACATGCCATGAAACTGCCTCGGATTTCAGTATTTAAGTGCAGCGTATAAACAGAGGCTGCGTTTTACTCTCCATTGATAGTTTTTCTTGCTCTGAAAAAAGCAAACTTACTGCACACAACCCCAGATGGCAAAAATAAACTGTACAGAGATTCAGAGATTATACAACAGATTCAGTCTAACAATGTTGTGCATATACAAATACATGATGATTATAATTGTAAAGTTAAAGTTTTTCTCTAAACTTTCCAGCATTTGAAGTGTTCAAAGCCTCAGGTAAAACTTTGGGTTGAAATACATCATTAGATCATACATGATTATTTAGGTATGAGGCTATTGTGAGGAGGCTTTTTAAGGCATGCTAGAGATACTCAAAGTTGTTTCTTTTAGGGCTTTTATTGACAGATGCAGGAAACAGGGAATAACATGCAGAAAAGACACCATAGGGAAATCTAACCTGAAGCACCTTTCTAACCCGCTAGGGTATCTGTGCTACAGAATAAAGGTATTCTTACTGGGGCAGAAGTTTTTCATCATTATCATCACATTCAGTTTCAGTGACTTAAAGGGATATTCCAGCATAAAATTAAGTTAGGGTCAAATAGACAGTGACACCGTGACACCCCCTCGAGAGATGAATGTTGCTGACCGCTTGCTTCTCTAGTTATACCAACTTTAGTAATGACCACACGATAGCAATACACAGCGGTCTAAGGAGCCATAAACAAACCTCAACCAAAACGCTACTCTATAGCCACAAATAATGCTGAGAACAGCATCTAACTTCATCAACAGTACATATAGGGTCCCAGCCACCAAACATCTTTTTAACTTTGCTTGACTTCTTCAGTAAAGACTAAACACAACTCACCTACTCTCTTCCAGCAGCCGCTTGTTTGTAGCGAGACCTCGGGCCAGTCCATTACAGACTACAGCGGGGTGACACAGCTCAAGGAAGAACATTTATGATAATTACTTTATCATTTCCCTGAAGTAATAATCAACATTTTAATCATTTTGCTCTGCAGACGTGGTAGTTCTTCTGCCTTAGCGTCTCAGTCTGATTGAATTTCCATAAAGAAATGATCATAAATGTTCTTCCTTGAGCTGCAAAACTCCGCTGCACTCGATGATGGACTGATCCGAGATCTCCCTACAAACAAGCAGCTGCTGGGGGAGAGTGGGTGAGTTGTGTTTAGTCTCTTTGCTAAAGAAATTAGGCAAAGTTAAAAAGATGTTTGGTGGCTAGGACCCTATATGTACTGTTGATGAAGTTAGGTGCTGTTCTGAGCATTATTTGTGGCTATGGAGTGGTTTTTTTTTGAGGTGTGCAAGTGGATCCATAGACCACTGTGTATTGCTATGGTGCGGTCATTTCTAAAGTTGGTATAACTAAAGAAGCAAGCAGTCGGCAACATTCATCTCTCAGGGGGTGTCTAACTCTGTGTTACAGTGTGTTTGACCCTAAGTTTATTTTACGCCAGAATATCCCTTTAATCTTCACTTTGGTTGTTGTCATAAAGAATTATCGCCCAAACAATAGGAGGACATAACATATATCTCAAAGCACTGACCTACAACAAGAACTCACTTAACAGCGTCCTACCTGCTCTTTAATCTCCTGCAGCTTGTTGCTCTGCTCCCTGATGTCATGGAGCAGCTGTAGCGCCTTATCGTCCTCCTGTGACACCTCCATCCGAGCCTGTTCCAAGCTGCGCTTTAGACTCTGCAACCAAGAAATATACGAGATCCGTGAGATGACAGCGTGTTCAGTCCATCACCCAAAACTAACGTTGTTTAACTCAACAGCTGTGACAGAAGTGCTAAAGTTTGGTGTTGTTTTCACTACTCACACTACATTCTGTGATATAGGTTGCCAGGTCCTGTTCCAGTATCGTCCTCTGGGTCTCTGAGGCCTTCAGCTCTATATCTTTCTGCTGCAACACTGACTCAAGGTCAGACATCTTCCTCTGGACGAGTGAGATCTCCTGCTCAACCTAGAGACAAGAACATAGCATGAATCCAACTCTGTGACGGTGTAGTGTGACCTGTAATCTCTTCTTCTTCTCTGTCTCCCTCTTAACTTGTTGGTCTAGAGGTCCAATCAAATACATAAACCTTCTTCCTGAGTGGTTTTGGGTCCCTCTTTCTCTCTTTTTCTTTCTGCATGTGTTTTTGTGTTTTGTGTGTGTCATTTATAGCGATTGATACTACCATTAGATGTGCCATTAGAGCATTACAGAGCCTGGAGAGTATTGAGAAATGAGAGAAAAAGCAGGTCTGCCACCACAGCTACAAATACAGAGTCATGGCACTGACCGTCAGAATCACACTTTCACAACAAGTCAGCACTGAAGTCAAACAAAGAGTTAATAATACATGGTGCAGTATGTAGGAAGAGGAATATTTAGCAGCATCTTGTTGCCATATTGTAGATTTCAACGCTCACCTACTCACCCCTTCTGTTGGAGAGGTGATGGTGGCTTTTGAGGACAAGAGGCAACCTTGATGAGCGATAAGTGTCATCCTTTAACCATTATAAATACATTTATATCTACAACAACCGCTCTCTTCTTCTTCTTGAAACATGTCCGTTAAAGATGGCAGCCTGCTCCCTCCATGTCTTTAAAGTTCCCCATATTGTTATTTTGGAGGGGATTTTTACTTGTAATGCAATCCACTACTCTGTGCTTCATGAGGCATCCTTCAGTGCTGAGCAAGTGTAACAGAATTAAAGCAGAAGGATAACTCCTCGATCAAAAATAGTCAGAGGGTGACTCGGTTTACACCACACACACAAACACACACATAAACACACACACACAGGGACAGCTCAGCCGAAGTGTGAAGGTAAGATGACAAACAGTTGGCTGATTTAGCTCATTCAGGAAATAAACTCTCACCACGCGCAGAGTAATACCTGTGACATGTGTCCGGCAAATTCTGGCTGTTCTTGAGTTTTTAATGGAGTTTATCCAAAGAGGGAGGAGGTCTTAACAGACGGATGCAGTCAGTAATCTGCAGAAGAGGAGACCACGGATGGAGGGGTGGATTATAAGCACTAGGGAGAGAAACATGACAGTTAATAGTCGTGTTGCAGTATCACTCAGGGTGGATGTCTTTTACACTGATTCCCTGGTGCTATCCCAATGATGTAATCCTTTTTCTTTGTCGAGTAAATACAGGATATCGAATGCAATAAAGGCTCAATATTACTCATAGCTTGAGAGGAAATTTGCTCTCATTAAATGTAATTTTAGACTAATTGCATTTTTGGTTTTAATATCAAACAAACACAAACAAACAAACATCAGTGCTGAGTGAAAGTAAATCAGCTGAAAGGTCTAGTCCTTCCACACTTCTGCTTTTTATTTACAAATGACTATCAGCCTCAGCTCACAGCTGAAGGATTCTGGATACTGCAGGAGATCCATAATGTGCAAACCTAATACGTGTTAGTATTCTGGCTCCACACAAGCTATAAATAGCCTGCTCGTGTTCACGCAACAGCCTCTTTTACCACCACTGGATATATTTGGCAGCTTTTGTGATCAAGCAGCAAGCAGAAGAATGAGCGACAGAGGGAGAATGTCTATTAAAAGCAGAGCTTCGCCTCCCACTCCTCCCTACAGTTACATGCTCAAAACAAGCTCAGATGTGAATTCACTCGCTGTTTTTTTTTTTTTTACCACTGCATGATTACGCTCATGTTAGTCATCATCAGATCTTGTGTGACCAACAGGTAAGGACAATTAGACTGCCGTCAAGAAAATCATGTAATACAGATGATCGATTATGAGCTCCAGGAGATGACTGTGCAGGATGACAGAGAAGTGAGAGGTGTCATTCTGCTCCGAGTAGGGCTGGGCAATATGGCCTTAAATCAATATCACCATATAATGAGTAGTTCACCTCGATAACGATAAATGGACGATAACTACTCCACAAGCTGCTCACCCCCTCCAACTTTAACTTCATCTACCTAAGTCGCTACAACTATTGAACCGTCCTCCATCTCCTCATCTATCTGGATGGGGTGGAGTCATGTCTTTGACGTAGGACAGCGTGTCGAAGGGACATGAGACCATAGCCTACCTACACACATCTAAAACCAACTTTTATTTACTTTTTTTACTATTTAATTTTTTTGACACTGAAAAATACCAATATCGGCTGAATGACATTGGTTATTGACGTAAATTTTGGTACTGGTCAAATTTTCGGTTTATCGCCCAGCCCAAGCTCCAAGGGTCAGTTTGGGTTGATTTGTTCAGTCCCACAGTCGTGCAGCTGCAGCCGAATGCTATCCTGTCATTGATAAGACATAATGAGGAGTACTGACAGTATGAGCAAATCAGCGAGGTTAGCTCTCCTTACATACTGCTAACATTTCATATCATGACTTTCCAATGGCATGTCAAAACATCCAATTAGCTCAGGGGATGCAGGCCTCCCTACAGGGTGGAGAAACTGAGATTTTTTAGTGTTTCTGAGGGCATCCTGTCTTGTTTTTATTGAAAGTCTTTTAAAATTCGCTTAGTTTCATGGATTATCAGTAAAGGACAGAAACAGCCTGAACCAGATCGTAAAAGTCTGCTCCAAAATTACTGGAGTACAGCTGATGGACCTGAGCTCTCTCTGGGAGAAACGAGTGGTCCAGAAAACCAGGGGAATCATGGACCAGCCTGGACACATCCTTTTCTCAGACTTTTCTCTTATGCCCTCTGGGTGGCGCTACTATGCTCCCCCAAGGAAAAACAAATAGGTACTCAAACTCATCTATCCTTTGAGCGATCAGGCTGATAAATGCTGGGAAGTCGCTGATTGGTGGACTGTGTTGAAAGTGGGGTCTCAGGATTGTTTTAGTTGTTATTTTCTTATTGCCTTTTAGTCATCATCCCACTGTTGAATATATTGCACATGTATTTATTTATTGCTGATTTGTGGTGCTGACAGGGGAATGTTTGGGCCATTTGCTGCTTTAAATGTCTCGCATTTGTCCGTTTATCATTTAATAACAAGGTGGGTTACTGTGTTTAATAAAGTTGACTAAATCTGAATCTGAGAACTTCCTCAAGAGGCGTCATGTGGGACTAGAATATGTCTTTCTAGGCTGTGCAGCTGAGCCCCTCCTCTGCAATAATATAGCTCTAATAACTGTCCTCTTAACTGTCATTAAAAATACACCAAAGACAGTTTGACAGGTGACAATATTTCACATTTCTGACTCTTATTTCAACGTGTGCAGGTAGTACAGCTCTTGTGTGAAATATTCTGCAAACGCGGCTTCTTCTTCTTTCTGGAGCTAATCAACAACTGAGCTGCAATATTTAGTGGAGAACATTGGCTTCCAACTCTGTTGAGGGCTCTTTCTTGTGGGTTGAATATTGTGAGCTAGGCTGTGAGTCACGGTTGTTGAAGAGGAGGAGAGTGGAGAGAGGTTGCATCCCAGTCATTGTGTTGCTCCACATTCAGTCTGCAGGGTGACCATCGGGGCCAGAGCGACTGTATGGGCTGTAGGCAGCGGTGAATCAGAGACCTGTTGCAACATCGTAGTGGCACAGATCCTTCTCTGGAAAAACAAGCTCTTGGTTTCTATGCCGTCCCCTCCCCTTCCAGTTTGATCTTTCAGCCCATTCTCAGAGACCTAACGCCATGACAACAACAGTTTATGGATGACACAAAGCTGCACCGTGAGTGCTCCTTTCTTTGAGTCTACTATGGTCTGATTTCAGAGGACCTTAATGTATTCATGTCAGTGGGCATAAAAGCTACCTGCACCTGAATGCCCCGGCATCACACAAATGGTCAAGTTGACAGAATATCACAATCTGCAAACGCACTTGGAGAAGCACTTCAAAAACCCAGTCCATCATTACATGACAAATCTAGACGCCAAAAAGGATCTGTGTGGGCTTCACAAGGAGGCTGTTGGGAAAATGGTACTCGAGAATATGGAGCAGAAGAGCCCTCTCTTTTACTCTCATCACAATTCACACGAACGCTGAGAGGTCTGTTCTATAGTGTTTGGCTACACACAGGTGTCTCTCGTTTTTCCTCGAACACCTTCCACCAAGTTTCTTCCTTCCCCACAGGAGGATAATAAAAATGAACAGCAGCTGAGATGACTGCACTGTCCTCCTGCCAAACTTTTACCAGTCAATTCAATTATATATACACACAGGCCATCTCAGAAATTAAAATGTTCTTAAAAAGTTGTTGCTCTGGTGTCTCTCATCTGTCTCTTGATGACACTCTGGAGATTTTCTGTGGGGTCCAGGCCAGGCAAGTTGGCTGGCCAGTCAAACACAGACAGTTTCTGGTAGTTTTGGCGCTGTGAGTAGGCGCCATGCGGAGAAAGAAAATCAGTATCTTCATGAAGCTTTTCAGTAAGTGGAAGTATAAAATGCTCTAAACTCCCCTGGTAGACTTTTGGTGCGTTGGCTTTGGATTTGATAAAACACAGTAGATTGACACCAGCATATAACCCGGCTTTTCAACCGCATCCGGAACAGCTCAGATTTTCGCCGTACGCCAATTCCTACCAGATACGTTTGTGAGGCAGATTTCATGGCGGATTACAGACAGCAGGAATCGCGAGAACTCTCAAGAACCCGCAGATTCACGTGCAATGATAATAACAAGTTGTCTTTAGCCACATAGGCTAACCATATTAGCAGTAGATTGTGTCCTTCCAGAGGAAGAAATCTACTTCGAGACTTCTAAAATCAGCATCTCCTCATCCATGGTGTCATCGGGATGAAATGACGTCTATAAACCTTTCACTTGTTCGCCCTTGCCTCGTGTTTTATTTTGAAAAGAAGACGGATGTTTTATTTTGAGTCTGTGCCCGACTTCCCTTCCAGCACGGGTTAATCTGTGCGGAATTTATTCGGCATGCTCCGGTGTCTGGAAAAAATAGAACTCTTGTGATTAGCTGCAGAGTTTGCGATCTGCAGCGGAACGGTAAGAAGCCGGTGGAAATTGACACGTTAACATGAATGGTTACAATGCCTTTTCGTAGCCGTTCCGGATGCGGTGGAAATTGGGGTTTACTTCTGGGCCTCTTCAATCTTCTTCCAGACTCTGGGACCTCGATGTCCAAACTTTAATCTGAAAACAGGACTTTGAACCATTAGTCCAGTTCTTGTTTTTCTTCTTAGTCCAGGTGAGATGTTTATGACGTTGTCTCTGGTTCAGGAGTGGCCTGACAGCTGAAACACAACACTTGCAGCTCATTTCCTGGACTCATCATAGTGTAGTGGCTCTTGATGCTCTGACTCCAGCCTCAGTCCACTCCTGGTGAAGCCCCCCCTAGACTTCGTGTCAAGGCTGCGCTCATCCCTGCTGCCTGGCCACCTTTTCCCTCCTACACTTTCCCTTCCAGTCAATTTTCCATGAATCTGCTTTCAGTCAGCCCCTTCAGCAGTGACCCTACTTGAGTATCAGTGATCATCTTTAGGACAACTATTGAGTCAGCAGTCTTCATAAGTACTGAACCAGAGAGAGAGAATAAAAGGCTCAGTAAACCTCCGCAGGTGTTCAGAGATGACAGGATGATTATAGCTCTGAAATAACTGACAAGGAAGTGGACTTTTCCTCAGTATCGTCGTATAATTTTGATTTAGTGAGCTGTAAACCGTCAAGTACTTCACAAAATGAACTTTTTCCAAGATATTCTCCTTTTTTTGAGTTGTACCTGCATATATTTACATGATCATAAGCTTGGTGTTTTCACTGATTCATGTACCGGTTATTATCAGCATCTGTTCGTCAATGTTTACATAAGTTCTCTGCCCACATATGTTCTTTTTTGGAACTTTTCTTATCAAGATGAAGAATCACTAAAAGAAGCTGCAAGTTTTTTCTTCACCTCCCTTCTCTTCTCTTCTCTTCTCTTCTCTTCTCTTCTTCTGGCAAAACCTGCTGTTACCATAGAGATACTCTCCTCCAACCACAGTCTTCATCTTGTCACACTTTTTCCAAGCTGACTTAGTGATTCTTTCTGGACTTAAACCGCATCAACAACAACTATTACAGCACATTATTTAGAGCACAAATGTGACAAATTCTGATTAACTTTGCATCAAAACTTCTTCAGTCTTCCTGGAAATTAAACATGCAGTGGTGCCATTATTCGAGCAGTGCAGCGATTAAATGCAACCCCAGGGAATGATAGCCATCTGTGTGAGTGTATGCTACAGTAAGCAGAGCGAGGAGGAACAGAGAAGAGCAAACAAAGACACAGCATTTCAGTGTCGTGACCAAGAATAGCGCTCACTCCAGATGGATACAGCTGCTGCATAATCCAGTTGCCACCAATGCGATCTCATCACTCTGCAAAACCCTTGGCTGTGTCAGTCTATCAGTCAGTAGTTCTCACATTCTCAGAGGGAAAAGCAAAGCAGACCTGCGTGCAAAGATAGTGGTTTCATCCTTTTCCTTACTAAGAAACTGCCCTCTCCCATTTCTTGAACAGAAAGTATACTCACTTCACAGATTGACACAGCTGATGAGGCTCCTTAGATGCGGCACCACCTCGTCCAATAAACCCGATCATGAGGGGTCTCCCTCGGAAGCCACCAGCCAGAATCAGAGCTTCGCTGGTTCATCAAATTCGGGGTTGTCATCCTCACTGGGGGGGAGAGAGTGGAGCCGAGGGGGAGAGAGAGAGAGAGAGAGAGAGATGCGCTTTGGCAGTGCAGAGAGAGCTGTGAGGCAGCAGGAGCGTGTGGAGATTAGTGCTTACAGAGAGAGCTGGATCTGAGGAGAGCAGAGAGAGGGAGGGAGTGAAGGACTACAGAGAAATGGTATCGTAGAGCAATGCAGTAGACCAGTGATCACCTACAGTAGAGAGTTAGAGAAAGCTCTCACTCACTCCCTCTCTCTTCTCCGTTAACCAATCACCCTCATCATCCTCTAACTCCTTCTCGCTGTCTCCATACTGCAGCAGCCGTCTCTAATCACGCTAATACTCAACGATGCTGACGCTCACTGCCCAAGAACTCGGCTCCAAACAGTTGCAAACTACTGAATATTAAGTGTGATCTTCAAAAGAGGCCTTGGACTGCAGCTCATTAATAACTTAACATGATCACCACTAAGCCTTTGCTTCGTGAGGAGCATTTTTGATCCTCAGATAAAAAACGATAAGAATGAAATTCAGGTTTGATGAATAAAAATAAGCACCAATAATGCAACATACAGAATTGTTAACATCAGATAACTTACTGACTAAAAATACTAGTATGAAAGGATTTGTTTTTAAGATTGACTCAGGTCTGTAGTTCATTTCTATTTCCAACAGTGGCCTCTAAAAATAGTTATTCACAGTAACACTTTACTTGACGCCTATCTCTATAACACATTATAAATAAATGTATAATGTGTTATAATCACGTTATAGCACTGTATAAATATAGTTATTAACACTCATAAATGATCATAATGCTTTATAGCAATAATCATAACACATTATAAAGCATTTTATCATGACTTACAAGGTCAGGTATTATAAAGTTGTTATAAAGCCTAATGATAATTCATGAGTGTTTATAATGATATTTATACAAGTTTATAAGCAAATAATAACACATCATAAATATATGTTTAACTCATTATCTATGTGGGCATTGTCAGTGAGTTGTTACCAGTCATAACGCGTTCTTTTACGGTACACTTATTACCAGGTAATTAACAGGTAATTACCTAGTAACAACATGAAATTATCTGGTAATTACATGATAACTACTAAGTCAATACTGTCTAGTTTTTCTTTTTGTCTTTTTTCTGTGCAGCTCCATTTTCAAAATCTATTTGGGGTTCTTATTTTCTATGATTGACACTTGATACAGCCTATTGGCGTGCGAAGATTGCGTAGCGATTCGCTGTTTGAGCCGAGCATTATCACAGCATCTCACCCGCCGAATGCATACAATTCTACTGCACAAGAGGTGGCTCCAGGAAGCAGTGAAAATCCTGGAAATACCAGTGCAATTCGGCTTCAAATTTGTATGATGATGGAAGGTTACCTACCTGGTAGATAGACAGTATTGACTTCGTAGTTATCATGTAATTACCAGATAATTTCATGTTGTTACTAGGTAATTACCTGTTAATTACCTGGTAATAAGTGTACCGTAAAAGAAAGGCTTACCCACATTATTATACTTGACCTTGTAAGTCATGATAAAATGCTTTATAATGTGTTATTATTATTGCTATAAAGCATCATGATCATTTATGAGTGTTTATAACTATATGGTTATACAGTGCTATAACGTGATTATCACGCATTATAAATATATAAAGCGTTATAGCGATAGGTAACAAGTAAAGTGTTACCCAAGATGCTTTTAGAGTTTCACCAAAGTCTCTAAGGTTGTCAGGAGTCTTATTATAATCCTATACAGATGCCATTCACAGCATCCCACCTCTGACTCCAGTTCCTTCAATGTTTGAAACAAAAGTTAAAAACTGAACTGTAAACGCACCATGACTCGTTAAATGTGATATAATAAAGCACAATGACTGCACCATTGTTACCAGTGATACAGTTCTGGTCACGTCACCACCTAACAAGGTCCCCAGTGTCTGACACACCAGCTGAAACTCACGGCTCACCTCAGATTTCTTGTTTTTAAGCTAGTGTAGGCCAAGTGACACATCCGTGTGATACTGACTTGCATAACACACAAACACACACTCACACACACAGATGACACACGCACAGTAACAGATGGCAGAACCTAACCTGGCAAGCAGTGCTACATCAGCGCAACAGAAGGGACAAGATGCTGAGAAAGTGCAAGAACAGTTTTGTACAACCATGGAGTGTTACAGTGATCGGTGGCAGACAGGGACCATGGCGGCGCTCACGTTTACTACACACTGCCTGTTGATGAGACTCTTGTGACTGTGGGTGCAAGCAAGGTCGTGTAAAAACTTTAGGGTTAGTTGTCTGACGAGAGAAATGCGTTTGTACCGTCAGCTGAGTCTGACTTACCCCCAAACACTGGCCTCAAATCAGAGCACATCTCTGCTTTATTCATCTGTACACATCCTCCCTTCAGGATTTGACTGAATTTATCTCTTTTGCACTTTGCATCCAATTCACTGATGACTGTTTTAGTTTGGCTGCTGCAGGCTGCTTTGACTCAAACAAGCACATCAGACTGAAAAAAGGGCAATTCGAGGGTAAACCATTATATAATCTGACTTTTAGTTGTGTGAGATAGTTCTTGTATTGTGAAAGTAACTGTAAAAACTGTACAGTTATCTTCAGGTAAACACAAAGAGCTGTTGGTTTTCTGGTCCAAAGATTTATTTTTACATATAACAGAAAGCAGTTGAAAGTTAAAGCAGCGTCGTTGAGTAGTTATTAAATTCAGCAGTTAATAAACTCACTTTTTTTTTTTTTTGCTTCAGTATGAGCAGAGGCAGCATTTTCACAGAGTGGAGCCTAGCATTGAGTCAGAGGCATCATCATGATGTTACCTAGCAACAAGGTATTGTATGTCTATTAGGCAAATCCCAGTTTATTTCAGCAGCATCTATTTCTGTGGTCGTTTTAACTTGGGATTTCACTGATTTTGATGCTCTGTGTTTACTCCGTTTTGAATCCTTTTAAAGTCTCCTGCCTATTCAAATGCTGTCATTACAGTTTTTTCTGCAGAACACTGGGATTGTTTGCTTACTATATGAATAGAAAACCACACTGTGAAGTATGGCAGACATCAACAGGACAAGTAAATAGCCACGTAATAGCATCTGTGGTAACGTAAACTACAAGCCTTCTTGAGCATCTGTAATAACACTGTCCTCTGCTGGTGAATCATGGAACAGCTATTTTTTTTCTATCTGTGTATTTTATGCATGTGAGGACTATCATAGAGAAATGCTGCAGTCTAGGGGTTTGAAGAGGTTGGTTTGGTTACATAACAGGCAGCCGAACCTTGCACTAGTTGAAATAAGGCAAAGTCAGGCCTCTGTGACTCAGGGTTGATGTTATATAAGCCGAGAACACTAAGTACAAGGGAGACACTGCTCTGAGTACTTGGTGTAAATTATCTCTAATAATGGAGCTAATATCACTGTTTGAGGGAATTGCAGGTTGTGGTCTCATCTTAATATCAAACACCTCTCAGTGGACTGTGACGAGGCAAAGACTCGAATCAATAATAGACAGGATGTTTGTTTTCTGAAAGTTAAAAGTCATCATGGTTGGGATTAAGTGGAACTCTGGAAAATTGCACACATCCATAAGGACAACATCTCTATTCAAAAACAATAGTTATTTTCCACCATGAACAATCATTCATGAAGTCACTGAGAAGCAGTTTCACAAAAACATTTCACTGTTTCCCAAAATGCTTCTTCTCTTGTGATTGGGATGTGATTGTAGTATCATTTTTGACCAACAGAGGGAGCCATAGTCATGAAAAACAATGAGGGCAGGTTAATTTTGATCCAGAGAGTCAGTTGGGTGGACTTGATGTCTCTTTAGTTACATGTTGACAAGAGGATTAGGGTTAGGTTGTTCCAACATGAATAACTTTTTGCACCTTTCCTTTAAACTGCAGTTTGGCTTTGTTTGTTCCTGCTCAGTTATAACTTTTGAAACATATGACACATGAGCAAAATTACACTAATACGGGAACTGAGAACTGCTAGATTCACCTATCTTACTCGTTTATAAAAGCTATAAGACTTCAGATCCTCTGTGGAAATAACCCCTTATCTCCTGTGCGGCCCCCCAACAGCCCCCGGCTCTAAAGCTATATGGACAGGAGATCAGCAAGGCTGTGACCCACTTCTTTTGACTTTATCAGCTCATGAGGCTTTGTTTGTGATCATTCATCACTAATGCCCATCCTCCAGCATTAAACGCACCTCATCTCCTACTGTCCATCCCCCACTCATGAACACAAACACACACTGCTGTTTCTGACAAGGCTTTACTGTGTCAGTAAACCTCTACATGAACCTAATCTGAACTCATGATTATCATTTTCGTTCAGTTCCCCTCTGAGAAAAATATGATAAGTGTGATAATATCAGCAACATTTGAACCCAAAGGAGTCATGAGTCATTTGATGTTATACTTTCTAATGAGCAGTTTTGATTAGTCATATAAGAAATCTTCCAAATTTAAGCATTTAAAATTGAGCTTCTTATTTCTGTCCCTTTATTTTCTATGGGATGGTTCATTCTCATATTGCAGTTCAGTTAAGATCAATCCATCTCTTTGTTAAATCTCTCCTCTTAAGAGTGCATGCTGCCAGCATGGTGGAGATAAAGCTTGGTATAAAATGATAACAATTAAATAAAATTTAGGGATTAACAGGCAAAAGACAATACATAGGCTTACAGTGTAGAGTCATGTCACTTAAACAGAAAATGATTAAGAGTCCAAGCCTGTTTCCTGACTCAGCTGAGAATAGGGGAGACTGGGGACAGTTGTGGCACACCCAATATCTCCAACAAGAAACAAATGACCTTCGCTCTGCACATGCTCAGTCGGGTCCTCACTCTGTCTGCTTAAGAAGTGTTTCTAAAATGTGATTTTTTTTTTAATTGGCCAGTATTTTTTTCTTTTGCTTTCTCAAGTTGAGGTGAGAAAGTTTCATGTTGGTAGTAACTAGTGTATCTGCATATATTTCAGGATGTTGTTCATCCCTGCAAACCAACAGAATGAGTGTAAACATAACTGTCTTGATAATATAGCACGCCAAAAAAATAGTGGTCTCCTATGGTCAACTTACCCCAGCCCTCCCTCATCTTCTCTCTCCCTAAATAACAGTCACTTCTTCACATTCATGAGTATTTTTATCTATTATATACTATTCAACTGGTACAATAATTCTTTTTATTATTATTGCATATAACTGCTAAAAAGCTGTTTTGTAAAAAGCCATTTTAACATGAGAATGTCTTTAAGTGATTCAGAACATTCACAGCTGAAGAAAGAAAGTCAGCCATTTCAACAATCTGAACTGAAACTCTCATCCTCTCATCAGACTCCTTTACTCTCTCGGTTACCCCTGAACTACTATGATGACTTTATTAGTCCTCTAAGATAAAATGGTGGACTTTTATGCCTCATAGATACCACAATTGATGTATAAAGCAAATTTAAAATGATCTTTTTTGGTCTGAACACAATTCTAATCAAACTTATGACAGACTAAATTCACTTTTAAGAGTGAAAATGTTTTTTTTTTTTTTTTTTTTTGTAAATAAATGTCTAACCTCTTCACTCTTGTGCTTCTAACCTTCACAGACTCCATGGATTGATGCCCATCTCCTAAATATTTGGTCACATGATCAATTTCTGAGGGTGGGTCAACTTACCCCACTCTCCCCTATATACACAGACACATCCACACAGTCAGAATGTAGGTGATTTGTGACGGTTACCAAAATATGGCGCCATCATTTTCAGCCAATGATCTGCTCGTTTGTAACTGGTCTCAGCTGGCGTCACTACCGCGGCGTGAACGCGCAATCTGGACGGGAAAAGAGGTTGGAAGCTGACGGGATCGCGCTTGTCTGTTTGGCTGGATATTGCCTCCGGTGTAACAGGCCGACCATTATGGGGGACCCAGAACTCAAAGACGGGTTGGATCCTGGCCCACCGACCGCTGCTCTCATATCATCGAGGAGGTTCATTTCGGGATAAAATCAGATTTTTCTCACATCATAAACAGCCTGACAGTGAGCTGCAGAGACACAGAGAGAGAGAGAGAGGGAAAGAGAGAGAGAGATAGAGAGAGGACGGTCGTTGGGATTCAATCTGAACGAGAGAGGTTTGAGAGAAAACACGAGAAAACTGGGAGACTGTTTACAATCTAACTGGATCCACCTCAGAAGGGCGAGGATGATGGATGGATTGTCGATTGTAAGCCGGTCCGGTCAGCCCAACCCTGTCAAATCAGGGTGGGTTCATCCGGAATAAAATCACTTTGGTTCTCATCTGTTGGCTTGGACGACAATGTCCGCCTTCTGCTTAGACCTGCAGACGTCTGCCGGGGTTTCAGCACCACTGGAGCTGGACAGCGACTGCATGGAGCCACGGGCGAGCCCCGCCGCGCACGAACCGGGCGGCTATCAGGGACAACCGCTGCGGCACACCGGCTCCGGAGGCCTCGGCATGGCCTTGGAGGAGGAACTGGCCATGCTTTCCGGCGAGAGGGAAGACCGGGGGGAGCCGTCGGACATGGAGACGCCTTCGTTGGGGCATAACGCAGACTTGCTGTCGCTCTTCCGTCAGAAGGAGAAAGACTTGGTTTTAGCTGCTAAACTCGGCAAAGCGCTGCTGGAGAGAAACCAAGACTTGACCAAGCAATATGAGAAAATGCACAAAGATCTCAACGAGAAATTAGAGGTAAAGTTTTCTGCTGCCTCTTAACTAATTGGTTTAATCTGAAAATGCTGTTATGTCATGGGCCTGGCTGTTGTAAACAAAGTGGAGAAGGTCCTAAAGTCTCATGAAGGTCTGAACTCCACCACCAAACTACAACCAAGTAAAAACTGTTCTGTCTGATCATCAATTCAGGAGCATTTCATCCAAACTCATCTGCTTTAACTTCTTAATGCCTGAACCACAAATTATGGCCAGAAAATTCACAATTTTCCGGAGCTGAAATGTTTATTTCACTCACTACTGAAAACCAGAATAAAACAAAATGTCCTTAAAGTTTAACAAATATATTGATTTATCTTGTTCGATTCATTAGATGTTTTTGGATTCAGATTCAGATTCCTTTATTAACCATTGTGTAATACACATAGGAATTTGCTTTTACATGAGTGATTCAGGTCTTTTTCCCCAAATAACATAAATACCAACAACTAAAAACAACTCGGTGCAAGAAAATAGATAAACTGATAAACTACAAGAAGACATTTTTATCCTGTATCGGACTGTATTTAGGTTTTTTTTAGTGATTGGTTGATCATATTGATTTGATAGAAGTATATAAAAGTGGTTAAAAACTGTCTGATGGATCAAACTTAAGAGTACTCAATGTCTCTAACATCACAATGGCTTAATGCTTTACTATGAAACGTGTTGAATTAATGGTTAAGGTGATTAAAAACTGTCTGATAGGTTAAATTTAAGACTGCTGATTGTCTCTAACATCAAAAAGGCTTACTGCTTTACTACGAAACGTGTTGCACAGGCTTCATTTTGACAATAGACGGTGTGTAGCCAAGTTTTTGTTCCTGCTCGTTTCAAAATCCTCCTAGCAAACAAACACGTGGCCTCCAAAAGACACAAAGACTAATCCTCTAGCTGCTCAGGCCTTACTGTATCTAACGTACATCTGTTCAGCCCTAGACTGGAGTAAAGAGGAAAGACGCATTTGATATTCAACTCGAAACAGTTGTTTTGTCGGACCCCGTTTGATTTTTAGGGATGCTTTTGTGGTTCTCTTTAGTCTCTTTTCGTTCAGGTAATTACTCAGAGATGAAAATAGTCACCAAACAGATAACAGATGCTTTATCCTGGGACTTAATCAAAACAACAACAACAACAACAACCCCCATCAGAACTCTGGCAGCCTCTGGTGGTGCAGTGCATCCGTCCACGGTTTAGAGCCACCCAGAGAGTAGAAAGAAGATTCCCTGAAAGCTGAAATGTCACCACAAACAAGACTGGATAAGGTTGAAATCATTACAGATGATGATGAAACGTTAATGCCAAATATAGAGTAACAGGGTAGAGTAAATCTTTTCTCAATCTGAAGACTGGAGGTTTGATCCCAGCTCCTGCCACCACTGAACCCCCAAACTGGCCCTTGTGGTGCTGTTGTGTGAATGGGATTAGTTAACACTCATTACAAGTTAATGGATGATGTTCTGACCATGTTACTCTTTGTCCCTTTTCCACATGCAGCACTTGGAGCAAGAGAAGCATGAGTTGCGTCGGCGTCTGGAGAGTCGAGAAGGGGAGTGGGAGGGTCGTGTAGCAGAGCTGGAGACAGATGTCCAGCAGCTGCAGGGTGAGCTGGAGCGGCACCAGGTCCAGCTGAGAGACGCTGACAGAGACAAGACCAAGGCCATCAGTGAGCTCTCTGAACAGAATCATAGACTGCTGGAGCAACTCAGTAGGGTGAGGCCGTGTTTTTGTTTATGTGAATGTATTAATGTGTTCCAGGTGAACCGCCACAGGCAGCTCCGACAGTCTGCATGGAAGATTTAATTACTCTAGGCTCTGAGATACTGCGCTTCGTGATTTCACTGCTGCTTTAAATGCCTGTATATACTGTGTGTGTGTGCACATGTATGTGTGAGAGCCAGCCTCGGGGCTACTCAGTCTAGTTCAAGTTAGCTGGAGTGAAAAAATGTAAAGATGTTCAGCCCATTGAGGACTCATAATCCCTACAGAGACTTTTCTCCATTCAGCCTGTTTGTACGTGAACATAATTTATACAAACCCATTAAGATGTAAGTAAAAGCTATTAGGGTCTATAACTGAATAATTCAGAGTGATCTGATGGTACACTTATGGAATAAGTACTCTGCATATTGATAGGTATATTGAGAGTAGTTATTATGACAGACAGAGCTAAAGCATCTCATAAAATAGACAGTTTCTCTGTGGAAAGGTAAATACAAACATAAATAAATACATACGTACACATTGCAGATAAAAACGTGGGACTATTTTTAAGACGGCAAGAGTATAAAGGGAAGCTTTAGTAAGGGTTGGACTTTTGGAGATCTTTAAGAGAAGAAACTAACCATCGCTTTTTAACTTTACTTTATCCAGAAATAATACACAATGTCTGTCACTCACCAATAAGAAAGAAGTACCGACAATAAGTAGACACTGTCACCTAGGTGTAAACTGTAAGTTTAATTTGGCTGAAAACATACTGTATATAGAATGGACAGAGTCTGCCTCCTCGCTGGGTGGAGCCACTCCGAGAACAGCACCCTCTGGTGACGGGCTGCAGTATAGGTCATAAATCCAGCCTCCACCAGCAAAGCTTATGGAGCTGTGGACAAACTTTAGAAATTTATTACACAGAACATAATTTTTTCTCCCCCCTGCTTGCAATGTTGACATGTAGTTACTGTAAGACTGGTTTGTGCTCAAGTCCTCTTTTTTCTGTGCAGCTCTGTTTTTAAAAGTTATTAGGGGGTTCATGTTTTCTATGATTGACACGTGATACAGCCTATGGGCGTAAGAAGATTGCGGGATACGCTGTTTGAGCCGAGCGTCATCACAGCGACTCTCTGTGACTGTGCCGAATGCGTACAACGCTACTGCGCAATGCTGAAACGAAGAAAAATCACGGAAATACCGAGAACTTTTTGGCTTCAAATCCGTATACAGGCGGAAGACAGAACCAAGTTGTCCATAGTATATACAGTCTATGGCTGAGACACAATATACAGTCCCATAAACAGGCTTTAATGAGTACACTGTAGATTAGTTTACATTCTTTAACTGCCATATTTTACAGTAAATTACTGTATTATCAATTTACAAGCTGTAACTGTAATGTTCACAGTATAATATTGTAAATTAGAATTTTACTGTGAAATCAATACAGGCTCAGTAAACTACTGTAAAACTCACAACACGGTTACTTTGCAGTCAAATACTGAATCCAGACCACCCCCTGTAATAACACAACAAATTAGAAGAACTGTGTTGCATTGTGGGACAGGAATTTCAGCTCCCAAACAGCTCTTGATAGTACCAGAAACCCTGGCTCATATTGTACAAGTCACCTCACTAAAGAATGATATAATATAAAAGAATGATATGAGCCCTCAAGGAAAACCAGGAGGGTCTCATTCTGCTCGACTGGCAGTGAAATTAGGACAGTGAGTCCACACAGAGTGACCATTAATGTCATCTGTTAAAGGATGTGTAAAGACGGTCTTATGTCTGTCTTTTGGGCGGTTTGAGACTTTGGTTTGGGTTGTTCCAAATGGATTTCTATATATACTATAATATGTCCACTTCCTGTAATAGTAGCAGTAACATTGATATGCTTTGTTAGTTTAAACTTACACTTATAAAGCTGAAAATCTCTCCAACTCTACAGCCACACTGGTATGTCAAAACTAATATGTTGACAATGATGAGATACTTTCCGAGGGCCGTACCATGTTGTGCCACAGCTCTCGTCAGAAACAGTGAAACCCCCAGTGAGAGTCCTGTCACAGTTTTAGGTCCAGAAACAGAAACACCAGATGATGTTCGCTGCCACATACACTGGCTGTCGCTGCTAAAGCTCCATTTCTGGATGTATTGCCCGAGAGCTTTGTGCGCAGAAGTTGACAAGCTTGCTCAGCCCAGCAGTTCTGTTCGTAGCAACCTGTAATTTGTGTGTTGTCGCTTTCCCTGCAGGACGATATTATCTGCTGCTCGGGGACACAGATCGTTAAAAAAGCTCACTACTTAGCAGAGGAGCTCTCAGTTTCATCAGATTCCACCCACCTCTCGCCTCAATCGTACCCCAATCTTGCCCCAGCACCACCATCATCACACTGCAATCAGGAACTGCTCTAATCTGAATTGGTCAGTTGAATGGACTGAAGCAGGAGTTTGCACTTAGCATAATTAAACTGCATTTTAACTGATTAAAACGAGGGTGTGGGAAATCTATAAAGATATTCACTCAAAGTGGTCTATATTGTGTTACGGTGGCGAATCTAGTGGCTTATGAGACTCTGTAATTTATGAGAGCTATTCATTACATTGATCCAGACATCATGGTTCGAGGACAGACAAAGGGAGACCTGGTGGGTAATGGAATAAAAGTGGTCAGCCACTGAGCTTTCTCTCTTTCTCCCTCTCCCTGTCCTTTCCTCTCTCTGAGTTCCTTACAAAGCAATGTGCCGTGACTAAGTAATATTAATTGTTTACAGCACTGGGTGAATACCGGGGATCTATAACTTCCCCAAGGAAACCCTGCAGTAGTAAGATCACTGAAGGCCTGCTATTTTCGTCTGCTGTCCCTATTTCGTGTAATAGTTAACTCTTTAACAGTGACAGCCTGATTATGATCCACATCCCTGTATCTCCTCACAGTCCTGTGTATCTCCCAATGAATTCACCCATCAGTTATTCAGCTGATTAATTAGGCTGAATGTTAGAATTTTAAAATGATCATAAAGATGTAAGATCAGATCGAGCGTTTTTAAAGTAACAGTGGAGAGGGAAAACTTCCTTTAACAGGCAGAAACCTCGAGCAGAACCAGACTCATGTGAGTCAGCCATCCGCTGAGACTGCATCAGGTTTAGAGAGAGAGAGAGATGGACAGAGGAGAGACTGATGCATGCAGATGAAGAAGCTGGAAAGCAGGCAGGTCTGCAGCAGAAAAACGTCCGCAGCATCAGAGGAACTTACAGCATGATGGAGCTCAGGGACTCCCAGAAAAGACTGTTGATGAGAGACATAATGATTCAAAGTTAATTCAAGTTCAGCTGTTTTGTTTCTCATTTGAAATTGTTGCTGAATTTCTGTATTTGATCAATGAGAAAAAACACCAGCAGTAGTGTGATATTGGCATTTAATACAGTTTAGCTTGTGGCTGCAAATGCTTCATTACTGCTAAAGGTGAAAAATTATAATTAAACTTTGGTAACAGTTTACTTGACACCTATGTCTATAACGCATTATAAATATATGTATAATGCGTTATAATTACGTTATATCATTATGATCAATTATGAGTGTTTATAACTATAGTTAAAGAGTGCTATAACATGATTATAACGCATTATACATATATTTATGGTGGATTATAGAGATAGGCAAGTGTTACCAAAACTTTTACTACTTTATTTTTATATGAAAATATAAAATAATTTGGAACATAAAAAATAGCTTGTATATTTGGCTATTGATCGATGATTTTTGTATTCATCAATAATTAATTATTAGTATCATAACAATTTTATTTGTTCAAAATTATAAAATCTTTTTGTTTTTTTAATCAGTGGATGACTAATTTCTCATCCCTTATGCATGAGAATGATGACTAATTTAAATCTCTGAGCCGCCCTTCGGCTGAAGTGAGATGACCTTGAGAGGGCAGGGCACTGCACAGGAAGTGATGTCAACCATGGAGTAAAATACCGTGCTAAGGGGATTAGGCTATAATCTGCGCTAATAGCCTGGCCATATGCATTCAGTCACAACCACTACGACTCCAGTTTACACTTGATTTAATTAATAACAGTGGGTTACTGAGTTATCCTGCAAAGAAGATCTTAAAATTAGTCTCAGACTCTGTCATCACGTAAGAAAAATACCCCTGTGGTTACTTCTTCAGGTGCTTGCGTGTGCTTATGTAAGTGGTTTTCCAAAACGGTGTGGTAGAAGGTAAATATCACAGATAACAGGTCTCCATTGGTTTAGGAGTATAGCATTTGAGGCGTGTGCTCGTCTGTTTGGGTCTTGAGTGTGAGAACAGCTTTCTACTCGGCGCCTAATCTGATCAGCGTGACGAAGCAGAAGAGGAAACCTTTCTCTAATTACATTTACACACAGACTTATAGAGGGGACTCAAGCCTGAGGGTTACCTTACTATGTGGCCACACGCTTCCCTAAACCTCTGTCATTTCTTAATTTAACATCATTAGCAGTCAGTGACTCATCAAACTTTATTTTTCAGGCCATGTAGGAGAAATTAGCAAAGTTTTAACAAGAAAATTCAACATGCAAAGTGATGAAAGCAGCTACAGGAGAGGAGTGGCCTTTATAATTATTATAACTTTATTTATATAGCACTTTTAAAAACAAGAGCTTACAAAGTGCTTTAACATGCAGGAAAAAAGAAGATAAAAACAACATAACAATAACAAGAGAACACTTGGGGGAAATGACGCATTACTGGCAATAAAGAAATAAAATAGGATAAAATAAAAATTGGTGGAAGACATAAAAGCTTTGATGAATGTCACATGAGCTGAGAGGTCATTAAAACGAAGACATAAGAGCTCATGACACCCAGCCAACACAGGAACCCACTCACAAAAACCTGAGACCATAGAAAGCGTAAAATAAGAAGCGTAAAAAGGTTTTAAAGACGACAAAATCACATTAAAGCAAGTCTATAAAAACGAGTTTTAAGACGTGATTTAGAAGCAGTGACTGTTTCTGCACCTGACCTCCTCAGGGAGGTCGTTCCAAAGTCGAGGGGCCCTGATGGAAAAGGCCCTGTCGCCTTTAGTTACAAGTCTCGACTTTGGAACGACCAGGAGGCCCCCACCCTTGTCAGTATAATAAATCCACATCACACCCTGCACATAATTAAGCCCTACCCCCTTCTTTTACATGCCACTGGGATCTGTCCAGCCCTCTTTTTAGATCTCATCTAATCTCTAGAGCAGAGAACATCTGCCTCCCATCAGCTCAAGAAAGCTGTTGCACTTAAGATCAGCGACTCTGTGACGGGCAGGTATTGTCACTCCGTGTATTTGTTATGCAACTGTTTGAGTGTGGGGTTGCCCATCCTCCATAGTCTAGACAAGGCTGCTTTCTGTGAAAGTGACTAAGGAAAACACCGGTGGCGCTGAGAGACCGCAAGTCGCAGCTCCGCCAATCCCACTTCTCCCTGGTTGCTATGACAACAAGATTGACATGCAAAATTGAAACTCCATGTTTTTGTTACCATGGGGATGTGCTTTACAGAAAGTCACGAGGGTATAAGATAGTTTGACGCTAAGCCGTGCCACTGAGGACCCGTGATGAACCTGCTATGTATCTGTTTAGAGAAAGCTACCCAGATAGCATATAATTAAATCAACACACACACACCACACACACGCACGCACGCACGCACGCACGCACGCACGCACGCACGCACGCACGCACGCACGCACGCACACACACACACACACACACACACACACACACACACACACACACACACACAAATGTCAGAGTGTAGAGGCCGTAAAGGAACATGAGCTCTACTTCCCTGCCCCGGATTCTGCCACAGCAGTCTGATTTGTGCCGGTAATTCTCGATCTGTGCAGATTAAATGAGTAGCTACAAATCAGGCAGTCTGCGGTCAGCTATGAGGTTTTTCCACATGATCTCAATCTGTCAGTGGAACGGGCCAGTGGGTCACAATTCAGAGTGTCATGCTGCTGCACATCTGTTTCCCAAGCGGGGAAAAAAACACATGCAGCCGTCACGTTTCAACCCACATCTGGCTACTACAACCGAGTCCTCTGAGGCTTGTGACGTATTCGCTCATTGCCAACCAGGAGACTAAAGGCCCAGAAAGACTGAGGATGCAAATGTTATTGAAGCAGACAGAGTCAGAGAAACTATTTTAAATGTTTCAGATGGATATGGAAACAAAAGAACATTTAAAAGTGCTTAACAACAATACAATTCAACTTAAGTTGTGCTTTAAAGCTGCTTTAGTACAAACATGCATGTGGTTGTCATATTTCAGGGTGAAACAAAAAAGGGAAGTAGGACTGGGAGATATATCGATTTAAAAAAATATATGGATATATTTTAAAATGAGATATTTAATCGGACCATATCACATATATGGGGGGGAAATGTTTACAGAGTTCATAGTCTTGTGCAACTGGTTGAAACTGTTAAGAAGATAAAAAAAAAGACAGATGGGTAATATCAAAATGATGTTTAAAAACAGTTTTCTTAAACTGAGCACTTTATTTTGTTCTGTCTGTATACATATAAGTATATGCCCTTACTAGGGTTTGTCATATTGAACTCTTTTGTAGGGTTCGTTGTTTGCATCTGTGGATTTGTTAGGAGAAGAAAATCTGAAGATTTTAATGGGTCATTTATAGTTGTCAAAATATTGAAGCTTTTATCATATAAATAAATTTATGTCAGAAAAAGATTGGCCTATTTTACTTTATTTGCAGCTGAGCATAATTTCATCCAGCCAGTTTAAATAGACCTGCTTGTGACATGTCATATTTGGCTTTGACTGTGACTAAACATTTGCTCTCACTTTAGTAAAACAATATCAGGATATATATCATATATTAATATTCAGCCTAAATATATTGGGATATGAATTTTGGTCGATATCACCCAGCCCTAAAGGGAAGGGCCCTAAATGCAGAACCAAAAACAGATTTATTTAGAAAAAGAGCTAAAACAACAAAAACTTACCTATAATGTCCATCTCAAAAATCCCAAGAAACACAGGAAGCAGAATCCAAATGAACCAAGAATCCAAAATCCAACAAAGGCACTGGGGGAAAAACCACACAGAGACACTGGAGAGACTGACATGCAGACTTACAACACAAACACACAATGAACCAACAAGAAACAGGGGAAGACAAGGACTATATACACACACAGGGAAACGAGCAACGAGACACAGGTGCAGACAATTACAGAGGAGGGAAAACTGAGGAAGTAAAACAAGACTAGAAACACAGGGATGGACTACTACAAAATAAAACAGGAAACTGATCACTCACAAGACTGGACTAAAGGGGAACAGGAATAATAGGAATCAGAAACACTAGAGAAATCACAAGAAAATACACTTAAGGGAAACACAAAACCAGGGAAAAACTACAGACCAGAACATATCATGACAGTCGGGTAATTAAATATATTAGTGTTAACTTACTCTTTTTTCCCGCTGTGTCACAGTTATCAGTAGAAAGAAGTTATTCCTGTTAAATTGACTCTTTTTCAAAGTTTCGCTGCTTATTGCAAAGTCTGATAAAGATGTGTTACAGTATTAAATGTAAAATGTTTATGTTATGTTCTGATTTTTGTTGTTATTTCATCTCTGTAGAAAGCTCTTTGAAATCTTGACGTGTCCATAGCTTCTGGTTTTTCTCATCAGTATAAGAGATTTGAACATCCATATTTCAGATTTGTTTCTTGAGTCTTTCAGATGTTATTGTTTTAATATAAAGAAATCTTGTCTTAACAGATGTCAGAGAAGTTCATACGGTCCCTGTAAAAAAGTGGGAAATATCTCTAGTTTTCCTGTCATTTAGTGAAAGCGTTTGACCTTTTAGGTGTCTACACAGACTTGTTATCCTCTCAGAGAAAATTAAAATCCTTGTGTTGATAAGATCAGACTATTTTACCTTTTTAAAAGTGTATTTAAAGTAATGTGCTACATGTAGGAGCAGTCTTTTCTAAAACAACGTTACACAAGCTGGTTGATTCAGTCAGTATAAATTGTAAAAATTTGCAGGAATACAAACTTTCTAAAACATGAATGATGAGAAAACTTCTGTCCTGTTAAAGTCTGTTCACATTGATTTGATTTGACTCTTGAATGTTGAAGTTCAAGCTTTCTCACCTCTCTTTGGGAGCTTTTAACAAACAGAAGCAGTGTGCAGTGCCCCCTAGAGGCTGGATGGCAAACTAACAAAAAGTTTGCTCAATTATATCAACATCAAATGATTGACAGACAGTCCAGAAAACAATGGGGGTTGTTTGATGTAAACCTGTGATTATCAGTGGAGTTAAGGGCTGCTTACACGGTAGAAAAAGAGAGAGTGTTTAGATCGTTTCCCCACTCCTGAACGTGTTTCTTTGTATATTTACTTCTTCTCTCTTCAGTGAGCTGCGATGAGTGGGTCGTTTTTAAGGATTTTGCTGTTGCCATGGCAGTGATGATAGTGCAAACAGGCGCTCCATGAGTGCAGTTTTATGCTAATGAAGCTCAGTCAGGCTCTTTGTGGGCCTGAGCTCACCTGTTCGTAAAAGCGCAGCTGATGCAGTCAGGCTCCAGTTTGGGCTGGATCGCACAAATACAAAAGGAGAGTGTTGAAGGCTTTTTAAAAAGGGTCGTGACACTTTGGTGAGATTTGGCTTTCAGAAAAGAACAGTCATCAACGGGGGCAGATGATGAAAAACTGGGTTCATAATGATTGTGAGTTTAGCAGCTTTAGAGTTGTATCTATGTGTGCAGATATGTCTTTAAATTTTCTTTCTCATCTGATGCAGAAAGTTAGCAAGAGCAGCACATTTAAAGTAACACTTAAATGACCTGTTTGTATCTCAAAAATGTGATTTTTTCCCGCCCTGTTTTTGTTTCAGGCTGCAGAGGTAGAGAGGCAGCTGTCCACTCAGGTCCATTCATTACGGGACGACTTCAGGGAGAAAAGTATGTCGACAAGCCAGCACATGACACGACTTGAGACACTACAGGCTGAGGTGAGCAGTTAGGATTAATTCCCTATAAAACCTCACTTAAGAGAGAAAAAATCTGACTGTACTTTAGAGCGAGCACAAGAACGATTAAGAGAAGAGAAAAACACAGAAAATCACGACTCAAAGGGTCACTTTTGATTTGAAAACATTCAAGTTTGCTCCTTTCACTGACTACTTCTTCTTGGATGTGTGTGATATTGACTTCAACAAGGCGGTAAGCTCATTTATGGTCCTTTCTGCTTGTGCTACAGTTCAAGTTTCAGTTCACAAACCCAATTTCAAAAAAGGATGTTTACAAAAACAGAAGTTGATGGTTTACGAATAATTTAAATCCTATCTTTAAAGTAACGCAAAGACGACATACCAACCACTGAGACTGAAAAAAGCTTCATGTTAATTTAGAATTTGAGCAGCAACACATGAAACAAAATTAGGAAATGTTGGCCAGTGAAGTGAAGCTCTGCGCTCCGTCTCTGCAGAGACATGCTGTTGTTGTTCCCACTAAAATATGCAGCTCTTCCCTGAAAGATGAATTAGTGCCTTCCTGCTTGTGTCCCATTCATGGGCACATATCCACCCCCAGTCTGAGGACGTTTCTCCATGTAGTTTTAACAACATTTTCATATTCTGTTGATATTTTCATCACTTGATATGATGTTTTTACCTTTAATTTGATTAAATATAGTATTAGAATGATTTCTAAACCATCAAACTCTGTTTTTATCTACGTTGGACACTGTTTTCTGACGGTTTTGGAATTGGGGTTGACGAAACAAAACGTAAACACACCTCGTCTCACCAGGGATAAACTGTCTCCAGCTTTTCTTTTCATTTTCCTCTCAGACATTTGGGGGAAATGAAGGAAAATTAACACTTTGAAAAACTGTTGGTGCTCACTTTTCACGTTTCACTTAGAGTATTTTTAATGAGGCACGGTGGACTTCCTTTCAAACTTGATCTTTCCTATCTCTCCCTGTTTTCTCTCTCTCCCTCTCTCCTCGCCTCTTCCTCATTCTTCTTACACTCCTTCCCTCTTGGTTGGAGCAGCAAGGGCTAGAAGTGAGTGGCTACTGAGCGCTGTCTGTGGGCCAGACTGCATGCTGCATGTATCGCTGTACATTTACAGAAACAAGGATTGCATATTTGTTATACATGTCCATTAAATGGGTGTATCAGAGGTGGAAATTTAACAGGGTAGACGGCTCTTTAAGAGTTTAAGATGACTGTATTTGTGATCATCCATATGGCAATCCCTGTTTCCTGAGATTTGGCATAATCAAAAAAAAACATGCTTTGTTTTAAGAGCATGTGAATGTGTTGTGATGTCAGTTGTGTCATGTATGATAACAGCTGGATATGTCGTGTAAAGAGAGGCTGTAAAAGCATATTAGTGAATGAGGTTTATTCTGCAGCTTCTCTTCAAAGCCAGGCAGAAAACACCCCGACTGCAGAGCCTGCGCTATAATTGGGAGAAAAGGCTACCACTCTATATTTAGCTGAGGATACTGCAATGTCTTGATGCTTCCACTTTCCCAGTCTATTGCCTGTATGTGACATGTACTGATGACTAATGGCTTTTTGCCATTAGAGCCCAGAAATATCCAGAAACAGGCGGCGTGAATTCTTATACGTTAGTGGAAAACAACTGCTCAGCATGTAAGCTCCCGCACCGTGAAGTGGGTTACAGGATGTAGGTCAAAAGCAGGAGGGATAAAAATGTGCGAGAACTTATGTTTGTTTAATAGGGGAAGCTGCCGTCAGCTACCGGGGAAACGGACTGTGTGGTTCGTCTGCGAGGCTACGCTTAGATACAAGGTTGAAACTCTCGCATTGCAGGGCCTGAGTGAATGTCAAGGTTTTGTGGAGACGCTCGCATATCACCAAGACATTCCTCGAGACAAGGGTGGCAACTTACGCCTACACCGTGGCTAGGCAACGTACATTCTTAAGGCCAGTGGGAGTACTTTTTAATCTTGTGCAAGAGCTCAGCTTACCTCAAAGAAAAGGGAAACAACAAAATGAAGCCTTTAATCAAGCACATAGATGCCCCATCCAGTCGCTACTGAGCGAGAGGATTGAGCAACCCTCAGTTTCTGAACGCATTGTTTCTACGACACTGAAATTAACTGGAGCTGTTTGGTATGTTAGATTAAGATGCTGTCAGAGAGGAAGAAGGAGCTAGAACATCGGGTTCATGTCATGCTGGAGGAGAATGAACTGCTCCAGAACACGGTGGACAACCTCAGAGAGAGGACGCTTGTGTTGGAGAGGCAGTGTCACGAGAAGGACCTTCAGGTAGGAACATGTTCGTCTAAACTTTTGACTAATTTTAGCCAAAGACTCTAACTTTTTAGATTCTTAATGTGTACTCTACAGTTTTAAAATTACTTTTCTTGTTTCATTTCAGTTACGGCAAAACCAGCTGGAGCTCCAGGAGGTTCAGGTGTCCCACAGACAGCTAACAGCTCGGCTGGAGGAGTTGACGGAGGAACACAGCCTTCACAGCCTCACCCCACACCCATCCAGCCTGCTGTGTGAGATCGAACAGAGCATGGAGCAGGAGGAGCAGGAGCAGGAGAGGGAGCAGGTACTCAGGCGGGTTGAGTGAAATGTGTTAAGTGCAGATCCTCGACATTATCGTCAAATACTAATCCAGTTTTTTTGCAAACACTCCTGTCTGTTTAGATGCGTCTCCAGCTTTGGGAGGCTTACTGTGAAGTTCGCTCGCTGTGCTCCCATCTCCGGGGGAACGACGTCACAGATTCTGCACTGTCAACCGACTCTTCCATGGACGAGTCCTCTGAGACGTCCTCAGTCAAGGATGTGCCTACCGGGAGCCTCCACACCAGCCTGCTAGAGCTGCGGAGGTTAACGCAGAATCTGCTGGACGGCAATGAGTCAACGGTAGGAAACTACAAGCGATGACATGACATCTGTGTTAGAAAAATACTGGATTTTAGCACGTTATTATTACATATATAATTGTGTAGTTGCTAATATAATAAGTATTTAAAGCTGCTGTGAGGAACTTTCTGTCTGTGCTGACTTTGGCGCCCCCTGTGGACAAACTGGTGACCTTTAAAACATCATTGATTTCATCTCACCCTCATGAAAGTGATCTAAATTGACAAAAATCTCTCCATGACTATTTGCGGTAGGGAAAAGTAACCAAGGCTGTTCCTTCAGCAGACCTACCCCCTCAAAACATTGTCAATAAACACCACTGCATCAGCTCACGATGAAAAATGCTGAGATACTGTTTTTTTTTTTTTGCGTTGAAAGGGCTCGAGGCGAAGTGACGAGGAGGCTCTGGAGGAGCAGGTGAGGAAGCTGGGAGAAGAGCTGAGGGAAGTCAGAGAGCTGTACGAAACTGAGCGGGACAGAACGCGCAACAACGAGGAGAAAGCCCTCCAGCTACACAATCAGGTCCTCGCTTCACCAACACATTAGCATGCTATGAGACAGAAAAACAAAAACAAAAGATAAGGCAAATCAGGAAGAAAACACAGTGTGGCTCTTATACCGGCCCTGTGGAAAGGTGTCAGATCCAGGCTGCATTAAGTCCTGTCTATATCACAATAACAAGTCCTCCGTATGTGCTCCTCTCTCGGTTTTCAGCCGGTGTGATCTTGTTGTTTGTTCTTTTGGACAGATGGCACTGCTTACTGTAGAAACATGCTCTCTCCGGGAGGAGAACGAGCGGTTAAAGACGATGGCAGAAATTCGAGAACCAAGCGAGCAGCTCCAGAGCGCCATCAGAGACAGAGATGACGCCATAGCCAAGTAAGTCCTTCAAAATATGAGTAAATAAAATACATTTTCTTTTCCATATGTCAAAGATCTTTTTTTCAGTGTCTATCAATACCTGCAGATGTGGTAACACCATTCAAAGTCTGATGATGCAAAAGAGGCAAGAAGTCGACTTCGTCTCCCTCTAAAGTTACCGTTTCTTCTGTATGTGTGTCTTGCAGGAAGAAAGCGGTGGAAATGGAACTGGCCAAGTGTAAAATAGACATCATGTCGCTGAATAGCCAGCTTCTGGACGCCATCCAGCAGAAGCTTAACTTGTCGCAGCAGCTGGAAGCTTGGCAGGTTAGTGGAGGTTCACGTGGGATTTTTCAGTGAAAGTTAAACATCTCAGTCCTGTTGTCTGTATGTAGAAAAGACGTCGCTTTATATCTGCGTAGTGAAGCCCATGGTATGAGGACATATTGGACTGGATCACTGGAGCGACCTCAGATCAGATCCCTCTGACAGATTCATGGCTGTGAAAAGTTCAGGGACTTGTCTTAGTTCTTGTTTTGCTTATATCAACTTTGGCGCCCCCTGTGGTCAAAGCTGTCATAAAATAAGTAAATGAGAGTGAAATGACATGAACCCCTCCTCCCCTGAACTGTGTGTTTAGCGTGAGTCGACTTTAACCTGTCCATAAACTAAAACCGCTCTATTAACCTCCCGGAGTGTGTTGTCAGTTGTCTGTCTGTTATGTTGTGTGTGTCTGTTGATGTGAGTGTGTACTCCTCCCCCCTCTTCCTTCCCTTGTCTGTAACTAGCAGCTCTTTCCTCTCTCTTCTCCCTGCCCACAGTTTGCCTCCTCAGGGCTCTTTACTGTTTGGCTCTTGTGGTTTCTGATCTAGTGGCCTTTCTCAGCTTCCGTACCACCCTTTCTCCCCTGTGGTACCCCCCCTCCAGCCTTAGAGGTGAGCCCGATCTCGCGCCATCTCGCCATTTCACCCCAGCACTAACTAGACAACTCCATGCTGAGTCATTCCACGCCACAGTTATCCCACTCAGGAGAAAAAAAGCTCATCGCAGTCTTCCTGCAGAACCATAAAGCCACCCTCTCCTCCTCCACCTGATCATCCTCCTATCTTCATCCACCCATACCTCCACTTTCCTACTTTTGATTATAGATGTCTTTAACAAACTAAAAATCATTACTCAGATACTTAGGAATAGTTTTTTTCTTCTCTGTGTTGCTCACTTCACTCAGCAGCTTGAGCACCAGCACCCCCTGGTGGCTGGATGGCTGTTACTCCAACAACAACAACAAACCTGACAGCTAAGAGTTGTGACTCTAACTTTATATCGATGTGCTTCAAACCTGGTTGAGTGTGATTTCTAGTCTGTTATACACAGTTTTTTCACCACTATAGATATTTAAACTTGTCTGTCTGACAGATTTTGATCAGTGAGTGGATATTTGCATTAACAATGACAGAATTTCACTGAGAATTGATCGATCAGTGAGTTAAATATCTGTGATTTTTTGCAGATTTGTGGAAAATAGGACTCACTCTTTTGCATGCATGTGCTAAAACTTTGCAATTTGCCTGAATTGATGAAAAAATTGGATTTTTTTGCTTTTGTCAATTTGGAATAAGTCTTTAGACCATACCTGCCAACACTCCCATTTTTCCCGGGACTCTCCCATATCTCAGACCATCCTCCCGCCCACCTCCAGTATTGTCATTTCTACCAGGAACCTCCCGTAAAGTTCATTCATGAGTCAGATCACTATATTCGTCCAAAGTTGCCAGGTTTCCAGACAAACGAAGATTGTCCTGTGTTTCTGCTGAGCCTCACAGACACTGCTTTGATACCTTCACTTTACAATTTGGGATGATTCAGGTCGGTTTAAGCCGTAAACTATATTTAAGCAGTGTTTTTTAAAAGGGAAACAAGCGTGAGATATAATAATTATGTTGATAGTCTTGCACCATCTCGGAGTGATGCGTTCAGGGCCGCCTCAGATAAAAGAGTGCTGTACTGCACACAGATGTTCAGGTCGAGCATGTAAAACATATGAGCTCTTTAACACCAAATATTAGTGGACTAAATAAGTTTAGTGCATATTGTAGCTGTTATTTTTGTATTAACATTTGTTATTGTTAAACAAAACAAAACAAAAAGTGTGCAGCTTCACTTAGACTTATTTGTATGAGTAATTTAATTACAAATACTCTCATAATTAGCTCACATCCACCATACGAGGTCACCCCAAAACTGCTCGGCGAGCTCCGGAAAAATAAACCTGGATTTTACGACCCAAATGTTGGCAGGTATAGTTTAGACCCACATTAGAGCAGCTCCTCTTCCATGGAGGCCACAGTTTCTGTCATATTTCTGCACAAATCAGACCAACTAACAACAACTATCCTCTTCTTTTTATGTCTTCTGGTCAAAAAACAAAAATCAAGATATTGGATGTTGTTGTGCATTAAAAAATGTGTATGATAGTTGGTTTTGGTGGTAAAAACTTGACAAATGTAGGATCACTGAAGCCTCTTTGTCCTTGAAGGCGTTTCAACTGATAGTCTATATATTCTCATTTTTATCTGTTGAACAACTTGACTCTGCATATCCCTGTTATCCTCCTCTCATGTGTGTCCTTGTCTTTCACTTTAGGATGATATGCACAGAGTAATTGACCAGCAGCTGATGGACAAGTACCAGGATGAGTGGCGCGCCACCCCCTCCTCTCTGTCAGGGTCATCCAGGGCCAACAGCAGTCAGTCCTCCTGGCGAGCTCACCGCCTCTCAGACCGGGACAAGAGACTTTTCTCTTTTTTCAAAAAGAGCTGAGCCGCACTGAATCGACCTGAGCACAGCAGACAAACACAGACAGGCGAGGTGACGGGGGGGGATGAGGAGGAGGAGGAGGAAGAATTGGAAATACAGTGCAGGGGTTACAACTCAGCCAAAGTCAGGCAGTAACACATCAAGGTTCGGGGGGGTCATATTGCACTTAATCTGTCCCATTACTCCTCTTCTGCTGATGAACCGACAACAAATGACAAAGAGAGACAGACAGATAAGAATAGGACTTCCCCAGAAGCTTTGGCTTTAGTTCCTATTGTTATAGAAAGTTCTCGGACAGATTATGAACAGGGTCACAAAATTTACCTCTAAGAGGAAGGTTTCCTTGTAGTGCCTACATCTATCTCTACTAGCCCACTGCCAACAATGTAGAGAGGGAGCAGAGTGAGCTGACTATCACTGCATGTATCCCGGTTATCAGGCCAAAGAGTCTGGGGAGGACTGGTGGGGGATTGTGGGAACGTTAGGATATGATGACACACCGCAGTAAGACTCTGAGTGCGGCGTAATGATGCTGCAGCCAGCCCACGTGAGATCTCTCAGGTTTGTTCATTTGTTCAGGGGGACGTTCACAACATGAGGCAACAGAGTGTTTCTTTTGTCACTTACACTAACGGATGTTTTTACAGTGAGAAGTTACTCGGGTTCACTGCCACAGGCCAAACGTCCAATCAAAGTGAGAGAAGGGCCTTTTTCATATCATCTTTGTTGCACTTTAAGAAATTTGGACGAGGAAAAAGTTTGATTTCACTTTGCCAATCGGTATTTTCTCAAACTTTTGGTTTGTGTAAAGTAAAATGGGTCGTATAATCAAACCTACAGAAAACGAACCCAACTCAGCAGGTCTGTCAGCTCTATGCAGTATTTTATCTTTTAGTTTTGGTTAGGTGACCATATCCTGAATCCCAAAAAAGAGGACACGACTATGGAGTCACATTAAGTTAATTTTGAGAGTTTTTCGGGATGGATCAAGTGTCTTTTACGCACCTCTAACTCAGTAAGTCCACGTGACACAAACTCGAAACCTCCGTACAAAACCGCGGCCATTTGAAGGATTTTAGAAACTTCCCCGGACAAAAAGAGGACATGTCCGGGTAAAAGAGGACATATTGTCACGGTAGTTTTGGTGCAGTTTTCTTCCAGCATGTTCCTAACAGCTCGAAACTAAACTGTAGCGTTTAGCAACAGGAGAACCACACCCGCCCCCTCTGGAGGTAAAAGAGATGAAAACAGAGTCAGAATAAGAGTGAATAGCTCACATTTGTTTATCTTTCAAAAGAATCTCTTACGGGTGATAAATCCTGAAATTACGTCAACATTTTTTGTAGTTTGTGCTCCTAGAATATTTACCAAAGTGTCTTAAAACAACAAATGTTCAAATTTAGCAAACCAGGAGCAGTTTTCTACGAGGATATCATTAAATTTAGCTTTTGCAGTAAGGTTAGCAGAACTTTCTTCCCCCAAAAATCAGAAATCCTGGTTAAATTTTAATAATGGTACCAAAGTCAAAGAAAGAGAGAATCAAGCGTGAGCTGGGCGAGAGAGGAGCTCAGGAGAAGCGAATGTATAAAAACCAGCACTTTTGAGTTCGGCCTGTTTGCAGTGAACTGTACGAGCCTTCGTGTTCACCCCTGACCTTTGGATAAACCTTTGAGTTTAGTGAAGTTACTCCAGTTTCTTTACATTATATCGAACTTATCAAAAAGGCACTGTCCTCTGACGTTGACCCATTGATGATAATTATTTTTCTAGTCGACCAAATTTCTACGATGTTTACATTAGCTTTAGGTGGAGGAAGAACGACATCATCAGATCTCCTGGTCAATCAGTCGAGCTCAACTTTGACGTGTTTAATTTTCCTGTGTTCGTACACAGACGACGGACTTCGAAAAGTTCTACCTCCATTCTCATTGCTTCAATACTTCATGGGCACTTTGACTCCTGAGCTGCCGGGCTTCCTTTGTAGGCGGCGTTATCTGTGACTCCACTCGTGTGTGTTGACCTGATTCTTCGAGCATGAAGGACTTAAAGCGTGGCACAGTGTTGTCTCATGTCTTGTGTGTGTTCTCATGTCTAATGCAGCTGTGTGAACCTATGCAGATGTCTTCTTGTCATCTCAGCTGGTTGTGGGGAAGGATCAACCCAAAGAATGATTTTTATAAAAAAGTAAAACAAGGTTTGGAAGAAATCGATATATTTATATGAAGCAAAAAGCATACCTTTTGAATGAAAACCTTTTTTTTAGACAGAAATATATCCGTATATTGTTGTTTCTAGGCTGTTTTCATGCTTGTCTGATAACGAGAGGGTGTGTTGAACGTAACCATTGACACCTTACTTTGACTGTTTGAGTGTGACATGAAGCGAAGTTGGCATGACATTCAAGAGGACAAAGATTTCACCAAATATTTCACCGATTAGATAAGAGAAAATCAATTATTAACTGATAACACGACAGTTTCCTGTTTCCTGCTTAGTCTCCTACCGTAAAAAAGTTCAAAGCAGCATGTTCTGACTCGTCTCAGTTGATAAAAGTAATAACTCATTAAAGCTCCTGTGAGGAAGTTTCAGTTTGGCGCCCCCCTGTGGTCAAAGTCTTTGTTACTCATATCTGCAAGTTTGAGTTGTGACCAAAAAAAGTCTTATTCTGCTGATTTTTGACTGAGAAATGTGCCATTTAAAGTGAATAATTTATGTGGACTCACGTGGGTGAAAAACAGCACCCTCTGGTGGTGGGCTGCAGTATAGGTCATAAATCCCGCCTGAAAAAATCCTCACAGGAGCTTTAAGGGCAACAAACAGAAACAATCGAAGGAAACAAACACAAGCCTCTTAGATAATCACAATTAACAATGTATGTAACAATAAACATATTTAGAGTCTTTAGCTAATTTTGCACATTTTTTTAATTGGCTCTCGTGCACAAAAATCTCAAGAGGATGCATCAATGAAAATAAATGAAAGCCAAGTTATTCATGAACAGAAATATAATATAACTGTCAGCATCCTCAAAGTGAGAAATGCATTATGACCGTTTTTATTCAGCTACAATCATAAGGTTCGAGATAATCCAAACCCCTTAGAGGAAAGCTTCCAGTTTTTTCAGCACTGATACTAAATTAACATGCAAACGCAGAAAACTGCAAAAGACTCAAGGTGAAAGTTCACGCTCCACAGAGCATACAGCCGTTAAAAAGTCTAAACTGCTCCTGATGGAGGTAAAATCCTTCCAGCCCACACACATCGGGTAAAAAAGAGTTGAGCGTGAAAATGGCTGAGCTTTAAAATCATCTTATCTTCGGTTTTCCATCATGATACATTCTTGTTAGACGTTGACAAAGTGTGTATCATATCTGTGAGCTCCTGTCCACTCAGTGTCCTCATTTCTGTTTCTTGTTTAAAAGTGTCGCTTCTATCTGACTTTGAGCATTTTAAACGTTGTCTGCTCTGTTTGGATGGTAAACATCCTGAAGCTTTCACTGTTGTCTTCAGTGTTTCGCAGTGACAGACAGACAGACACACAAACATGTCATTGAGGAGGTTTTTTTTTCTTTCTGTCGCTTGTCTTCATTTGGAATTGAACGCTCTCTGTTGGCTCATTGTGCTCCACGAGAGTACTTCCATTCATCACTGACTAACAGCAATGTTTCAGCAGCAGAATGCTTCAGACTACTCTAGATATTTATCATGCAATTTTCTTAGTTTTTTGAGATTTTTTTCTTTTCTTTTTTTTTTTTACAAATAAAAACTTTAAAATCAACTTGTTTCTCGTGACTTAAAGACTTTAAAGGCTGATGCTCTCCCTCAGTAATGCACAAGACCAGACCCACTCCCATCCTGTCCTCTACACTTTGCAGCAGAGAGGTAGAACTTCCTTAAACAGGCAGAAACCTCGAGCAGAACCAGACTCATGTTAGACAGTCATCTGCCGAGACTGTATTGGGTTTAGAGAGGAGAGAGATGCAGACAGAGAGAAGGAGTTCAGGGACTCCCAGAAAAGACTGTGTGTTAGTGACTCTAATGGGACATGATGACTTAACGTTAACACTTTAACAATTTAACAACAAAAACTGCAAAGTTACTAAGTTTGGTGTCTAAACTTCATGTATGTAAAGTTTCAAATCACAAAGGTAAACATATTTTGTTGTAATCTACCCACTGAGCAGTAGACGGCTATTAGACGTCTAGTTTCTTTTAGACTTAATTTCAATCGTCTAGATTCTGTATATTTTTGAACGGAATTTAGACGTTGCTCTTTAACCCATGATTTGGTAACTATATATTTCAAAAAGGAACTGTAAGTCCTTAACCAAAATTATTATGATAGCCATTGAGCAATAAACAGTGAAGTATAGATATAGCCCAGATTTAGATTTCGTCTAAACTTAGTCTAAATTTAGACGTCTAAAAAACTTTCATTTTTAAACCTGTGGTAGTCTGATTTTAGACCAGTCGTCTAGGCTACATTTAGACGTCTATTAGACCTCTTTTAGACCAAAAAATTCTCAGTGAGTGAGAAAGTAGATGTAAACTGCACAGATCTCAGACAAACGCATCAAAATCAGAAGAAAGTAGGCTTGTGAAAGGGGGGGGGGGGGACTTAAGCGTTTCACATAGAGGCTGAAATAATATTTTAATACACCAGTGTGAGAAAGGAGGCTTGAGGCTTTTTTAAAATCTGAAAATCATGTAAAGCGATTAAAGATGTTCAGAAAGGAAATGCAGATTTTGAAAAATGCATGATACCCTCCCTTTAATGACACAGACAGAAAGAGGATGGAGAAGGAGGGAAGAGCTCAATGTGCCAGTTATGGATTAACATCAGCCTGACAGTGTTGTATGTTTACTCGACAAAGACATGTTCAAGTGTTAGATTTTGTCTTTTTAAGCAAGAGGTACAAAGTATTTGCATAAATGGCATAAGTAGGACTCAAAGCAGGGTCTCCAACATCACTTAGCTGCTCTTTTTGAACAAAATCACTCCTCCACAATTCTATTTTCTTAAAATCTGATATTTCCTGATTCATGTAAGAAGACAAACTCATCTACACACCTGTCAGATATTTCCAGAACAAGCTGAGTAAAATTTATTCTTCACCTCCAAACTGAGAAACACTAAAAGTATTAGATATTTCTGAGGAGGATGAAAAGTTATAAAGAGAGCGGTTTTCTCCGAATTGCTATTGCCCTGGAAACCGGCGTATCAAAATATCAGTTTCGGTATCAAATAACCTCTCTCCCGCCATCAGACATCTCCCCCATCCTGAGAATGTGATTTCCCAAAACTACAGATGCAATAAGGTGTTATCTCGGTGCAAATGTCGGAACAATTTCCTCCTCTGTCTTTACAAACAAACAAAAAAAAACAAACGTGTTAGGAGTGTTTGCTCCTCGGATAGTTAACTACAATCATCCTCATAATAAATACAGTGTTGAATTTTAAAATGAAAGTATTTATTTTTTTACTTTCTTTTTTACAATGTTCCAGAAAAATATTCTGCTTTCCCCTCTTACAACATGATCAACTTTCTTCTCAGTGAAGTCTCCGACGTGCAGCTGCAAATACCTCCCAGAAACAGTGCACACTTCCTCCCATACAACTTTTATTTGCAGAAAATTAAAGACAGGTTTAAAACAAGGTTAAGACCGAGCCTGAAAGCACTGACACATGAGAGAGAGAGATAGGTCATTATGTGTCAAATATTTATTCCTTTAAAACGTTTATTACTGATTTAATTCATGTAGGGAAAATGAATAGTACATCTCTTTTTCTCCAGTGTACAGCAAACCACAGCTGACGGGTGTGTTTTTAACCACGGCACACGGGCATGTTCAACACATGCACAGTCTGGTGTGCTTCTGTGTGTATTTTCTATACTGAATATAAACACACAAATATATTTATATATACATACACATGATGAATAGAAATCATAATGTGTGAGGTTTTTTATACCATTCCTAGACCCCTGGAGGTCATGTTATCAGGATCCCAAACCGGGCGCCACAGTTTAAGAGTGAAAACGTTTGCAGCTCTCTTCATTTATTACTCTCCCAATTCAACGTAAAAGAAAATAACTGTCAGTCATAGACATCGTATCATGTCTCAGCATCTGCCTCTCCAAGGAGGAGAAATGGAGCTCTGGCCTGAACACTGGAATCTAGGGCTGTACTACGTCCCCGTTTGTTCTTAAGTTAACAGTCACACTCATCATGGATGCATAAAAACACTGTCCAGTAACACTCCAGGTGAGAAGCAAGCCGAGGGGGAGTGGGGTTGGAACACAGAAAAAGCAATGGATAACATGACATCAGACTCGAACATTAGTCAACTGTTACGAATATTCTGCAAGCTGAGAAATACAGTAAAACATTGATCGTCTTCGATGCATGTCAGGCATCGCCTCTTCCACGCCCATGCTTTCGCCGCCGTCTGCTACGGGCCGGAGATGACCAGCTTTCAGAGCGGGTTTCTTCACACTGGATGAATCTGTCGCCATGAGAGATGCTGATATGTGGCGGGGGGAAATGAAGAGGATACAGGGCGAGGAGAAGGAGGGCGGCCCTGAGCGCTTCCCAACAGGGTCCGGCGAGACCCCTGATTCTTCCTGCTTCTGGGCAAAATCGGCGACCGCTGCGGCAAAAGTCCCACAAGAAGATACGCCGCTGAGCTCTTGATAAACTCTTCATGATATTGGCAGTGTGAATATTAAAAAAAAAAAAAAAAAGATGGGAAAAAAAAAAGGATTAAAAGCAAACTCTGAAAACATCGTAAGACTTCTGCGCACAGAGTTTTTCTAAACATGATGTCCAAGAGTGTCTCCAGGAGTGGTTCAACTTCTCTGCCGCACTTTTTAAAAAAGAAAGAAATAAAAAAACACAGAAAAGAAAAAGAGAAGATGGATCGATGTGGCTCCACATGACTAGATGTTAGAAGGAAGAGGGTGCAAAGCTTGGCAAAATATAGACACACAAAAAAAAAAACACGAGAAGTCATCATTTCTGTCCATTGCATCAGTTACTAAAGGTCATCTACCAATCATCATCATCATCATCATCCTCATTCACATAATCGTTTGACCCCTTCCCTCCCCCTCCCCTATTTCATCAAATAAAACAAAACCATGAAGTTCATATTGTCTTGGCATAAGCTGAGAGAGCGCGGGTGTCTGAAACGATGAAGCTTGACTCAGACGTCCACTTCAAATAACTCCTCCCTGCAAACCAAACACGCCCCACCCTCCGTTAAAAAAACCGAACTGGAGATTAACGCGTGAATCCAGGAAAGGTGAGCCCTCCTTCTCCCCAGGCGCAGAGTCTGACTCAACTCTCAAATGTCCCATGTGCAGTCGAATGAGAAGGAGCGATGAAAAATACGGGGATTATGTGGGTAGAAATTGGACCGTTGCGGCGGTTGGCAGTCAGCTTGCAGATCCGTTAAGGACTTCAGGTCAATAGTGCCCCTTCTGCTGAATTCCAAATAAAACTTGATCTGGCGTCAAATAAAAATCTGTACATTTTTAAGTCTTCATGATTAGTATGTCCAAAGGAGACATTTTTTTCCATTTTTTTTTTTAACTCTTTCTCTGTATATTTATTAAATCTTTATCTGCTCTTTAATTTAGATGCTCTGAGTCCCATCTTGTGTGTATGCTTGTGTGAAGAATAAATGCCGCTGGCCTGTGGGTGGCTTGGAGGTCGCTAGCAGCATTTTTTCTTTCGTTTACTGTTCCGGGTGAGTTTGACCACGTCGTTCTGTTGCTGCTGTTGCTGCTTGGCGAGCACCTCCTTCTTGGCTCTTAGCACTAGCTCTGTGATGCAGTTGAACATCTGCAGAGGGGAAGAAACAAACAAAACACATGAGTCGAAACGAGTAGAGAAAGTTCATCTGGTTATTTTGGACACAGAGCAAACGTCCTGATATTGTCGTGATAATTCGATGTTCTTGTTCAGACGAAGATGAATCTGTTTGACACAAAGCCGCAGCGATCAGACATTGAGCTCACAAGGATTAAAGCCGAATATATCTTTTGACAAAATACAAAATCTAGAAGCTCCCACCATAAGCCCTTGTAATTTTAGATTGTTTTTTCTTATCAGAGGAAAAAAAGAGACAGCGACAGCGATCTACAGCGACCGACGTTGCTTTAAAGTCCCACTCCGATCATTTTCTCTCACTACTAAAAGTGTCCTCAGTGGTCTTTAAATTGTGATTTTTAGCTAAAATCATGTTACCTGTGTCATTTTCAAAGGCTTTTCTTCAGCAGAGCTCCAGGAGATCATTAGTAATTCGCCTCTGAGTCGTGGGTGGAGACAGAGCTGCTCTGCACACTCCTCTTCATGTTGTGCTTGCTGCCTAACGTTGCTTGTGCAGCAGAAGTAGCAGGTAACATAGGAGCTATTCAGCTCTCAGACATGAAGCTAATATCATAATTAGCTTTCTTACGAGCAATACAATGTGCTAACAAACACGCTTGTTCCGCAATAGTTCAGTCTGAACCTGCCAGAGATTCACAGCGATTTGAATACAGAAATACTCAGAAATTCAATTTCCCACTTATTTTTATCATGATACGTCCTGTAGCATCAGAAAAATGCCATACGAACATGTAAACAACAAGGAAAACATGATTTTCATTGGAGTGGGTCTTTCGCATACGGGTGGATTATGATCAAGAAATGTCAGACCTTTAGTTAGCTAGTTTTGAATCTAGCAGTGATGCTCCTGAGAACATAAAAATGAGGCATAAAAATGGAGCAGTGTGCAAAAGCTGAGGAGGGACAGTGAGGAGATGAGAAAATGCTGCTTTTGACAGACAGAGAGAGACTGGAGCTCATGAACTGAGTGAAGAAAATCTCTTAAAACTTGAAGCTTGATTCTGAGTAACCTGTGAATTCTCAAAGTAACCAATGAGGGTATTTCACACTAATTCATAAATATTTGGCACAATCAATACAGACGTAAACTCAGATCAGTGGACTAAGAAATCCAGACCAGGAAATGGTGAGGCTGCTGTCGTTACACAGTGAGTTTTGTCTGCAGGGACTGAAAGCTAGCTCACTAAAAACTTTGACATTTTCTAGATTTGTCCGTGTCTCACTCTGGCCTTTCTAAACAAAGTGGTCCACTAGAACTCAATGTTGTCGTTGCCAGAATAAAACTATAGTAAACTGAATGAGTACAGATGACTTTAGACAGGACAAAAATGTGTGACAGAATTCACGTTGCTGAAAATAAAACAGAAGTTCTTCACAAATATCATTACAATTGTGAGATTTACTGTTTCAACCCACCTGAAAACCTGACCCTTTAAATATTTGCACGGGAGCTGATGACAAAAATTTGTGCATTTCTGAGATTTTTCAGGCATGTTCCTCATATCAAACCTCCAATAAATAAGGGAGTCTGCTGATCAGCAGGTATTTCAGAGCATCCAGACGAGTCGTCTAATTCTAGTCTCCAACGTGGCTGCTCTGCATACCAGACATGCTCCTCCACACAGACACATTTGTCTGCCGACAGTGAGAGACGACAGCAAAGAAACAAGCAGATACCTCTTCGACGTTGATGTTCTCTTTTGCACTCGTCTCAAACAGGTTGATTCCCATCTGCTCTGCAAACTTCTGCGCATCGGTGGTCTCGACCACTTTGGAGTTGGGATCGTCGTTTTTGTTTCCCACTGAAAATAACAGGAGACACGTCAAAGGTGAATCAACGGGAGTGAGTGAGGAGAAAGTGTAGAAGAGTGAGCCTCCTTCTCTCTATGAAAAAGGTGTTTCAACTTTAAATATCATGAACTTCATCCTTTTTTGCACTGTTTTTCTTCATCTCTATCTGTAAAGAATATACTGTTTATCTTTATCTTTCCTTTATAAGATTTCATACATATTAAGCTCCAGCCGATAACTCATCTTTGCTTTTCAGCCCACGCAAGAGTCACTTATTTACCGTTTTTGTTTCAGTTTGGATATGTTCCCTCTTGTCTTTGTCTCATCCTCCCCTCAAAATTCTGCATCTTAAACTCTCAGAGGCCAAAAAAACCACTCGCACCACGAAGTGGAGGTGAAGGATTTGGGCTTTTTTGGGCTTTTTGGAAACTTAAATCTCTGATGACGACCACAGGAGCTCGAGTGTTACTTCCATCATCTTTTTGTTTTAAGCCCATGTACGAGTTCTTTTCGGGAAGTATTTTTAAAAGCCTTTTCTCCTCAGAGCAGCTGGACGAGTCTGCAGACGTCACTGACTGTGTCACTAATGGTGTCTGTGTGTGTGTGTGTGTGTGTGTGTGCTATATTTGAGAGCTGAGAGCCCAAAGAGATTTTTTTGACATCCTCCACTCAAACTACAACAGAGGAAATCTTCAAAGCTGATTGAGGATGCTGTCGTCCTGCACTAAAACCTCCTTCTCTGCCCCACACGTCGCAGAATCTCGCTCATATTCTCTGGTTTGTTTTTCTCCGGCTGCTCCTATCCTGAAGTCTCCTCACTCTCTGAAAAACCACTAATCTTGAATAATCTTAATGATGCCTTCAGGACCAAAGAACCTTAAAGAGCCCTGTCTTTATTGAGAGCAAGCATCTCAGCATTACTGACAGACCCACAGGAGAGTTTTTCTGTGTTTTTACTCACCTAATATTCGGCACACATCGTCACAGTTCTGGTTGATTTCATGTAGCCATCGTTTCACGTTGACGAAGGACTCTGCACTCGTGACGTCGTATACCACTATGACCCCGTGTGTTCCCCTGTAGTACCTGTGAGACACATACAGAAATTAATGGTTTACCAGAGCAGACAGAGAGGCCTGCATTCAAACAGACTTGGTCATGTGATCTGAAGATAAAGTCTAAAAACACACAGCTGAAGTGTTGTGTAAAAACAATAGGGCTGTCAATATGACGTTCGATTATTCGTCCTAAAAATAACACAAAGGTTCAAACATATTTGAATATCTAGCTCACACAGCTTGCATATAACTTTATCTCTCTCAGAATTTTTTCCGTCTACCGCGTCTGCCCAAAATCTGAAGAATTTCCAAACAGAGCTTCTAAAGTTCGTTGGAGTCCAGACCACTCTCTCCCACCATCTCTCTCTGCATGTGCCACGGACGGTTTTTGTCGAGTCTCACTGCATGTGCAGTTCCTGTGACTCGTCCCTGACCCGTCATTAAAGCTCGATCACTTGCAAAACATCCGCTGTTTTTTTTTTTGCTTTTTTTCCCCACTCAGTTTTTTCCCTGCTGTTTATTATTTGAATATTAATTTTCACATTTTAACTAGTTTTTCTTTTAAACATTCGAATTTAGAATATTCGTTGACAGCCCTAAAATACAACGTTGATGGACAAATCAAAAATGCACGATGATTTCTTATTTATCTTTATAATTTGTGGTGGAAATGTCTTTAATAAATGAATTAAATCATCAGTTACAGTAAGAGCAGTAAATTGCTGCTGATACACCCCACATCCTCACTGCTGAATTGTTAGTTTGTGTGTCTATGTTTCTGTCCCTAGGGCTGGCCGATAAACCAAAAATTTACTGATAACGAAATTTACGACAATAACCAGCGTCTTTTTGCCCATATTAGTATTTTCTGTGCCAAAAAATAAATAGATAAAATTTGGTTTTGGATGTGTTTAGGTAGGCTATGGTCTCATACACTGTCCTACGTCAGTCTGTAACAAAGAGGGAAAGAAAGGTGAAGAGATGGAGGACGGTTAAAGCGGCTGAAGTAGACGAAGTTAATGTCGGAGGGGGTGAGCAGCTCGTGGAGCTCGTTATCGTCCATTTATCGTTATCAAGTTGAACTGATCAATATATCGTTATATTGATTTGAGGCCATATGCCCAGCCCTAATTTTTTATTTATCTTTATAATTTATGGTGGAAATGTCTTTAATAAATGAATTAAATCATCAGTTACAGTAAGAGCATTTTTACATAATGCTGCTGATACACCCCACATCCCCACTGCTGACTTGTTAGTTTGTGTGTGTGTGTATGTTTGTGTCACTCTGCACACTGTGCAGCCTGTGTCTGTGTGTGTGTGTGTGTGTAACTCTGATATTGGCACAGGATTGGCTATATTTGAGAGAAATGGCAGGTCACCAATCAGAGCCAAACAAGCAGAAACTTTGCTGATTCTGGTCATGAGAATTTGTGGAGCTCTAATTATGGGCCTGCTGCACCAACTCTGTCATGATGAGGTTAAAAGGCGAACAGATGGACGTACTTCATCGTTCTTTATTGCATTTGGATTTCACAAAACAGAGATGCGAGTGTCACACCAAATCACCTGTGAAATTCATCGACTCGTCATCCAAAAAAACTCAATCAACCCAATTCAGAAAATCAGAGCTATCCCATTTTATAAGCGCTACAATAACACAAACAAAATATACAACAATGACAACATGTGTAACAGGATAGACCACCGGCCGAGAACTTCATCCGTCCTACACAAACCCCCATATCAGAATAGTACGGCCAATTTTCCAACAGTGTGTTAGGCCCCTGAGAGGGAGCATCCCCATTCCCCAGTGAGGCTGCCCTCGCCGGTCAGACACAAAGAAGCTTTTGTCGAGACAACTGTGTGTATGTGTGTCAGTGTTTTTGCCTCGGTGACAGTGTGGGGATTTGGTGTTGACTGAACAGATCCCCAATAAGCATGGGACCATTCATATGATGATTATCTTTGCCAAAGTGATTTTCATTTCACGTGCAGAATCACAGAGCTACACTCAATATAACGAACAAGAGTCGCTCACGATCGATCGGAAAAATTAAGAAAAAAATCCCAAATATGATTTTATTCGGGGAAAAACTGAGATCTGTTAGATATAGAAAAAAACAAAAAAACACATAACTGCCAACCCTGCAGTTAGTGTCCATGTTTAACCCTGGTGTAACCCTAGCATAGATACAGTATATATTTATATATGCATGCTGCTGTCCTGCTCCCTCGCTCTCATGACTGATCAGGTAAATGGTTTGAACTTATTAAAAGAAAGAAAAGAAAAAGTTTAAAAGCTAAATTTCACATTAGAGATAGACTAATTAATTAAACAGCCGTAAAAACATGTCACACGCTTACAAAACCGTTTGTATTTTAACATAAAATGCATGTAATAACAGATTTATGAATGATTAAACTTTTTTTATTTATTTTCAACACAATATTAACCTTTTTTTCTGTTCGAATAACTTCAGATGGCTGGACAGATATCCAAAAAACCTTAGTGACGATATGTTACAGAGCCAATTATTTACCCGTTAAAATACACCAATGTACAGCACTTTTCCTCTATAAGTTAGCCTCATTTAACTGATGGATTTTGTCAAATGCAAGATTAAAAACAACACAGTGCTACACAGTGAAATGTATTCAGAGCAGATCACTTTCCGTCTGCAGAGGACAGTCGGTGTCTGTTCTGGCTACTGAAACAGTGAAGGCAAACTACAGAGAAATAAGCATTAATGCAGATAATCACAAATTTCCTGGATAAATCTGGTGTCCTGATTGTCCTGAATGCAACACTGACTAATATCAACTAAAAAACATGACCGTTCTGAGGACAAACTCACTCAGTTTGGACAGAGACGATTTATATCGTAAGTGCAGCATATTTCCTCTGTCAAAGTCAGAAAGTTCTGAGCTGACAAGATGGCTGCAGTCAGAGTTAGAGAAATCTTTTTACGATAGACTTTGTGTTGTATAAAAACACTAAAAAGTGTTTAAAGGAAAGCGAGGAGTCCCAGTCTAATGAGATTCAAGAACGAGCTAGGAGAATCTCTGAGCAAGAAAGGAGGCAGGGCTGAGTGTGACACTCTTTCAGAGGCTGTGATTGGTTGATCGATAAAAAGAGAAAAAAACTGCTTATGAAAGGACGGTGAAATCAATCAGCCTCAAAAATCTGATCAGAAATTTTCTTTCAATCTTTTTATATGATCACCTTTCTGCTGAATAAATCATTAATTTTAGTCTAAAAGCATAAAGTTGATAAATGTTTGATGGTACACGCCCACTGCGCTGTTACTTTCCTCATGCTGGTAGAAAGAACGGTGCTTTATACACACAGGTCTCTCATATCTGTGCAGACCGACACAGTTTTTAATTGGTAGTTATGTTTCTTTTAGTGTCTCCGTTTTGAGTGTTTGATGCAGCTTGTTTCGTTCTGTGTTTTTCTACAGTCTCTTACTTTTGTTACGTCTTTAATAATGAACAACAACCTCTCGGCTCACCTGCCGTTAGAACAAAACCACGATCGAAAGTTACTTTTGAAGTTTCGAGTCGTCTCGCGATCACTTTCGTTTCTGGCGATATTTCAAAGACTTCGTCAGAATTTCTCCATTTTTGGTGTTCGGGTTAAAATCCAAAAGGTACACAGATGTGCTACGGAATAAAACCGAAACAGGGTCAAGACACAGAGCCCTCACTGTCACCTCACATCTTATGGGCCTCCCCCTAACATCAGTAATTAGTCTGGGGGGGATTTCCGCACAGTTTCAATGAGCAGCACCAACTCATTCACTGAGTCTGCAAAGTGCCTCATACGTGATCTGAAGGGGCTTTCTCGCTCTCAGATTCTGTTGCTGAAATAAAAACAGAGCGTCACCCCCCCAGAAAAAGCTCAACCGTGTGTGTAGAGGTCTGCAGATCAACTTACGTGGAGGTGATTGTGCGGAAGCGCTCCTGTCCCGCTGTATCCCAGATTTGCAGCTTCACCTTCTCACCGTTGATCTCGACTGTTCGGATCTTAAAATCAACACCGATTGTGGTGATATAGCTACCTGCAGACACAGATTCACAAACACAATGAAGTCGAGACCAAGATTAAGGATGATATCACTATCACAAAATAATGCTGCAGTGTCTGAGGTGGAACCGCACCTGAAAATGTGTTGTCTGCAAATCGCAGGAGGAGACTGCTCTTCCCTACTCCTGAGGAGGAAACACAAGAACAAGAGGAGGTTAGGAGACGGACAACAGAAGGAGAAGCTGTGTAAACAAAACAGTGTTGAGATACAGAGGCCAGACATGAAACTGAGCATGTGTACTCGTTTTTTTAAAATGATCATGGAGGATCAATACTGAAGGTTTCAAGAGGACGTAAATAACAGCCAAGTGACAGGAAGGGAGAAATCTGGGGAAACAGAACAATCAGCTTAAAGAAGATAAATGAGAGCGTCAGCACTGGCGTCCAGAAGTTTAGTGTTGAACCTGCTGCACAGCCTGGGCTGAGACTCAACCCACAACACTCGTTTTCAGTATCTCTAGTGTGTTTTTGTTGTTTCACGCTCAGTTGGTCACAAACATGACAGAACTGAGACTCCATACTCAAACCCTGCCATGGTGTGTCTTTGTGTGTGATTATCAGATTCAGCACATCTGTCTCCATGCAGCTGCAAAAGAGCACAGTCGGGATGATCTTTCCTAAATGATCTCTGTGTGGCACCATGGGACAGTACAGTGCTGCCATGCTTCAATTGAGGGAACACTAGTCCCTATGTGTGGGTAACAGAGAAGAGGAGCTGTGATTGAGGAGCCGGCTGATTGGCTGGTAGAATCTGGATTTTCAGGGATTGCAGAATCCGACAGAGAAATTTCTTTCATACTATGATTGAGAATAGAGATGTATTTAAAAATTAACATTTAAGAAGGACTGTGCTCCTGAATTGTTTACAAGTTTTTGTGATTTCAATGCAACAACATTGAAATAAGGATTTTATTTACAGCTTCTGATTTGGTTGTTACAGGGAAGTTTACAGAAACAAGGTCCTGATCCAGAACCATTGTACCTGTGCTTGTCAGATGAGGACTAGATTGAGAGACTACGGTTTCTCTAAAACACAGTCTGGGTCATTTTACTGATAACAGTTTATCATCTCATTTGAAGAACACGCCTTCAGGTCTGTGAAAACTTGGTTTGACCACATCCTTAAACAGAACCACAACACCTCAGCTGCTCAGGACCGGCCTTAATTATTCATGAGACTTTAAACTCTTCCGCACAGTTAACGTCAACGATGTGTGAGTATGTTATACACGGGTAACATCACAATTTCTTTTTGAGTCAAGACCACAATGAACCCGATCCTGTTCAATCCTAAACTTTAGTCTTGTCAGATCTAACCTTAATTATTCTGGAGAAACTAAAGGCTCTTTCAAACACATTTTCAGACTAATGAAATCATTATTCTGTTTGATTAATGCAAGAAAGGACGGTTTCACTACTTTTTTGACTAGACCATGCGAAAACAGGTCCTGATCCTGAACCTCCAAACTTTAGGCTTCTCTGATCTGGACCAGATTATCTCAGAGGATGAAATGAAATAATACAAGCAAAGTTTAATGTTTGTGAAAGCTACAATCCATTTGAAAATATTGATGCAAAAAAGGTTAACTACACTGCTGTTTTCACCTTTTCAAAACACTGGACCTGGTCCTGATTCACGACCCCCTGGACTAGGACTGGGCAATAAAGACCTCACAGATGCAGTAGCTTATTGTAGCTTATTGTATTGTATTACTTACGAGAATAAAGCCGTAGTAAAATCATAATTTACGAGAATAAAGTCATAATGTAAATGAAGTCTTAAAGCTGCTTTTGTGGAGGAGGAAATGTCTGAACTGGTCAACTGCAGAGTTATCAGTTGGTGCATCAGTGGGACATTCAAAGTGCTTTTGTGGTTTCTCAAGAAACAATCCAACTGATGATCAACATTTGCGATTCAGAGGGAATCGAGCTCCAACGATGCCGGCACAACACGGGCAGCAACCTCCACCTGCAGAGGCACCAACACCTTATGGCGTATAGATTCATACGATAAACTAAAGTCATATGCTATTGCTATAAACAGCTGCATTGAGGGATTTAGCCTCTGCACAACCATTTCCCCCTCCTCAAAAACAGCGATTCCTGACAAGTCTGCCAGTTTCTTTCTGCTGAAAAGATGTATTTCTTGCATATGTCCTGATACTTATGACAATGTGATGCTGAAACGCCAAAGGATTCAGTATCTCCTTGTTAGTGAAACCAGCTACTGAAGTTCAATTTATTTAAATGCTCCACAGCGCTCATTTAAACAACTAACAACAGGTTAGTACAGACATTAGCTACGACTTTATCCTCATAAGAAATGATTTTATAACAACTTTATACTCGTAAGTAATGATTTTATTACGACTCTATACTAGAAAGTTATGATTTTACTACAACTTTACTCTAGTAAGTAATGAGTTTACTATGACTTTATTCTAGTAAGTAACCGTTTTATTTCAACTTTAAGCTCGTAAGTAATGATTTTAATACGGCTTTATTCACCTAAGTAATTCCGAGGTCTAAAATTTCTTCTTTTCTTAATGTGTCATTTTCTTTTTCTTCGTTGACTTCGCTAGTACACAAAGAAGAAATGTCCCGCTTTCTGCCCTGTATCGTACTCTGTTGTACGATATCGACTGATATTAAAAAACATGTATTGTGATAAACTTTTTCCCATATCGCCCAGCCCTATCCTGGACTTGTGAAGCTGGAGTCTCTTTAAAACATAGTTCATGTTAACTGTAATTGTAAAATCATGTTTAATAAATCAGACAGTGTTTTAAAGGAATCTTGGAGGAGATAAGTATCTATGAAATGACCCCACAGTCGATACTACAAAGTGAGTTCAACCTGAATGAGTGAACTTTGTAAAGTGGACCACCGCGGACTGCAGTTCAGGATTCCTCCGCTGTTCAGCAGCATTTTCATGCTAAACAGCTAAAACAGCAAGATGCATTTCACTAAACTGACTCACCAGACTGCTCTCTCTGTGCTGCAAACACAGGCCACTATCCTTACTTCATGTAAACAAACATTAGCTGATCAGAATAAAAGCATCTCATGACCTTAAGCTAATATTCAGCGCTAACTAGCTGACTAACCAAACAAGCTAACTGAGCTAACTGGAGGAAAAAGGGCGAATTACGGGAACATGGAAGTCCTTGTGTCGTTTTTACAGCCACAGCGTGTTTAAGATTATTCTGCTAAAATAAATGTATTTGAAAAAATAAAGGCAAAACCAGAAATTCTTGAGAGACCGACCCTGCAAGTCTGGAGGCGATATCCGGCCTGATCGGCTGACATGCACCGCCCGGACACACAACCTCCGCCCTGTCAACGCCACCAAAAATATGGCGGACGTGTAGAAATCACCGATCATTTTCATGCGCAAATACCCGAGCACAAGTTGGACTCAAAGTGCAAACACAACGGCAACATGCAGCTGTTTTTGTTCTCCCCCACCTTGTAGGAAAACATGACACGGCCCACTTCCCGTCCCGCATCCCCGGCGTCGACTTACCGCTGTCACCGATGATGAGCAGCTTGAAGAGGTAATCGTAGTCCCTGGCCATGCCGGTAGCTGGTGGCTCACACCCGCCGCTTCTTTGCTCGGTTTGCAGTCCGACCCCCCTGGGCTTGTAAAAAAAAAACAATAACCGACCCCCGGACCCCCCGATACGAACGAGAACGACCAAAACCGATGCTGGAAATCCTCTGTCCCCCAGAGCCGGTGGCGTTTATGTCGGGGTGTCGCGGCGTCAGCAGTCCTCTCCCTCCGCTTCAAACAGCCGGAAACACCGCTTCCTTCTCTGCTTGAGCTGCACCCAACTGCTGCCCGGCCTTACTGCGCAGGCTCCTGCTACTACAGAGCCGTCCCGCTGACTTACGGACGCACAGGTGCAGCTAAAAAACACAACTAAAATGCCTTTAAAAAGTTCAGTGCTTTATTATAGATTTTTTTAAAGACATTAAAACTACATTCTGAGCTTTTAACTGCAAGATGTTTAAGGTGCTCGGCTACAGCTTATAAAATGTAGGGTAGACTGGGGTAAGTTGAGCCAAAGGGTACGTTGTTCCACCCCCTGTTGCTTGGAAATGGGCAAAGAAATTGATCATGTGACCAAATATTTAGGAGATGGGCATCAATTCATGGAGTCTGTGAAGGTTAGAAGCACATGGGTGAAGGGGTTAGACATTTATTTCCAAAAAAACATTTTTCACTCTTGTCATAAATTTGAATAGAATTGTGTTCAGACCAAAAAAGATCATTTTAAATTTGTTTTATACATCAATTGTGGTATCTATGAGCTACAACATGAGGTCAAAAACCTAACTTGAAAGTCCACCATATTAGCTTAAGGACTAATAAAGTCATCATAGTGGTTCTGGGGTAAGTTGAGCCAGTGGATAAACTGAAAAAGTAAATTCGTCTGATGAGAGGATCAGAGTTTCAGTTCAAATTGTTGAAATGTTTGACTTTTTCTTTTCAAAAATACAGCTGTGAATGTTCTGAATCACTTAAAGACATTCTCGTGTTAAAATGTTTTTTTTACAAAACAGCTTTTTAGCAGTTTCATGCAATAATGATAATAATTATCGTACCAGTTGAATAGTGTATAATAGATAAAAATACACATGAATGTGAAGAAGTGACTGTTATTTAAGGAGAGAGAAGGTGAGGGAGGGCTAGGATGGAGAGTGGGTCAACTTACCCCATACACGGGGTAAGTTGACCATAGTAGACCACTTTTTTTGGCATGCTATATTATCAAGACAGTTATGTTTACACTCATTCTGTTGGTTTGCAGGGATGCACAACATCCTGAAATATATGCATATACACTAGTTAGAGATAAAACTATGATTGTCTTGATGTAGTGATCTGAAATATGAAAAATGGATCATCTTAACCCATTCTCCCCTCTTTCATTGTGAGTTTGTGTTAGATATTCATATTCCACATAAGTATTAGTCCACTTCAGGACATGAAACCACAGTCTTAGGGAAGGTAGCTGAATTGGCTGCTTTCATGATGATCCAGAAGTAGAGCCAGACTTTTTAGGCAGGGGCGGGCAAATAGGGGCCCTCACTTTTGTGGGGGTGGCCAGGTGTGTTAAACAATATGGGCTTACCAGAAGTGAGCTTTAACATTCAAAAATAACACCCCCAAATTGTTATGGTCATGTATATAGTATAATCATAAATACAACCAGAATTTGTGAGTTAGGATGGCAAGACGGCCACTGAAGAGGCCAATCGGGTCCTTGACCCTGCCACTGCTATTTCAATCAGTACCCTTAAAGCATACTGATGGAGCTTTTGGGTGGAGTGGGAAAAGTTGCATAGTTATGCAACACTGCAGCCTTGAGAGGAATTTCAAGTAAAGTGAGTTTCAAGAGCTTCACAAGGAATGGAAAGGGTCTAAGGATTATATCCCTTACACCAAACCACTCCTGAACCAAAGATGTCAAAAGCGTCTGACGTAGACGGAGGAAAAATCAACAGTGGTGTTTCTTGGTGGTCCAAAACTCTGCTTTCAGGTTAAAGTGAAATCAAGAGGTGTCTTCTGTTAGTGATCCTTTTTATTGTGCTTTAAGTCAATGCAGCCGTCCACTGGTAGATGATCTTCAGAGGAGCTTTTTTTCTTTTATAGAAAGACTTACCACCTGCTAAGAGTTTCAAAACTACCACCATGTAGTTTTCTCTCCATGATATTTCCATTGAAATGGGGATAACCAAAGAACACAGACCAGCTGCAGGCCACGGTGTAAAAGCACCCTGGGCTTTAATAGCACCTGAGCAGAGCACCACCTCACTGATGCAGTCATTTGTTGTGAAGAAGCCCCAACCAAGTTTGGAGAATAAATGAACCTACCTTTCAGAATTTGATCATTTCTGTGTTTTAAATCTTTGTAAAATTAAACTAGATTTTTGGTTTTAATCCAAAATCAGCTTAAATCTTTTCAGAGGAACTTTCAAGGAGGTTAAACTGGTCTCTTTGTATTTATTTTAAACTATTCTTATCAACATGATTCACACTACAAACACACTGATTGAAGTGAAAAGGAATACATCCGCCCCACCCCCTTATAAAACAAACTGGATTCATGTCAAATTTGATCTTTTTCTTCAGTGTCATACCAAGTAATGAGCCCTGAACATGAGGAACAACCAAGATCATATGTGTGGTACTCCATAAATCCTAGTAGGTAAACCACAGAGAAACCCTTTGGATTCCCTATATAGTGAGATTAAAGGGGTCACGGTCCTGCTCCCAACCCCATCAGCTATTCTGTTTCTTATACTCCGACATGAAATCAAGATTTTTTTATTCTGTATTGCCTTATTACAACCGTATCAATGAAATAAAAAGAAGGATATCTTGTAAGAGGTGGCACCCCCTCAAAAAAAAGAAGTTTAACACAAAAGTCAAAAGGAAGATTAAAGATAAGAGTGTTGTTTCTTTTCAGCAGCATTTAAAATGTTTGAAATTGCTTGATAAGATTGAATAGCAAAACATTATTGGCCTTTTGTGTGTGTGTGTGTGTTTAGTACACGAGTACAATCTGGTCATAACGGGATCAAATCAGAAAAACAAATACATTTGGGCTTAAAGACTGCTAAAATAATTAAAGTGAAAAAGAAGAAAAAGGTAATTTTTGGGGGTTGAAAAAATCCATTGCAGTCATGGTCTATTAAAGGCAACACAGGCATGTGTGATGAGTGTGTTGGGGTCGCAGGTACAGTGGGGGGATCATTTCATTTCTCAGTCTTGCTCCATCATGTTAGGATGGTGTCGTCTATCTCTTCATTGGAGTCTGGCTGGCTGGCGATTTTCTTCAGGGAACGTCGATGACACTCTGAGAGCAAGTCGTTGCTTGCAGAATCCAGAATGGCAGCAATACTCTGTTGTGGAAAGAGCAAAAATTTAACAAGAGTTTTTCTTTTTTTTAAAGTGATATATGTGATTTTACGGTGTAAAAAAGCGCGCATCTGACCTGCATAGTTTCTTCTCCTTGGCGGAGTCGCAGCAGGTTGACGATGGTGTGCTCACTCTGAGCTCTGACGCTGGTGTTCTTGTCCTTGGTGTTGTCCAGCAGACTCTTCAGCAGAGGCTTAATGAGATTCGCCTCCATGGAGGGTGTAGCTGGGTCTTTGAAAACCCACCACAGCACCCGCTCTGATACCAGTCTGATGTCACTGGACTGGTTCTGAAGACACTGTGTAATCACAAAGAGGACTCACATGAAAACAGGAACTTAAGCCCGTCCAAAACTCAGGGTAAAATGTTTGGCACAATCTAAGTCCCTTTTTTATGATGATGGAGAATACTCTGAATTTGCTAACTTAGTGAAGGACTTTTGGGCACTCTTAGGAAAATGAAGAGACATCCAGTAAAATAGACGACCCTCATTAGTTGGATTAAAAACTGCACCATCTCTTGTACCTTGGTAAACTGTGTGATGATCCGCTGGGAAACACTGCTGCCTCCCTCAGTTTTGAGATGATGCTTCATCAGGTATCCCATCCCTCTGATCCCGCTGGTTGCTATGGGAATCTATCAGGACAGAAGAAACACAATTCAATCTGTCATGTATAAAAGCAAAAGCAACAAATATACAGTTTCAGTGATGGAAGTGAGATTTAAAGCTAAACCCAGAGATCCATCAAACCTCCATGAAACCTTCAAACTACATCAGGACAAGTGACTTCATTATAGCCAGGTCTATCATTTCATCACAGGTGTGAGGTATATTGTTTTCTTTGACACTCAGACGTCCTCCTCACCCTGTCGGCGGTGGCGTTGGCCAAAATTGTCTCTGTCACAGTGTCGCAGTATTCCTTCCCACACAGTTTCTCCGGAGCTGATTTGACAGCTATGGCCAGGGCCAAGCTCCGGCCGTGACGCACCATCCAGTCAACGCCAGACACGTCCGCTGAAGGGCACAAAAAATACAGATCTGAACTGTTATAATTAACCAAAATTAAAACCTCTTTATTACATTTAAAAACAAATTAAACACATGAATTAAATGATGAGGCGATAGCTTCATTTAGAAAAATACCAACCCAGGATGTGCTGAGGTAACAAAGTCTTCAGCTCCTCCTCTGACAGGAATGCACACAGCTCACCAATACAGCCAGCTGACGCCATACGAGTAGCATCCTACATGAACGCATACAGTCAGTCAGCCAGACAGAGAAAAGCAGACAGTCAAACAGTCTCATACTGACATAAAGGTTCGAAACCCTTTTTATAAAACCACATCCTCTCTACATGACTTCCGCTTTTCTGCTGTGATCACAAAGGAAACTGTGTCACTGAACCACTTTGTAAAATCCTCCCTCCGGTTAAGATCATTTCTGCATTTATGTTCTGCTCATTAATTATTGCATTCAACAGATATTAGAGCCCTAGGTGAAAAAAAAACAGGCGTGCTGCAACAGATTAAAAACACGTCTTCAAAGCTGAAGTTGCTGCTGCGAGGCATCTGCTCCTCCTGTCATACCTCATCATGTCCCAGCATGCCCAGTAATGTGGTGGTGATGTTCTTGCGGATGGCTGGATCCACCTTTGACCCGGCCCCCTGGATGACAAACCGTAAGGCTTGGAGCATAGTCTCTCTGTGGGGAATCCAAACAAAAAACAGAAAATGAGCAGAGAAATGGAGTAAGATGCTTTGAGAACGCTGGAGAATAATGACTCTGGCTGAGCTCCAGCAGCTATAATTGAGATTTTCTCTTCCTCTTTTATTACCATCATCACTATAAATACTACAATAGAGTCCCATTGACTTTGACTGTAATAAATTTATTATTATTAACTTACAGCTCCTGCAAACAAGTCTGTCTGTTAAAGGGAAGTTATTTTTTGCCGCTGTAACTCGCTAAATGATGCAAATTTCTCTGCACCTGGTGGATTGAAACAAGACTAAGTCTTATTCTTTCAGCTGAGACTCATCTATCGGTAAATAAAAAAACAAAGAGTACGGTCTATAACTGTTGTTTTTTGTTAAGTGTCTTCAGATGATGTTTGTTTTTAATCTGGCAGCACATAAATAAAGATTAACTGACTGAAAATGTTAATGGAGGCCAAATCAAATGTCAGGAATGATAAGAAATCATCATTGAATTCTCTTTAAACAAGGGGTGTCTGCGATACAACTTTTTGACTTCTGATACGATACCAATATTGTAGCCTCAATACTGACTGATACCAATATTGTAGCCTTTAATATTGACCAATACTGATATTGATCCAATATTGGCACAAAATTGTGCTAAACAAGTTTTTCACTCAGCTGCAACGTCTTTTTCTGACTCAAATTAAAAATACTTCCACACAGACGACATCACTCTTACTCCTTGCTACTTTGTTAGTTCCTTAGTACACATTGTTGTTGTGATTTTGTGGGATGGACTCTCTGGAATGGACTGCTTGTATCGGAGTGCTGATATCAGAGATATTAGATACAGGCTGATATAATCCGATATTCATTTTTTTGCTGATATCGGACCGATATCCGATATCAATATCGTATCGGGACACCCCTACTGAAAATGTTAATGGAGGCCGAATCAAATGTCAGGAATGATCAGAAATCTTCACTGAATTCTCTTCACACTGAAGATTTTGTAATTAAATGCTGTACGAGCGTTCACCTGACTCCTGAGTCCTCAGCATTGCGGATGGCAGAAAGCTGCTCAGTAAAGAGTGGGTCCACTTTGGTGTGAATGGAAACCAGCTGACCAAGAGCCTCGGCAGCCCTCAGCCTCACAGCACGGCTCGAATCCTGCAGAGCCTTCAGGAAGGTGGTCTGCAGCTGAGGCAGGAAAGGCTTCAAGGCGATGCCCACCTGAGGGAGGAGCGCAGTCCAGAGGTTAGAGGGTTATTTTGATCATTCGTGGCGAACTACCTATCTCACTATCTTTCTGCAGATAAAGACCTTAGCCAGCAGCAGAGTGAGAGTCTCCAGCAGAGCTGTCTTTACTGTCCAGGCAAATCTGTCTCCCAGAATACGAATGAGCGGTCCGGTGATGTTAACCACAGAGGGTCGCAGCGCCTCAGGGGAGGTCAGTTTGATCACCCCTCCTAAAGCTTTCGCCGCCTCTTCTTTCTGCTCTGGACTACCTGTGAGGACACCTTCCCTCAGCACAGGCAGGATACAGGTCACACCCTGTGGAAAGAAACACAGAGACAAAACACACAACAGTTACTCCTCCGACAGCCAAAGCTTTAACACTGTCGGAAACTGTGAGAGCATTTCTTTTTCTCACACTTTCAGCCCCTAAACCACAAAACTATTAAAATTATAATGTGATCATTGAGAAGCAGAGAATCTTTTTTAGGCAAACATCATAAAAATACAATAAAACTACCAATATGATGCCACAGATGGGCGCCACAGTACTTCACACTGATATTATTGTGTTTTTATTTTCCACTACCATCATCCAGTCTCTGCATTTCTATGAATGAGCGGTTTGGGTCTGCCTCAAAGATGAACAGTGAAGCACCAGGACAGGAAAAGACTATCACTGAAGTCCCTGGAGTCAAATTCCTAAAATGTGTACAGATCAAACACCAAATTAAGAACTCTTAGATTTTGACCATCTTTAAAGTGGTTTGGATGAGCTGTACAACCTGAGATTCATGTGTTATGTGTTTGTCTAAATACTTCACTGATGTGTTCAAATTTTGGATCAAAATCAACAAACTAAACGGTTTGTCAGCCTGTTCTTTGCCTTTTCACTGTGAACTATTCCTGTGAAACATCCTGTCAAATATCAACTTTGGTAGAAGATATGCCAAACACCAAAGAGTTTCTCAAATGACAAATGGGTAAGGAACTACATGACGGCCCAGACTCAGTCATTTTCCTACAGAGAAAGCCATGACAGAAGACGAGAATGGACTTATCTGTGTAACAGCTGTCTGAACGAGTCAAAAAGAGCCTCCTTACCTTCTTGGGCAGACAGAAACCCGGTAAGTGCGGGCCTTTCACATCTGCAGCTGCTGATCTAATATCTCTGTGCAGGTCATCGATCAGAGCCAGCTGGCTGCTTGCATCCAGTTTCTGTTTTAACAAACAAATACAATCAGGAGACATTTCCACTTGATTAAAAATAACTACAGCAGTCAGCTGATCGGCTTTTATTCACATGTCATCAACACACCTTGGTTATAGAGTTGATGGTGTCCCAGCTCTGGGACAGGACCTCTGGGTTGGAGTCATTGAGAAGGCGGATGAGTCCGGACAGCAGGTTGCGTGTATGGGCGCTGTAGTCGAGGCGTGTGCGGGCGAAGTAGGCGTTGAGGATGGTGACAGACGCCTGTCTAAGGCCGGGGTCGGAGCCCCGTGTGGCCTCAAGGAGGTCGTCTATGATAATCCGCTGACCGACTTCATCCTCCACTGAAAGAATGACTGTTTGGCAGCTGCACAACTCCTGTAACGAAGATGTGAGGGTCACTACTTTTTAAAATAGAGGAAAGAAAAAGAGGAGGAGGAGGAGGAGGAGACACGCAGGTGTTACCTGTGCTTCATCTTCAGTTCCCAGCTTTCCTTTGAGGGAGGAAAGTATGGCGGGCAAGATTACTCCAAGATGGCGAGTCAGAGCATCACCAGCCACAGCCGACAAGAACGCCAGCACACGGGTGTTCACAGGAGGAGCAGTCAGCTGGTGTGACCAAAGAGGACAACCACTCAGGTCAGGTACATCAGGATGAGATTCAAACTGAAACATTTTCATCTGGATGGTGAATTTTTACCTTTGGCACCAAATAAGGCAGCACAGAGCGACTTTTCACAGCCATGACTTGTTTGAGGCCGTCCAAAGCGAACTCAGCAGTGTCCTCGTCATCCTGAAAAACAACAGTGAGTGTTCATTGTTCAAGTCCCGATCAGAATCTTTGGAATGAAGTCAGAGCTGCTGCGTCTTTATTCGCTCACCAGCTGTTTCAGCAGCGTAGGCAGGATGTCGTCCAGAGCTTGGTGACCGATGGTTGCGTGAAGCTGCTCAAAGGTTTTGGCCGCGGCCTCCCTGACCTCCTCCAGGGGGTCGCAGAGGGCCTTCCTCACTGTGGGGACCAGCGACTCTGAGAAGACGAGAACCTACAGGACGACACCATCAGGTTACTGACACATTTAAGATTTTCACAGCGAACATCAAACAAAAGGGAACAGTTCATCTTAATATCATGTGGGCATTTTTACATTTCTCTCCTTTTATTACTCTTCAAATGTAATGTCGTTTTTTTCCAAATCTTGATTCCAAACAAAAAGGTGGTTTATATTCAGACTAATTAAAATAGTGAAACTGTTTTTGATCACATTCATTTCTGGCAATTTTAGCATCATCCTTAAGATTCCTCAGTCTCACTGTCATTCATGGTTTGGTCAAGATGGTTTGGTTATTCTCTTTTCTCCATCAGAAGCTCTTGAGACACTCTTTCTTTCTCTCTTTAAAACAAACCTGCAGGTTCAAGATCGAAAACATCTGCCTGAAAATGCAAATGGCATAAAAGTATGTGCAACTATCCAGGAGTGTGACTCTAGGAATTTGGATTTTCTGACCTGAAAAGTTGACTTGACATTTGCACAGATAAAACAATCATATTTTGCTCCAGCAGAGGGCACTGTTGAGCCGCAGAAAATCCTAGTTTCCCAGTAGGCTGCAGGAGCACCTACCCAGTACGTTATATCCCTCAAAATATCATGACCTCCTGTTGGTCCGTGTCTATATTATCATTTATTAAAACTGCTGAGTGTCAGATTTCATTCCTTCATCATTTCTACCCCTCATAGATCACACATAGATGCTGCATTAGCCTATCTTTGCCCCAATAAGAGGGTCAAACTGTTCATGCCTGCGTATCTCACAGAAACAATCATTCTGTGCCACCTTATCCAGAGTTACCACACTTGTCCACTCACTGCGTCTTTGCTGGTGGACTTCATGATCTCGCTGAGGCCGATGCAGACTCCCTGCCTCTCGTCACTTTTGTCGGAGCGCAGTCCCTCCTCAAGGATGGGTATAATCTCAGGGAGAATCTTCTCTCCGAGCTTCCGGACCAGATCCCCCAGAGTCCGAGCAGCGATCTAAACCGGCAAAAGAAAGTTTTAGAGAGGCACTGACACGGAGACAGACAGACAAACAAACACAGGGTCAGTTTATGAATGAGTATTACCGTTCTCTTGTCTGGACATGTGGAAGCCAAGAAGCCGAGCAGGAGGGTGAAAAGGGTCGGGAGGATCTCTCGTAGAGTCCTGGGGGTGTTTGACACGACAATCTTCCACACGTGGAGGGACGCCTGTCGAACCACCAGCTGAGTGTCTGAGCGGCCCATGTAGAGACCCGAGAGGACGCGATTACGCCGTTCAGCACCAAGAGCCCCGATGATAGCCTGAGATCGAGAAACATTCAAAGGTCAGCAGCCGGACACAACAATGCTCATATAAACCTTTGGGGGTCATAACAGCCAAAATAAGATGTACTCATGCCTTATTGGACTGAGCAGTTCCAAAATTGTCATCCTCAGAAGCGGTCTCTGTGGTCATCTTTCCTGTCACTCCGGAGATGTGGAACAATAAATCTCCGAGCAGCTGCACAGAGCTGAACCTGCAGACCAACAAAAACAAGGACGGACATCTGGTCAGTATAAAAGTGACAGTTTATTGAGTTACTGATTTTTTCTTGTCCGTTTCTTTCTGACCTGATTCTCCACAAGTCATCAAACAGGCCCTGTTCCAGCTCAGGAAGCAGCAGAGCGATGGCGGTCTCCGCGTACATACTGATGATTCGCTGGCCTGCGCGGAGTGCGGTGTCTCTCACATATTCGTTCTCATCAGCCAGAGCCTGTTGAGACGCACAGAAACACAGGAGTGAGCAGAGACTCGTGTGAAAAAAACCCTCACAGAGATTTCAGAACCTGGGCTGAAACTTTGCATGGGAACAAAGCTGTTTCCTCGAAATCTGTTAAATCTGTTGTGCTGATTTGGTGTAATCCCCAGACGTTTCTCGGCTTCTCGTGGTGACTGCTTTGTAAACATGGGCAAGTATAAACTAGACATGAGTCTCAACTCTAAAGGCTAAAACATACAGGATCCGTATTGAGCGCATAATGTCAGCATCGTGAATCAAATAGGTTGCTATTCTAACAAATGAAGTATCACTTACAGTACACATATTAGCTCCATATCAGAAGAGCCTATTTTTGCTGCTCTGCAAAAACCCAAACTGTAAAATCACGTTGCTTTTTCACATATAATAGAAAATCAACAGTCACTGAATTATATCCAAATTAGCAGGAAATCGACCACAGAAAGGCAAAACAACCTGTTGTGAGCATGTTGCTCCAAATACACATCCTGTATGTGATACCCCATGCAAATACGGAGCGCACTCAATACGGATCCTGTTTGTTTTCCGCTTAAAACTAAATCCTGATACTGAAACCTTGAAGATCTTTCAAGACCTTCCACGACGGCTCAGAACCACAAGCTATGGGTAGGTATAAAAGAGAGCTGGCGTGGGCGGTAAAAGCTCACCCCAGACGATTTCTATAAAAGCAAAACTTTTCAGTCGTTTCATGACTTCCGCGCTGTGTGAAAAGTAACAAGCAGTGTCCAACTTTATGGTTCTGAGAAAGCAGCTAAAACGACGTTGAACTAAGTATTTTCACAGACTTCTGAAGGAGATAAATAAGAAGGTTTTTTAAAATTTGGAAATCATGCAAAGCTACTCAGCAAGTGTCCCTGACTGACATGACATTTAAAAGTCTCACACAACAGTGACGGATTTGTCGCATCCAACCACACCAGAAAAGGTCTGTTGTTGTTATACCTTGAGGATGCAGGGAATGATGGGTCCGACATAAGGAGTAAATTTGTCTCCAAAGGTGAGGGGCAGGTAGATGAACATCATGATGTATCCGTCCCTGACATGGGAAGCGATGTCCACCTTGCTGGCCGTTTGCACAACATCTGGCATCAGCTTATCCAGCTTCTCCACTCCTAGTCCAGCCATCACCTCGGCCAGACCTGGAGACACAGACGCATAATTCATTCAGTGATCCTTCGGTTATGATTAAGAGTCATTTTTTACTCACACAAGGACAGAGCATAAAGAAACCAACCTTGTGCAGCTCCAGAGCGATCGACAGAGCTCTGTTCAGAGGCCAGTGTCTCCATGAGCCAGGGCAACAGGTCATCGAAGCAGGATTCACCCATCCCCTTCACCATGGCACCCAGGGCTTTGGCTGAAACTGTGCGTACCTGAAGAAGACGAGAGGAAGAAAAGTTTCAGATAAAAACTCAGAGACAAACAAACTAATACTGAACTTAGTACTGAACTCTACAGAGTTCAGTACTAAGTAACTTTACAGTAACTTTACAGACCTCAGGCACCGGGTCCAACAGAGACGCCTTCAGGCCTGGAATAACACTCGGCAGGTAAGGTGATAGATCCTGTAAAAAACAAAACATACGCCACAAATAAAAAATGCATCTTCACAGAGCTGTGGTTGGAAAAAACAGCAGATGTAAGACTCTGATTTGAGCTTATTCAGTTAAATTATCAGTCTGTACCTTTTGGTCAGTGAGGGAGTACATGTTGCCGATGATCTGAGCGGCCATCTTGCGAGTGTCGGTGGAGCGATCCTGGAAGGCTCTCTGCACGATGGGCATGATTAAAGCCAGAGAGGGGGCATCGATGAAATGGACAAACTTTGTGTCCAGCAGGGTCTGCAGACAGGTCTGAGTCCTCCTGGAGGGGTCGGTGAGAGCGTCCAGCAGGATGGGGGTGATTGCTGTAAATCAGAAAATATCGGAGTCATAAAACGAAAACTTGCTTTAGCTGCTTTTGACTCGAGTCTGAACGTAGTCAGAGTCACTCACCCAGGATTTCAGGGTTGCGGATTACTGAGCCGATCTGTCTAAGAGCCTGCTGGCCGGCTTTCTGTACTTTCACATGGGAGTCGGTCAGCACTTCAGTCAGTTTGGGCACAATGCTGGGCAGACAAGAGGACAGCTGCTTTGGTGCACAGAAAGCCATCGCACCGAGCAACTCCACTGAGCCTGAAGGGAAGAGAAAAGGCAAAGTGGCATCAGTGTGTTATATTAGATTACCAACAACAATTAGCTGTAGCTGTTTGTACTCAACCATAACCTGCAAACTGTTTGTAGGAGCCAAAATATATTTGTTGAGTTTGATTTCTACTAGGTATGTTACTTCCAGGGATCGTCACTGAGGGGTGGTATGTTGGGATGTTTGGCGGGTGATTTAAATCTCACCGGTGTAGTCAGGCAATGATCTTGGTAAGCTCTGATCATTTTATGTTGACTGTTTTTCATTGTTTTCAATTGTTTCACTCATCCTGTTTTAACCTCATTTTATTATATCACTTTTTCATTTGAAGGCAAAAGTTTTGGACCCGAATCCGCATGTTTTCTTTCCTTTTTTGAACAATAAATTACTTTGTAACACTCAAACTGGACTGATAATTGAACAAGTCACAGATGCAAGCAAACCTAAACCCCAGCAGAAGGAAAGCAGTCGCTACACTGTTCTTCATTATGTGACAAACAGAGCACGGGTTTGTTCCTCACCTGCTTTGGTTCTCCAGGATTCCTCCTCCAGGGCCACCAGCAGGGAGGGAAGCACCAGTTTCACTCCATGGGCACTCAGGTTCCTCATCACAGCTTTGGCACAGTCGTCTGCAGCCTGGAGGACGAATGAAATAAAAAAAGATTGTCCCTGATTGTTAAAGCTGGAGTTTTTATGCTACACTTGGGATGTGCAAGACAAACTTGCTCCTTTTTAAACACCTGCGAAGCTTTTCGGGGCAATAATGAGAGATATAAAAGTAGAGGACACACAGGACTGCTCTCTTACCTCTCTGACGTACTGGTTTCCATCTCCAAAACAGAGCAACAGGTGTGGCAGCACGTGAACCACATATGGTTCGAAGAGCTTTCCTAACATGTTGCAGAGCATCTCAAATGCAAACAGAGCTCCTGGAAGAGGAAAACAGATCATGAGAGTTGTGAAAAATTTGTATTGTGGGAGTCTTTGGTGCCTGTAGATCATGTGGATAGATGAAATGGTCTGACAAATACTGTGAAAACACTGAAAAACTCCACCGACCTTCTCTACGCCTGAAGTTCTTCTTGTCCTGGATCGCATCGGTCAGTGTGGTCATGATGTCCTGCTGCTTCAGCGCCAGGATCCCGAGACCTTTAACCAGACCTGCCAGTCCGTACGCGGCTCCCTTCCTCTCTGCGTATTTGTCACTCTCCAGCAGCAGCTGCAGCAGGTTTCTCACAATACCTGCGGCATCCTCTTTGATAGCAGGGACTAACGGAGGTAAACAGCTGGCAACCGATTCCTGGACCTGATTAGACGGTGAGATAACTGATAGTAAGTTCAGCTGCAGGAAAAGCAGGACTTTCACATGACATGGCCATCAACAGATCAGATTTGAGTCCCTTTTGAGGCTGCAGTGTAAACACAGTTGAAGTTGCTTACCTGCTGTGAAGGTGTAGAGAGCGCAGTGATGAGCTTCGCCACGATGGGTTTGACCTTGGGGTCATTCTTGTCCAGATGTTTGGCCAAGGAGCCCATGAGAATGACCACACTCTGACGAACAGAGTCGTAGCTGGCATCCTGGGGGGCGTTTTTCAGGAACTCTTCGAAAACTGGCAGGAGGGAGCTCACATTGTCCTGTTCAATAAAACATGTAAACAAGTTAGTGTCAATGAGGCAGAAATGGCCCAGTGACAGGGGAAATGCTATGCTGAAATTCTCTGAAATGTAAAGTGATGGGGATTCAGTTAGAAGTACCTTCCCGTGAGTGTTCAGAGCAGAGAGGGCGGCGTCCAGCATGCAGCGCCGCACCTCAGGGTGGCGGTCGTTCAGCGCGTCGGGGACGAAAAAGAGGAAGAGAGGGGTGACCTGAGATTCATCCAGATACTGAGACAGCTTGTTCAAAGAGAGAGCGATTCCACACCTGAAAACAGAGAGGGCGCGGCATCAGCCGTTAGTACACAGGAGGAAGTGAACGGAAATATACACAAAGCTGAACCACCAACAGATTCATCTCCCTCACCCTTGACACCGCATATCTTTAAAACAACTTATTTCTGTTAAAAATCACTACAATCACTACATTCTTGTGGCTTGCATGGAGTTGTAGGTCAGCATGTATGAAGCTAAAAAAGTCCAGAGATGAGATCCAAGAATTGTTTAATCTGAGTATCGGAAAATCTAATTTTGCTCCAACTTGGGTTAAAACGCAGAGATTTACCTGGCCTCCCACTGGTCAGGTGGCGCTTCAGAGATGACTCTGCCCAGAGCATCAAGCACAGGAGGAGGTCTCTTTAAAAACAAAAGGTACAATTTGTAAGAGAGTGTCAGACTTTCAGGAGTAGCAGCCTGATTTGATGGTAGAGAAAAGTCTTACATAGAGTTTTTGGTGGTAGAGCTCAGTAAGCTGGCCAAGGACTGCGGCAGACTGGTCTCTGTACTGGGAAACGGCAGTGGACAGAGCTTCAGCGACTGCAGAACGGACCGCTTCCTCATGGTGGGTGACATCTCCAATCAGCAGGGAGCAGATCTCAGGTACCAGCTCCAGATCCAGTGACTCCCAGAGTCTGAGGAGGAGGAGGGACGAGCCCAGAGTTTATATATGTAAATAAAAGTCCAGTTTGATGAAAATGAGCAAGGTTGTACAAATGGAGACAAATAGAGGAAAATGTCATTAACTTTAATTAAGTTTGGAGCAAAGAAAAGTGACTAGGTAATACATACTTCTCAGCCAAGTCTCGGCCTTCTGTCTCAACATCAAATCTGGAGACCCAAAGCCTGCGCAGCAAACTCAGACCACTGGCCTCAGAGCTGTCTGTCGGCAGGGCGAACTCCATCTCCAATAATCCCTGAAAACAGAGGGATAACGTGTTAACAGCACACCAAACGAAACAGTTCAGCACTTCTTACATCCTGATACTGAGACTGTGATTCTTTTCTTCAAGTCATAACTGAAACTAAACAGTTGGAAAGATTTATCTTCATTAAATATCTCTAATGCACGGCTCACCCTGAGGGCAGCATCCCTGACAGAGAAGCAGGGTGACAGCAGGGCGTCAAGCAGGACATCGATCTCCGGCTGCTCCGCCACAGTGCAGCCATCTCCCCCTCCAGCGCTGGCACACAGTGTAGTCAGGCACTGAGCCGCCAACACCTGAAACATTCAAGGGTCGGTTTAAGTTATCTGAGGTGCAAGTCTTAAAGGATCAACAGGAGAGAGTGAATGAAAGAAACATTAAGAATCACAAACGATGACATAGAAACAACCAGAAACACACAAAGAGCGACAGAAATATAAAACAGAGGATTTAAGGATAAGCAGAGCTGAACCGTTCTCACCTGGAGTCTTGGGGTGGCTGTGGAAATGATTCTTGTCAGAAGCAGGAGCATGTTGACACGGGGAAGAAGCTCTGGGCCATTCTGAGACAAACAGACACAAGGTGAGTGGCTCTACTTATTACAAAAGAGGATTAGGGCTACATAAAAAGAAAAAAAATTACAGGAAGGAGATTAAAGTCGACATTTTGAGATTGAAGTCAAAATTTCAAGATAAAAAAAAATCAAAATTATGTCAATAAATTCAATTTGTCAATTTTGAGATTAAAAAATTGAAATTTTGAGATTAAAGTCAAAATTTTGAGATTACAACATGTCGAAATGTCTTGAATAATGTGGAAATTTTGAGATTAAGAAATTTAAAATTTTGAGATTAAACTCGAAATTTCGAGATTACATGTTAAAATGTTGTGAATAATGTCAAAATTTCGAGATAAAAAAAAACAACATTTTGAGATTAAAGTTGAAATTTCGAGATTGAAGTCAACATGAATGAAGTGAAAATATCGACTTTTTTAAATTTCGACTTTAATCTCATAATTTCAACTTCAATCATGATATGGAAATTTAAAGAATCTCCCTCCTGTATTTTTTTTTCTCTTCCTGTGGCCCCAATCCTCTTTTGGGACTTATACTGGTTATAACAGGTGAGATATTATTGCTGAAACTCACAGGGAATATCACAATCTTTCTCATCAGTCATTTTAAGATGTCTCTACTGATGCCTTTTCTTTTCACATAATATCTTCATAAACTCTCTTTGCATCTTTTCGCTCAGGTCTCACACTAAAAGAAACGACTTAGAGCTGTGTGTAACTACCTCGTCTATGAGTAGAACATCGGTGTCTAAGGCGGCCCGGAGCTGAGAGTGTTCAGTGACGATTTGTAAGGCTTTGGCCATCAAGTTCTCGGTCTCTTCGGTGCTGCCTGAAGACTCCCTCAGCGTGGCGTTGAGGAGGGGAAAGCAAAACGAGAAGGCGGGGGCAGACAGTGGAGCGCAATCTGAGGAGAAGCAACACAAAAAAAAGTCACAGTTAATAATCTATTATCAGTTTAGATGAAGACTTTGATTTGCTTTCAGTGTGTCCTGTGGCTCATTCAAAATCATGTTGACAGACACTGAAAGTTTAAATATTGTTAAAATCCTCATTCTGCTCGTTTTGTATTACCCTTTAACTTGAACAAGTTGTCAATAACTGTTGCTCACCTCCAGTTTTGGCATCTCTCTGTGGGACAGTATGGCCGTGCAGCAGGAGAATCGTGCGCTGAGCAGCTGTGTCCAGATCCTCGTGTTCCCAGGCCTCGTCCAGGTCACACTCTGGCTTCAGCAGTCGTAATGTCACATGTCCCACAAGCACACCTAAAAAGGGAGGCGGTAACATTTGTATGAGATCCTGTGGCTGCGCTAATCGATAAAATACATTACACAGACGAACCGTGTACCTAAATGATGAAGATGTTTTGGCATGAGGCACACTCCGATGTCCAAGAAGACCTGCTGGATGCGTGGAGCAGCCAGAGGGGAGTTCAGCAGAGGTATGAGGACCTGGAGGACAGCTGGCAGTTCTTGAGTGATCTGAGGAGGTCTCTCTATCAGGGTGGCTTCTAGCAAACCCACCAAACTCTGCAGCTCCACATCCAGCTGGTGAAAGTGAGGAGGATGAGTCAGCTCAGTGTGAAGTCATAAATAAACCCTTGCCTCAGATTGCTCTAAAATTAGCGTCTCACCCCTTTAAGTTTCTTCCGAATGGCATCCTCTTTCTCCAGCTGATTTTGCATCATTTCTTTCTGTTTGCTGGTCAGCTGCACTTCCTCTTTGATGCCTTTTTTCTTCTTTATCTCCTGCCATGGAAGAAATATCAAAATGAGTTCCTCGAACACCTCTGAAAAACCCACAATCGTAGTAAAAGTACTCTACCTCTTGTAACTCCAGTTCAATGATCTGCTCCTTGTAAGAGTAGGCCTTGTTTTCTCTTTTCATGTTGGCTTTCTTGGAGCTTTCCTTGTGGGCACTTCAGGAAAAAAATAAAAGCAGCTTAGTCCAGTGGATTCTTTTAAATGTACGAAACCCAAAGAGACACCAAAGCCTGTGTGTGTTACCTTTGGATGATGCTCTTGTCGTGCAGTTCTCCCTCAGGTGTGAGCATGATAGAATAGTCCTCCCGAGTGACCTGGAGTAGAGCAGGTCTTGAAAGCCCCTCAGTGACGTGACTGATCACCCGAGGCAGCAGCTTGTTGGGAGAGAGGCCGGAGAGGGCACCGACGGCATTTTTCACCGCCTGGAAAGAAGAACTTACCAATTAGTGCCCCTTAAGTACATTTTTAATTGGTCCATTTATTAACCAGACAAAGAGTCAGGATTTTTAGTGCAGTATTCATCATCATCATCATGTACTGATTTATGAGATGTGTGTATGTTGCACACCTCGTTGTCAGCGTTGACCTCCAGCAGAAGAGGCAGAATAGCCTCGAGGTTCTTCTCTATATACTCGTCAGCCTTGATGTTCATGGAGTGGAGCAGAAAAGGCCAGAGTCCACGGCGAGCTTCAACTGAAAGACAAAAAGTTGTATCCAGTTGAATAAAGGTGGATTTGTATCATTGAATTCTGTTTTTATTCATGTTTGACTCAACTTCACTGGAACTGGAGTTTTTTTTACAGTGATCTGTATAAATTCATGTAAAAAACTTTTATTCTGTTGTTTTCTGACTCTGCTAAGGAGAGCTGCCATCTTTGCTTTAGTCTGTCGACCAATCAGAGGCTGTGTCAGTGATCAGCTGAGCAGTGAAGGTGATAAATTTGTGTTATTGACACACAAAAATAAACATTTGAGGACTTCTTTTTTTCCATATACAAAAACTTCTGGAATTGAGGAGGGAGTCTATTAAGAATTGGATCCATAAGCAGAATCTATAATAGCATTGGTACCAGGGGTGTCCTGATACAGCTTTTTAATTTCCGATACGATACTGATATTGACTACAAACTTGTGCATGACAAGTTTTTCACTCAGCTGTAAAGTCTTTTTCAGACTTAAACAAAAAATACTGCCACAAGGCCGACATCACTCCTACTCTTTCGTACTTTGTTAGTACCTCAGTACACACTGATGTTGTGATTTTGTGGGCTCTTCATGCTGGATCTGAGCTGCTAGATAGAAGAGCTGGAGCGGAGTCTGGAATGGACTGCTCGTATTGGACATTTTAGATACAGGCCGATATAATCCGATATTTGTTTTTTGGCTGATATCAGGCCGATATCTGGTATCAATATCGTATCGGGACATCCCTAATTGGTATCAATAAAACCTCATCAATGGCTGTAGCTAACAAGCGGGTCGCAAATTGATTCATCAGAGCGTCTCATTCACTTACCAATAGATGGATGATGGGTCACTATCAGGATCGCCATGGCCAAAGTCTCGACTTCAGCGGGATCGCCCCATTGGCTGGCAGAGGAGCAGACGACGCACAGAGCATCGAGCAGGACGCGGGGAGGAACGTAGCTGCGGCCCAGCTCAGTGAGCTCTCCTGAGTCTGAGAACAGGACGTCTTGAGGTAATATCTGAAGTGGGGAGCAGACAGTCAGTGACATTCAGGATGAGATGACATGAATAAGAGAAGAGAACTGGGAGGGCACTTCCAAAAAGATTAATTATAGGACAGTAACAACAGACTGAAATTCAAAGCTGCAAAAGACCAAATTAGCTCCAAGTGTTCAGACGGTGTTCTCAGACTCTACCTCGTGTTTATTGATGACCGCACGCAGTTCTGCCAGAAGGCCGTGGGCAAGACTTGAGCTACCGAGAGAGGAGAGCAGCTTCCTGACTGTTTGTTTTGCCCGCTTCCTCACGCGCCAGCTTCTGGATAGCAGAACCCCGATGATGGCACGATGATACATCCTGCAGAGCAGCCATGAGCACGAAAGGGAAAAAGAGAGCAAGTAAAAGTGAGTGCATGTCTTTAGATCAATCATGCATGCACAGATATTTACAGCAGAAAACAGTGCAAGTGTACAGAACTATCAATCAAGAACTTTTAGCCAAAATATACACAAAAGTATGCTGGGAAATACACGAAACAATAACTCGTTCTCTACTTAATTAAAAGCAGTGATTTACTGAGATTTGCTGGTGTTCAGCCTGTGAGCATGGTCCAGGAAGAGTCTTTCACAGAGGAGCAGCACCGTGAGCAGAGCTGAAAACAGGGTGAGAAACGAGAAAAAAATAAGTGTTAATTCTTTATTTTTAACTTTAAAACCATTGAAAGCTTTTAAAGCAATCAGAATAAGTGACTCACTTTCCTCGTTGGCCTGGGAGAGGAACTTTTCTGAGGTGAAAAGAGGTTTCTTCTCATCTAAGATCATGCTCCAAAAGTTGGAAAACTTTGCCTCTGCAGAAAAAAAAAAAAACAAACGACGCTTGTTGTCACTGCTAATGTTTTTTTAAGAGGTTTTTCAAGGGGTCGTGGAAATGTTTAGACGCCAGCATCACCTGTCTGTGACTCCAGGAGCGCCAGTCGACTCAAAAGCACAGAAGCTGACACGCCTTCTGCGAGCAGAGGATGCTGGGAGCTTTGTGCTACTGCCTTCTCCACTGTTTGGAGGAGCAAAGGAATGAAGTCTGAAGCCTGAGCCAGAGTGTCACCTATTAAAAAAGGGGGGAGCAGGTCATGAGGCAGAAAAACTCAACTGATGTATCATCTTTGGTGTTTGTGTGATTGAAGGAGCAGAAAGTGTGGTCCATTAACTTGAAGGATGAGTGGATTTCACATCAAATGTACAAAAGCTCTCGGTCTCCTCACCTCTATAGGCCCCCAGCATTGCCTGAAGGTAGGCGTGTCGAACCAGAGAGGTGGAGGTCTTGAGGGTGAAAGCCTTCTTAAACCAGTCCATGAGAGCAGTTGGGACTTCCACTGTGAGGCGTGTGCTCCACTGGGCGAGCACGGACACGGCGTGCACCAGGGTGCCCTCGTGAACTAAACAAGAAGCAGCAAATCTTTCTTGAGAAAAACTTCACACTGAAGACGGTAAATGTTACGTGCTCTTAAGATTTGATCATCTTTGGAGTAGGCGGAGGAGGGAGAAAAAAACGATACCTTCTTGTTGTAAATAAGGGATGAACATGACAGTGACTGCAGAGCTGAGAGTCTGGCTGGAGGTTCCTGAAACAGCGTGGTGGCTGCAGCTTGCAATCCCTATAACAACCAGATTTTTGTTCATTTATTCATTTGTAGTTCGATCTCGTGAAGAAGGATAACATTTTTCCAAAGCCTCTTACCCGACAACACACTCATCTTCTGGGCAACAACTGTGAGCTTCCCCTCAGACCCTGTAAAGACAGAAACCATGAAACAGGTTCACAGACTCACAAACAGATACGTCAGTGTTTTAATCTAAAGAGTTCATGTTCAGCCAACCTCCAAGTATCTTGAAGAGATGTGTGACGATGTCCTGTATGGAGGAAGGGTCACTGCACTGTTGGGCCAGGTGCTGCATGGCCTGGACCGCCTCCTCCATCAGTTGGGCGTTATTAGCTTTCAGCTGGCCTAAAAAGAAACAAACCAGAGTTACATGCACCAAACTTTCCAGTCCTCCCGTTCTTATTAAACTGAAAAAATGCACTCAAAATCAAATTGACTGGAAAATCCTCGAGGCCTTACTTGTGATGGCTTTTCCGATATCCATGGCGTACTGACTGAGGTCCAGAGTTACAGCAGATAGAAGACAGGAAATGGCTGCAAAACAGCAGACAACGATTTAATTCACTGTGTGATAGCAGAGCAAGATATTAAACATCAGACGCTGACAACATCTCACTCTGCATGGCGTTCTCCGGACTGCGAAGCATCGTCTTCTGCAGCGCTGGGAGAAGAAGCTCCTTGAACTCAGGGTGGGATACATGACGCAGAACAGAGCCGCTTTTGTCCAAAATATGCTGTCGGGGTTTTGTCTTACTCATAAGGACTGATTTCAGGTATAGATCCAGCATGGCACTCTGGGAAACAGTAAATACAAGATAAATTTCTGTACCTTAGATGACATGATCTTAAAAATATCCAAGAGAAAGTACAACCCTAAATTCCCAAATATTTGGGGCACTGTGTGAATTATTGATAAAAAAAAAACAGAAATTGATGTTTTGAAAACCTTTAAAATGTGTATAATTGATAATAAAATGGACATCTTTTCATTCAACAACAAACTACACAGTGTCCCAATCTTTTGGAATTAGGACTGTATGTATTGACTGTTAATGAATTCAACCACACAAAGCTGAATCGAGAAACTCAGAAAACAGAAACAGAATTGGTGAAAATCGCTCTCAAAGATCACCTTGTGCTTTTCTATCGTCGCTTTGTCTTTCTGGCTGGTACAGAAGTCCACACACGCCCCCAGCATGGCAGGAGTCGTGGGGTTCTGGTCCAAACTCAACAGTGTGCTGATGTATTCGTCAACCAATCCAGAGTTCTGTGAAAGACAACAACATGCTAGTGCTAAAGTTGTTTTTGGATACCGATGTTTTTGCTGTTGGATGGAGAAAGTCAGAGTTTTATGTCCCATCTTAAATAGGATGTTAGTTTCATCCTTCACAATGAGGCTGACGTTTGTCTTTTACTGCCAACATGTTTCACACGGTGAACTGAACTTACTTGCTCCCAGAGGTGGCTGAGATTTTTGAGACTTGATTTTTGGGCTGTTGATTTGGCTCCACCCACCACTTCAGCCACAAGAAGGCTCTGAACCTCCACCTGCAACAAAGAGGACGACACACAAAGAACTGCTTTCACCATCTAATCCGGTAAACCTCTGTGTGACAGACTCTTCACTCCATTTACCTTCATGATCAATTTAAACTGTTTTTACCACACGTTTGAGTAATATTCATACAAACATATTTCTGTTTACATCAATCAGACACACAGGCTTATACTGACCATTTTCTTCCAGATGGATCCTTCTCTTTTCTCTTGAGCGGAAAAATAACTGGGGACCAAAAGGCAGGTCCAAGACAGGCAGATGAAGGCAGCTGAGCCATAACTTTTACTAAAACAGAAAATGAGCAACAAAAAAGACACATCTTGTTTAAGACACAGCAACAGATTGTTTTTTTTTTTACATTTAAAATTAATTTATGAGTATTGATGGTATAACAAATGACTGTTTTCTAGCTGAATGACGGACTTAACCATCCTGGTACCTGGGCTCTCCACTTTTGCTGATAACTCCACTGTTCAGTAGGCAGTGAAGGAGGCTGTTGACCAGGACGTTGGGCTGTTTCTCAGCCAGCAGGGCAATGACAGAGAGGAGCTCTCTGCGTGATGCAGCATCCCTGGAATAAACACACACATTATTGATCATACACAATCAGATGTCTCACTATTAATTAATCACTAATTTTGCACCAATGAAGGGATGCTGATTAACAACAACCCCTTTGAGTAAAATGATAACAGGAAAAGCTGCACAAAGTACAGCGCAGTAAAAACCTATTTTTTTAACCGAAGCCCAAACCTTTACAAAAAAGGACTTTTTGAAGTGATTCGATGGTCTTGGATCTTTTTATGTGTTCATGGTAAAGGAAGTCTTAATTGTCACCCACCGGTATCTGTGCGGAGTGAGACAGAAGAGCTTGCATAGTCCTTTGATGGCAGGCTCTGGTAACTCTGAAAGATGTTTTTGGAAAAGCTTTAGTGCTCGTTAACACTTCTTTTACAAATAAAAAGAATAATAATCACAGAATAATAGAAGACTAGTAAGTAAAACAAACTTACCTTTGTCTTGAATACATTGTTTCAGCTCTCTGAATATCTCTTTCCGCTCTTTCACACTTGCGGTGGTCACGTTTAAAGCAAATTTCTTCAACGTGTCTGAAACCTGAAGTAACATTGAAACTTAGTAAGAAAATTGATCCAGACTTTTTGTCTTAAGTATGGAAAACAACAAAAATTAAAGTTTTTGTCAGTCCATGTACAGTCAATTAGAACAAGAGAGTCATGATTAAACGAGCATAGAAAAACAAAGTCTTGAAGTACAACCAGGACTGAGGGCAATATATTTTCTCTCGTCTTAATGCATTAAATGAGGAGTTATATCTTATTTTATATATAAATTTTATTCTCCTGTTTTAAAAATGATGTGCATTTGGTTATAATGATGTCAGTCTGCACTCTCTTAGTTTTGGTTCATGGCAGAACACGACATCATGAGCAAGCCCCGTTCATGTCGATCACTTTTTGATAATCTATCAATAGGGTTACATTGGAGGTAAAGAGGTAAGGTAGGACACAACACTGTGCGTCTAGCAAGGTACAGTATGTGTGTGTGTCAACTGAAAGAATATGAGGTGAGCAAATTCAGGTTTTTTGTGAGCATTCATAAAGTTGAAGCTAGAGCACATTCATCCAAGCACATAAGAGCTACTTTTCTGTTGGTATTTATGCACATATCTGACTGCTTTTCTGTGTCTGATATAATGTTAATTTATGTATTAGGTGCCTTGTTTCTAACAGTGTAACCAGGGACAGGGACTGCAAATTGGTAATGGCTGGAAGTCCTTCATAAACTCCATCAACTGTTGCTTTTTAATTAGATGTATAAAGGCCTACACGTACAGTCCCTGTCAAATTAACAGACGAATAAAATCCACTACAATCTTAACAGGACTTTTACATATTTTTGAGGAAATGTGAAATATTGTGAATTGAATTAAAAAATTAAAATCATTTGAGTTGATTTTAATTAGATTTTAAGAAAAAATTACTGTTTTTTTTCGCTCTGTGTGTAATGTACTCACTATTGCCAAGACATTTTATATAAATTATAGGGGTGGGAGTACAAAATCGATTCATCCAAGTATAGCAAATTTTTGTTTTACAATTTTTCAATTGATCTTTTCTTTCAAAAATTGATTTTTTTTTTCCAAATGTAAGAATAAATCTTAAAAACTGACTTACATTTGATGTTCAATTTTTGGGAAATAAGGTTCCTTGAATAGTCAGTAGACAATCATAATCATTCAACTGTTTCATTGGTGTTACAGATGCAGACTAAAAATCGAGAAAAACGGCAATACGGTAGAATCGCAATTTAAATCGGATCGGCATCCAAAAAAATCGTAGAAGAATCGAATCGGGAGAAAAGCATATCGTCCCAGCCCTAATAATTAATATTTACTAGACTAACCGTGCAGGTCCTGGCCTCCTTAAACCTAGTCTTATCTGGTCTGTCCTGATACTGATCCGACAGCTAAAGTCCAAACCTCTCTCTATAACAACAGCAAGTTTCAACCTCGGATTAGCTGTCAGTAAACGAGGTGATATCTAAATAAAAATGCAGCTCTGACACAAACATGGCTAAAACCCTGCCCCCTGTGCCGGTCCACGGTGGATCTCATGAGACCCGGAGACCGATTGACACGGAGGCTCCGCAGCACTCCGAGATCCGCCTCCTCCAAAGCTTCGATAAATACTCCACAAGAATTCCCCGTTTATAATAAAAACACACCAAGATGTTTATAAAGCGGTACTACGAGTCCGATTTGTGTCCCAGTCGTGGTCTTCAACATAAGCGAGAACTCCACTCTGAAAAAATAGTCACACAAACCTGCGTGTCGGCTGCCATCTTGCCGGCCCTGGTTCAGGAAGGGCTTGTTGTTGTCACTTCCGGGTCAAAACTGATGGACGGTATTGATATTTTATTTTTTATTTTAATTATCAAAATATTTTTAAGTAAGAAAGTTAGGTGGTGTGTAAATAACTTCACAAAAATATCTTTTTTATAAATGTCCAGACATGGCGCGAATTAGCATCACAAGAAAGTATAATATATAATATAAAACTACCCAGTTGTATTCAGGTGTTTATTTCTAGAGCAAAAGTATCTACCTTATGTACATAAACCACCTTTTATGTATTTTTCCATAAAAAAATAGAAAATTCAATATTACTCATCATGCTGTTATTTTACCTCTGGTTTTTATGTTTTTTTTTATTATTATTCTTTTTTTTTCTGTATATTAAATCAAACACCATCATGCTGTGACATGGAAGCCAAGTAACGACATTTCGTTGCAGACAGAAATTACTGCTGTGTTTTATTCTGTACACTGACAAATAAATAAAATCTAAGTCTGAGTCTACAGTATATTTTCTCTTAGTAAAAAGAATAAAAATAAACATTATACTGATATATGCGTATTTAAGTTGTTGATTAGATTAGTTCCTCTCTTTTTCACTGATCAAACACTGCAGCCTGTGATTCTACAGATACATACTGTAATATTGAAGGGGGTTCACTGCTGCTTTGGGGGCTGTTATAGTGGGTCTTCACCAGCTGGGGGCAGGATAGGACAAAGCAACTCAGGCCTTTATTACCTGGGATTTTAGAGCAGAGTTGGTAAATCCACAGCGTTTGTTTGTACTTTTGTGAATGTGCTCATGTAAACATGCAAATGTGTTGAGAAAAACATCTGAATTTTTTTTTAATAGATGGACCATCACATGCAGAAACAGTCGTGGGCCCTTGAGATAAGGTGAGTGTTGTACACAAATAAAACTACAAAATGACATTGAATTTGCTGTCATAAGAGTTGGCCCACTAGTTTATATTACATTTTATTTTATTTTTTAGATTATTTACATACGCATACTGTAGACACGCCCACACCCCCTCAACATGTACCAGACTTGTTGCAGATATGTGCTTTTTACTGTCTGCTGCAGCCTCTCTGCTCTGTATGTGTGGTTGCATTTCAACCTCACCCTTTTGTCAAACACATTTAAAAGTGCAATTTGTTGGATGTCTTACTGCACATCACTTAAAGAAATTGTTGAAGGAGCTTCAGCTACACACACCAAATATTTAAAAATACAGTCCAGAGCTGGGGCAAAGGATAGATGCACTGCTGTGCTGTATATTTAGCCTGCCTACCATATGGCAAATGGGACGGTTGCAGATGTAGTGCATGGCAACAGAAATGTAAACAGACAGCAACATGCAGAGAAAAAAACACACTGTTCTAACTAATGATTGTTGTGCTGTTCCTGTTTTTTACATCATAGGGGGCTCTTTGGTGTAGTGGCCTAAGCACACCATGTATAGAGGCTATTGTCCTTAATGCAGCAGTCATTAGTTTGATCCTTTGCAATATGTCGGCACCCCCACTCTCTACTCCCCACACTCCCTGTCTCTCCACAGATCTCCTAATAAGTCTGTCAGAGTCCTCAGGTGTTATTGATTTAAGGCATTAATCTGTTTATGACACCAAACCCACAGACATTTATCAGTCAACAGACCTTTTTACACAGCTTCAAATACACTTTAATGACACAGACACTTTTGTACATATGTATTCTTTTGAGACATGAGGAAGTTCGTTAAGACATCATCTCATTCTTCAATTTGAAGGTGCATATTTTCACATAAATAAGAAACAGCTTAAAAATATGTTGTACTCCAAACTCTTAATATTGAGAACATTGAATTTTTACCATACAAATTGGACTTTGTCTTTAGCTGAGTGCTCATATTTGGGAACCACTACGTAATGAAACAGTACAGGGATAAAAAAAACAAAATATTTTTGCTCCATTTGTCTGAATAGGTGGGGAAATACCTGAACATTTCTTAATGAAACCTTATCTTTATGATTATTTATTTTCTTTTGATGTCTCAGAAAGACAAGATCCTGGTAAAGCAGCCGATTAATCAACGGTACCATATCAACTGAGGACTTGCACAAACAAAAACTGGGAGTGATACGACCCCCATTTAGCTTTAATCACATCAGTTTCACAGAAGACATGCTAGAGTCCCACAGTCTGTACATCTTTTATCTCTGTCCACATTATGTCGCTTACTGTCTATGTCTTAGCTCGTCTTTTGTTTCATCATTGTGTTACTCTCATCCTGAGTTACCGACAGAGAAATAAATTATAATTATGAGTAAAATGAGTGCGACTGCCACTGCAATGCTAATGAGCACCACTTTCATCTTCTTGTTCTCCCATCTTTTCTTCTGCTTCACCTGATTTGCAGTCTTCTCAAAAGCTTTACTCTGGGGGGGGGAAATACAGAGAGATGAGGTTACAGTTTGTTGTGTAACGAAACTATCATTACACGTCTGGTAGTTCTGAACATATGAAACCCAGTATACACAGTTTATGAAATTCTTATTCTGCAAAATCAGTATTACTATCTCTTACTGACGGCTAAAATGTTTGTCACTCAATCGATCTCTCTTTCTATCTATCTGTGTGCATCATACATTAAGATTGATAGATAATTTATTAATCCTTTGTGGGAACTTGCATAATTACAGCAGCTAAAATCACAGTCGGTCAGACAAAAACATTGAAAAGACATTCAAGTACATAAAAGCTTTCAAGACAAGAAATCTACTTGGAATAAGAAATCTGACTAATTTTGAGTAAAATATATAAATATAGATATAACAGTATGATAAAAAAAAATTCAAAGTGTAAAAGCTAAAATGTGTGGAAATCTCAATATCTAAAAATCAGAATAAAGTTCATAAAAATGCATGGATACAAAAGAAAAAAAAATCATAAATAAATAGAAATAAAACATACTCATTCCCTCTCTCTAATGCAGCCACACACACGACCTGACCCTTTCACAGACACAAGAAATTTACTCAGATACTAATCACAGATCAAATAAAAATTAAAAGATAGACCCACATGTTGTGTTACACCCACACACACTCACTTTACAACAGTGTGGTCTGACACAGGCCAGCGGGGTAATGTGGGAAAGACGTGACCTGCTTTTTGACCTCCGGACGGACATTTGCCTTGTGGCATGTCCTGGACTCACTCTGTCATACCCAGGGAGACCAGCCTGCTTCATTCATCTTAGGAAACAATAGGAAATACCTCTCTAAAAATATCCCCATAAAACACTATCAGGATGTAAATTGTACATTTGTTTTCCTCTCCAGCTCCACCTAAGGTGTATTTTTAGATACCAATATGACTTTTCCTGAGCTCCTGGGGAAAGGGAGGCTGCATACATACCCAGTCATCAACCTTAGCTATGAAACTCTCTGGTGTGCTGATTTATTTTTCACTTTTAAAAAGTTTCTTAGAAGCATCTTACCTTTGCCAGCAGCTCATCAGCTCTATCCTCCAGGTCATCTAGTTTGCCCGCTCTCTCATCAGCCTTGTTTAGGTTGTCAAGCATGATGCCCTTAACCTCCTCCACATCCTCCTGGGCTTGCTGCAGGCGGTTTTTCCCATTCTCCTACCCAATCAACACATACAGCATAAATCCAGAGTGAGACAGGGTGGATGAACTAGTCATTTCAAACTGTTTCCAGGATGTGCTCATGCTGACTGAACTTCCCAATAGTGTGCGAAACATGCATAATCCTGAATACAGGTCTTAAAGGGATATTCCGCCGTAAAATTAATTTAGCGTCAAACACAACGTAACACTGAGAGATAAATGTTGCTGACCGCTTGCTTCTCTAGTTATACCAACTTTAGTAACAACTGCACGATAGCAATACACAGCGGTCTATGGAAACACACACAAACCTCAACCAAAACGCCACTCTATAGCCACAAATAATGCTCAGAACAGCACCTAAATCATTAACAGTATATATAGGGTCCTAGCCACAGTACTAGCCACCAAACATCTTTTTAACTTTGCCTAATTTCTTTAGCAAAGAGACTAAACACAACTCACCTACTCTCCTCCAGCAGTCGCTTGTTTGTAGCGAGATCTCAGGCCGGTCCATTACAGACTGCTGTGGGGTGACGCAGCTCAAGGAAGAACATTTATGATAATTTCTTTATCATTTCCTTGAAGTAATAATCACCATACTAATCATTTTGCACTGCAGATGCGGTAGTTCTTCTGCCTTAGCGTCTCAGTCTGATTGTATTTCTATAAAGTAATTATCATAAATGTTCTTCCTTGAGCTGCGTCACCCTGCTGTAGTCCGTAATGGACTGGACTAAGGTCTCACTACAAACAAGCGGCTGCTGGAGGAGAGTAGTTGAGTGGTTTTTAGTCTCTTTGCTAAAGAAATTAGGCAAAGTTAAAAAGATGTTTGGTGGCTAGTACTATGGCTAGGACCCTGTATGTACTGTTGATGAAGTTAGGTGCTGTTCTGAACATTATTTGTGGCTATAGAGTGGCGTTTTGGTTGAAGTTTGTGTGTGGCTCCTCAGGCCGCTGTGTATTGCAATCGTAAGGTTGTCACTAAAGTTGGTAAAACTAGAGAAGCAACCAGTCAGCAACATTCATCTCTCGAGGGGGTTTTTAACTCAGTGTTGCGGTGTGTTTGACCCTAAATTAATTTTACGCCAGAATATCCCTTTAAAGCTTTCATTTTCTGTTTTGTTCCAATTTAGTCCATAATTTTGAACATCAGATGCTGATTTAAAATGCAAATATCATGCTTTTTCTTTTTCCATATTTGATAAAATATGACAATTATATAAATAACATCCATTAAACAATGCACATTACAATATAATAGAACACTAAACTTAGCCAGTAACGTGTTTTTGATAAGGGTTTGAGTCATTTATATTTAGAAGAAATACACATGGTTACATCAGAGATTTCAGCTCATGGCTTACAGTCATTTTAAAGCAACATATTAGAATTATAAGAAACACCAAGCAGGAACTGTTTTAGCTTTAACTTGCTAAAAACTGCCCCCCTGACTGATAACGATCAGCCTGGTTTCACGTTTGTTTCATAAACAGTCTCAATCCTGCAGTAAGATTTAGGTCAAGACATGCTGTGACATGCTGTGAGCAGAAAAAACCAAGAGTGCACGACTTTGTAACCTTTGTGCTCATATCCGAGGAGAAAATGTTAAAAACAGCAATTCAGCTCAAAGTTTAGGAAGTGAAAAACACAAGCTGTGGTAAAGTAAAACTAATTAAAACAGGCTTCCCCGATTTCAGTGAAAAATGTAGACGCAGGAGTGAAAAGACTGTCTCTAATGTTTGGGAAAGTTACTGTGCAAAACAGCAGAGGTCTAGATACCACTGACAGGCACTCAGAACCAGGAAATTTAGAGAGTAATGAGAGGAAACCCCCATCTCAGATGTTGACAGGAGCAGGAAACTAACAGATAAAATAAATTAGTAAACTTGCAGCACTTTAGTTTCAATTTTGATTCACTGACACTCCCTGGACTACAGATGATAAAAACCCCAGGACGAGGAGGCTTCATCTGTTTTGGTGATGGTAACCAGAAAGCTCAGTATTAGAAAAAAGTCTGTGTTTTAAGTTCAGCTGGTGGCGCCTTTGCACAGGAACTGCTGCCCATTCCAGTCCCTTTCTTTGCTTCCTTCCTCACCTCACTCCCTCCCTCCCTCCCTCCTGTCTACCCTCATATGGGCCTACCTGGCATTATTCAAGGAAGCCACACCTTCATCTGAAGCTGTTCACTTAAGGGTCGTGTGGTACTAAACGAAAAGAAGCGCTGTACTCTCTGCTTGTGGTAGCAATAAAAAAAAAACCTTGTGCAGCATGCCAAAATATTCTTGAAGAGAGCACGCAGGAATGTTATGGTGAAGCCAAACAGATGATGAATTTGACAGCCGAAGAGCTAAAACTTAACAGGAGAAAAATAGGCCTATTTCTCACTGATGCATACACCTCATGTCATGACATTATTTTAACTGTCAATTTAATTAACATTGTCACTATGTTACTAATTGTGTTGTTTATAGTGTAAATACTTGTATATTATCTCTTTATTTTTACTTATTTCATCTATTATTTATCTCATCTTTTTACTGTATTTGCATTAGAGTACTGTGACAAAAACATTTTCCCCCAGGGGATTATTAAAGTATTTCTGATTCTGATTCTGAATTTTTTAATTGTAAGTCATAATTTTAAGTTTATTTTGAACTTTTACTCATTTAAGCTCTAATTATTTTTCTGTGTAACTTGTACTAAACTGAGTTGAAATAGCAGCCTGGTTTGTTCCTGCACTTTCAGCATGTCAAAGTCGTCCCAGTTGATATCAAACTACAAAGTCCAGTTTACCAACTTCGATCAGAGTAGTTCAAGTGTTTACAATCTGTCTGTTTCTTTAAAAAAATAGAAGTTTCTGTGTGTCCTTATTGAACCCCTTTAGCCTCAGTAACAGTATATTTTGCGTGTCGAAAATGATCGTGGGCTTCTTACCATGTCTGTTGCGTCTCTTGCTGTTCGTGAAGAAGTCGTCACCGGATCGAAAACATTTCAGCTCCACAAACAGGAAACAGAAGAAACCTGCTCTTCAGTTTCAGACCTGTTAAATCTTCCGCAGTGAAGAGTTTCTGAAACTTTCTCAGGTTTTCTCAACCCTGACGTAAATTCGGCTCGTCCCTGTCTGTCACTTTCACTTCTGCACAGCTCCGGGCCGTGACCGTTCTCCTATCCGCCCATAGAGGGACTTTGTGCCAGCGTTTATCTAGCCGTGATGCGTTCACGGTCAGCCAGGAAAGGTTAGAATTACCATAGTCGGTAAACAGGCCCGCTGACTTCCCTGAATACAGATCAGTGCGGCAGGTTGGTGCTTTGTTGTACCAAGAGGCTTTGTCGTATCTGGGATTTCAATAAGCTTCTCCTGCTGAGGGAATATAGTAGAAAATACTCAAATCCACGTTGAGGTAATAGCTGTAACATTATTGAAGGTGTCACTATGAAGGGTCAGAAAATTCCCATCATGTTATGTCACCATCTATCAGTTTAAGAGCCCACTTAGCCTACTGGAAAATCAGACATGACATTTAAAACTATCTGGATAAACACTTGATGGTCATTGCAGAAGTAAACACAGTGAAGCTTTGTTTGGCAGCAAATATGCTAAAAATGCACAAATAGCGACACCAAAGCATACAAAATTTGTTCATAAAACAATAAACACAGAATTACAGCAGAAATGAAAATATTGGTAATTAGCTTTACTACTTTTTTTACAGCTGTCAAGACAGACTTTAAAGCTCCTGTGAAGGACTTTCAGTTTTCGTCAACTTTGGTGCCCCCTGTGGACAGAGCAGTCTTAACTAAATCAAGTCTAGATAACTACTGAAAGTCAAGTGTATAATTTATTGGGAATATTTTAAGTGAAAATTGTAAAAACAGGGCTGTTTCTTCAGCTGCCTGGATGGCACCTTCCCCCTCACACCAGTTAAAGGCATTAAAAATTGCAGTTAAACTTGTTTATCTTGTGGTCTTGTTTGCTTTTGGATATCATAAAAAGGCATCAATGTGAATTTCTGTCTGGTTTACAAACACGAAAAAAAAAAGAGGCCATTAAACTTTCAAATTTTTGCAAGATATGCAGGATATAAGTGCAAAAGTACAAGCAGCCTTTCAGCAACACAGAGAGCAATCTAACAGACTATGTCCAGTTGATTAAAAAAAAATTCTGATTATTAGTACAATTTTAATTTAGAGCATTTACATGTGCTAGGTGGAGGAGTTTGGGATGGATGAGGTGTTTTTCATTACTGATGCAGATGAAAAAAATTAATTCTGAGATTTTATTCCTCCTAATTCTGGGGGGCAGACCCCTCTCACACAATCTGACCGCACACCTCAGGGTCCCAAACACATTCAATGATATGTAAATGGATGGAAGTAGTAATGATCATATATCATATTGTTTAATCCACTGATATTTAAAACTATTCCTCAAAGTTTAAAAGTTCATTGGACTGGCTGATGCACATTTCCATAATATTTACTGTTATAAAAAAAATTATAGAACTGTAATATCTCAAAATCATAGGTGTTAAAGTAGAAAATGAAGACTTTCAGGATAAATGGTAATAATTTATGGCAGATTAACCGCAGATGTGCCACCCCTGCCAGAAAGTCCAGATGCTCCCCTGCGTGGGAGAATACAGCAGGGTAGAGTTAGCCGAGAGGCTTTTAAGTGATCCAGTTACTCAAGTTATTCAAGGTTTCGTTTCAACACTAAACAAAAGTTCAGTAGAAAACTAACGTGAGTCTACTCTATATGTTTTCTGTAAAGTCAAAGTCCAGCACAATTTAATTATTAATTTAACCCCCAACATTTCCCAGTCCTTCACCAGCAGACCTCTGCAGAACACTTTGTTCTGTTTAGTCTCAAATAGGTGTTTCCTTCTCACGGGATCTGCAAGATTTAAGAGAGGGATCTTGCTGGTCCACCCTGATGAAGAATATGTGGAATAATTCATCTGACATTCCCAAAGGGACTAAAAATATGTCTGAGCCACAGAATAGTACATTTATAACCACATTATTACATCGTATAATTGATTCTCTAGTTCTGTAGAGCTTGAATTTATACATTTTTGAGATTTCTTTCTTTTTCATTTTCTTTTTAAATTATTAACACAACAGAGCTTTTCAAGTCTTGTTACACACTTCTTTCTGGCTTAAAACAGTACATAAATCACAGTGTATCAAGTGTCAAGTGTCTGCAGGGTGTTTTTAAACGGCACTATTGAAGAGCAGTTCACCATCAGATTGTAAAACTGGGAAGTATTGAAGGTTAAACAGGCTCTAAATTATGATTTAAATGAACAGAAATAACATCGTACTGCTAAAGTCCATCACTTACAATGGGGACTTATCATGCTGTCTTTGTTTGTGTTGCCTTTACTCTCAAATGTTTGGACTGAATGACCTGCTGAACAAAATGATCACATTGTACTGATGTAAACCGCCAGATAGTGAAGAGCTTTGACATTCAAGATTGACTGTCTCTTATATTATCTATTGCAAAAAAACTAAAACAGGTGCAGGACCTGAAGCGAGAACAGGTCATGCAAGTTAGACGGTGAAATATCAGAAACAGGAAGCAGGGTAATTCATGTATGACTTCAGTAAAACCTCAAGAGCTTATTTTCTGTTTCGTGTTATTGGAAAAGACTACAGTTACTCAAAGAGCCACTTCAATAATCTCCTCTTATGCAATACTAAAACTTTGAATATTGCAGAATATTAGTGTTGTATAAAAGTATTTACATTATAGATTTATATCATCTTATGGGTGTTTTTATGGCAGATAGTTGACTGCCACATTGTTTAGCAGAGTAGTGCACTGCAGCATTAAGTTCAAAGCTTCTACCTCTAACCAAAGCTGCATCTCTCATCTTTGTGTGAATGTGGTGTATCTCAGGGTTTGGTGCATGGTGCAGCAAGGTGCAATAACAGTGCACTGCACCTTCACTGTCTTTAACAAAGAGTGGTGCTAGAAAACAAATGCAAAATTGGTTTATAGATATATTCAGATAGAGAGTTAAAAGTTAAAGCCAAATCAAATTATGTTACATGCAAAGTGGCTGTTCCTTCGCTCAAACCCTCCCCCTACCAACAGAGAGAAAGTCCAACAGGAAAAATAATCAACAAAGGCTCATTTAGGTAATTCCTCAAAGACACAGTAAATTTAAGTGACTTTGGGAAAAACTGTGGTAAGCTTCTTATGCCAACTCCTGTTCAAAACCAAAGCCAAATAAAACCCACATTAAAGCTCCTGTGAGGACCTTTTGGTCTGTGTCAATTTTGCCACCCCCTTGTGGACTAAATGATCATCTTGCTGACTTTTGACAGTCACATGGATCATGTATTGCAGATATTTTATGTGTAAATTGTAAAAACAAAGCTTCTCCTTTAGACGTTTGGTTGGCACCTACCCCCCTCGCACTGGTCTGAGGTGTTCAAAAATACCACGTAGAATTTGTCAGTGTTGTCGCTGATGCTCTTTTTTGCTTTTGTGCATCATAAAAAAAACATCAGCATGAATTTCAGTCCGTTTAATGGACAAAAAAAACTCTTTACAGAAGCTTTAACATACGAAAGACAACTTTTTCAGTAAATACCTTTCGCATTTACCTTTTTAAAAACCTTGCATGATTGAGTCTCAGTAGCCAAACAATCGTTGGAGCCAATCAGGTGACTGGATGGAAGAGAGCCTATCAAATCAGACAAAGACTGGGCTCAGGTGTCAGTGCAGAAAGTGAGACCCAGGTGAGCTCTAGACCCTTTATGTAGACTATCCCACCTTGCCTGGGTCCCAGTGTTTAACCTTCTTTCAACCTCATTCTGACATATACAAGGAAAGTATAGTATAACATAATTAGTATAGAACAGTGTCAATGGCAATGGAGTGTGATGTATCATTGAAACAATGTTGAATTGTAACAACAAGGCATCTAACTTCCATCTATGCCTGTCTGAGTTTAACTTCAGTTCACATCTGTAACATGTTCACCTTAAAAACACCAGAGAGGGGAGCATTATTCTGACAGAGGCCGAACATGAGACTTAGTCAGGTCCATAGTCACGACCAACAAAAGGCTTCTTCTGTGAAAAGCTGCTCAGATAAAGGCCATATTCAGTATGCTGACCACCCCCCTCCACATCATTGTGTAACACTCATTCATTAATGGCAGACTCACATCCACATGACTATATCTGTCTGAGTCCAGGCCCATTTCCTACCGGGAACAAACGGGCTTTCAATGATTTCTCGTTATTTGCGCTCGACTAAGAGCCTGTTGTACAAATAATTAGTCAGGTATTTTAACATGTGGGTGAAAACTGAGCAGTCTGATTACTCAAACAGCATTCACAACATCTTAAGAGATAGAGGTGACCTGTTTATAAATTAACAGAAAACAGACTCACAGTTTAATCCCCCCTTTCAAACACAAATGTGCACAGTGGGTGCACCCCAGCTACTAGCTCAACCAGCAGGTCCTAACTTTTGTCCTTTTTCCGATCAGCATTCTTCACAGAGTCCAAACTTGACCCACTTTTGTTTTGATGTTTGGAAAGTTAAACATCCCTCCTACAAAGTCTTTAACCTTTTATCAAAAAAAACCCTCTTGGTCCTGGGCTTTTGCTGGAGTTTCCATTTCTCAACAAATACACGTATGTATGCGTTGTTGCATCTAACTGAAATGCAGCCAGTTTAAAGGAATCCAGCCATGGCTGATTTGCAGTCCTAGTCCGTGGTTGGACTTTTAGGAATGAGGCAAAACACAAAACTGTTCAACAGGTTTTGCTTCAGTGCTGAGATCCGGACTGGTTTTCTGCTCCAAATGAACTCTTCGGTGAACTCTGCTGGTTAACATGAGCACTACAGCTGCAGGAGCGCCTCGCTGAGCTTCACTGAAGGACTAAAAAACTTCAAATTACTGCTTTATTTTTAAGGATACCAATAGTAGCTGTGCTTCATAACCTTCAATATCTGTCAAACAAAGGAGAAAGAATTTACACTGATTTTGTTGCTGCAACATTGACAGTTTATTTATGTTCTTCCTGTTTTTTCCACCTGGTAAAAAAAACATACTGACTAAATGCAAAGTTAATGCGAGAAGATCAAAGTCTATACTTTGTGTACAGATGTGTGTCACTAAAGTTGACTTGGCTTGATTTCAGGGGGAAATAATGATCTATTTTTAAGATCTGCATGTTTAGATGTGGTGAGATTCATGGATCTTTGTCAGCAAACTTTCAAAATATTAATTTCAAGGAACAAGAACCTTCATATTTGAAATATGGTGAATGAATGTCTGTGGCTCACACTGCTCAGTCAGTCACAATGATGTGCATCCTTGTTGGTGGAAGGTAACACTGATTAAAACTGTGAAGGTGCTGAAACTGTAAATATTTACATTTTAATGAGACTGTACTTATAATGTGTCTTCATGAACTTCAGCAGCTTCAAGTGTTTAAGACTGAGATATTTATACGCAGACTGCAGAGTTCAGGACCATGGAGGGCTATGACCTCCATGGTTTCAGGATCTTTCTCAAGGACTCTTGGACATGTGTGTACTGGGATTACCTGGGGACAAAGGTCCTATCTCCCCCCATGAAACCACCTTCTCTACCTCTGACCCACATCTGCCTTAATGTCAGTTTAAGTTGAACCACTAAAAGCACAGGTACTAAAAGGGTCTCGAGCATACTGAAGTTTTTCAGCTCAAAGCTCCTAAATTTATGTTAACAGAGTCAGCCCTGCAGGCATGAGCTCGGTTTGTCGGTAAACACTTGTATTAGCTGAACAAATGCCTGAAGAGAAAACAGAAAATGGATAAAAGTCCAGTTTTAAATGTTTATTGAAAAGAAAAATTATGGATCTAACATCATTTAATGTGTGGAAAAGATGCTCATTGAGCTCATTATGTTTACCGAAGCTTGTATGTTCACATTAATACACCAGTTCATGATGATTTATGACTCTGAATGGGGAAATCCTGTATCAGTATTTCTAATCTACTTTTTTTTAACTATACTATCAGTTTAGTCATTTTTACTGTACTCCTTTTGTAGAGCTGTGTTGCGCCCTTTATTTTAAAGAAACTTTCTGTATGTATTGACCTTGGCGCCCCCTTGTGGACAAAGTGACAACCCATATATTGTTGCTGGTTTTTATACTTGAGAAAATGTAAATTCATTCAAGTAAAACCTTTAGTTGTCTGTTTATGGTATAATTCATCACTCACTATGAAAAAAGTAACAAAGGCTGTTTCCTCATGCACACCTACCCCCTCACAGCAGTTACAGACACTAACAATAACATTAAAGACATTATCAAACTCTTCTTCAATGGGCTTGTTCGCTTTTTCACACCGTAGAGATGCATGACAGTTTGAGTTTATTTCAAAACATATCAAAAGCTGGGTTTTTAAAGCACATTTTTTGATTTTGTAGAAATAAATCCAACACTTTCACGTCGCTAAAATGATTTATGGAAATACTTTTACTCCCTCTGGGTCAGTGAGAAACTTCATCAAAACTAGTAAGATAAAATTATCAGTATTTGCTGAGAACAGATCTTGAAATTCTTGCACAGAGAAAGAAAACCGCCACATGAGAGAAGTAGTAAATACTTTTTATTAAACATTAAACCGTTAAAACACGTAATCATCAGAATAAGACCCCGCTACTCTAACTTTCAGCTCTATCACATCAGATCTGTTCTAGAAGGTTTAAGAGCCTTTAAAACAAGGAAAACTCCCGTGGTAGCTGGAGCCTGCCAATGGAAACATGTGGTCCGGCACAGCTTTAACTGGACAGGATGAGACTTTAAATAGATAATCTACAACTATTGCACCCCAGAGCTGTGTAAAAAAAACAGGAGGTCTAATCTGTTTCAACACAGTCTCATGTATAGCTTCATTTTGACAACCAACCAACCAGGAAATCAGCTGTACCATCTCATGGTTCACGATCTCAGAATAACTGTTTGTACAGAAATCATCATTTTTTTTGATTAACCACAGACAGAACTCAAATGATATAAAGTATTAAATTAACAGATTCGATTAATGCTTGGGAAAACTTGGGAAATAAGTTGACTATTTACAGTTTAAAGTGTTTTTTTTTTTTTTTTAGATTAAATTATCTGGTCCTGTAACAGCAGAGAAAGAAGAGAGAAGAAAAAACCCAAATGCTCCAGACTTTGACTTTGAGACATGCACATTTCCCTGTTTGAGAAAAAACTTGTCTAGTTATTATATGTAACTTTAGGAGCAGCTATTTGACCTGATTCAATGAGGGCGAGTAAAACCATAAAAGGGGGGCTGTGAGAAAAGATCTTAAAGTTTTGACCCTGGTGGTTTGTTTAGGGATCAGAGTATCAAAAGTAGCACAAACTGTAGAAAAATGGTATTTGGTTCGATGATACTGTAGCACTGACCTACTGAGCTGCAGTTTTATGGCGCACATGTGCTAAACAACTGTTGCTGTGCGGTATTTACAGCATTCAAATACCTCTCTTCTTGCAAGGGAAATAAAGTAGTGCTAAGTGCATATCTTTAAGATGAGGAATTTCAGTGGGTTGGTTACTACTGCATAGTCTAACTACCAAGAAATAGGAACCGCTTTGAAAGTAACAAACTCATAAATCAAAACATACACAGAAAACATAAGAACAAACTGTGACCTCAACTCGCTCTAGACTGACCAAGATCCAATCGAAGGAAAAATAGTCGCCCGTGATCTTTAAGAGCCGCTAATTTGTGTCTTTTAAGAGGTGATAACGCACAAAATAAACATGATATTTTGCACAATCATCAGCTCCAGTCACTCTGATCACTGTCTCTCTGACTGGAGAGACCGATGACAGTGAAACTGTTCTTAGTGTGTTTTTAGTTCAAATTCCAAAATGACTCGAATGAAAAAAATGTTATCATAATGGAGCCTGATAAACATCCAAACTACAATACTACAGATTTCCCCGGACAATAATGACGTGCCTTAGTTTATGCATTTAATTAAAATGATATAACAGATATTTCTTACGTGACCACTGACTGTTTATGATTTATTTATGTAGATATGTTCATGATTTGTGTGAGTGTTTACGGCTTGTCAGTAGGTTTGACTATAGGAGGCAGCGGCGCGCTGACGGGAATCACTCCGGTGGCGAGAAGGATGATGATGAGGACGATGATGAGGACGACCACCACGATGACCACGACCAGCTTCACGTTCTTCCACCAGTAGTTGCGGGCGACTTTCTGAGAAGTCTGCTTAAAGTTCTGCGCCTGAACGAGGTAAAACGACATTTAGTCTGCAGTTCTTGTTGAAACACTTTAGTTATCTCAACTGTTGACCCTCAAACTCACTAATTTTATAACCCCCTTCAAAGAATAACACAGTGAACTTTTTCATGTTGTGCATGAAGAGACAGAGCGCCAGTGCAGACCCCCTGTTCTAGTCTTACGAAACCTAAGAAGGTTTGCTGGGTGCCAGATTATTATCAGGAGTTGATCACATGTACTCAAATATTTTCAGGGGCTGACAAATTCTAACCACCAGGCTTATTCACACAAAGAGGAGCACACTTCAGCAGAGCATCAGCTTTTTTTCCAGTCTTAAGCAATAATAATAATAATAACAATACCATCCTGTGGCCTTCTTTCCCTCGAGTTCAGAATCTGAAATTTAAGGTCTTGTATGGAGGTGTTTTAATTCAAGGTTAAGGTTTTGAATTCAGCCCCACGTGGAGGATCTGCACAGGGTCTGTGAAGGTGGGATGCTGCTATGATGACACTGCTAGAACCTTGTCCAAACAGAAGGAGGCGGTGCTTTAGCGGGTTATCAAAATGTGAGTGTCATCCCCTCTTTATCCAACCTCTCCGCTATTTCAAGATACCCGGAGAAAGAAGTGTCTTTTTCTTCTTAGCAACAATTCATTTGAGGATTTTCAATCACAGTGTAGAGTCCTCTAAAGCACTGAGAACAAATGATCTTCTCTCTGTGCTTGTCTGGTTAGATCTGCTGCTGCATTCAATAGGACTAAAAATCACAAGGATAGCTGAGTTTAGCTGAGTTGAAATCCCACTTTTTGGGTAGATCTCAGATTGCATATATAAAGTTCTCTGTGCAATCATCTGCAAAAATGAAATACTGTGGAATGAACATCACCACACCCAGACGTATGTTCAGATGGAAACAAAAGTGCTCACACTCCTATCCACCTCTCCTTTGTAATGTGTCAAGTCTTGAGCATTAATTGGCCTGATTGTTTCCTCATTAGTCATAGCTTACTAACATCTTCATAACAAATGCACTGTACCCACACCACAAGTACATCTTAGGGTCTTAACATTGTCTGTCAGGAGACTTTTGCAAACACATAAATATGAGCGATTGTGTCACTACTGACCCCCGCTTGCAGGTCCTCTGACTTGTCCATGAGATCATCCAGTCTCTCTCCTCTGGCCAGGATCCGGTCTACATTCTGTGTCATGATGTCTTTCACCCCATCTACCTGATCCCTCAAGGCCTGCACCTTGTCCTTTGACTCTGGTTCTGATCCCATGGCTCCTTGCTCCTGGGATTGGAAACAAAGATGATTGAAGAACAGGAGTTGGAAACACACGTTAACACCTGTCTGTAACACCCAGACCTTACCCAACAAAGACAGTCATAGCTGTTATATAAGTATTGTAGCGCACAGATTGCACTATGAGGCTTTTCTCAACCTTGTGGCAAAACAAGAAAAAATTATGAGTCACTTAATCCTTGTAACACTCAACTGGACTTGGCAAGTCTTTGAATTGTTAAGATGTGTGTGCTTTGGATGGTGAGAGTGGTATTATCTTTGAGCGTGCATGACAACTGTTAGTGGCTTTGAGAGACCATTCAGTCCTGTGAGCTGCTGCACGTGACAGCACAGCCGACTCACCGTTATTCTTCTTACTTCTCCAGTTACTGCTATACACTTCCTAACTAATTGTAAGGATAAGCAGTTGTCTGGAAACAGTTCATAGTGGGATTTCAATGCCAAAAAGTTGAGCTGGTTATCAACAGTGTGATGTTTGTTCCTGGTGATATGCATACAATGTCTGCCATGTCCCATGAGTCAGCATCAGGGTGTAAACAGAGCTGTCTCTAGGAAACAGAGTTAGTTTTGCAGCGTCACCTTCCGTTTGCCCTCCCGCTCATCGCCCTGATCTTCTCCCCCTCGGCTCCATTTCCTTTAGAGCTGTTAGTTCATGTAGTATCATCGAATTCACATCTACAGACCTGCTTTTAGTATTTTAGGAGCTTAATTTTCCGTTTCTCCTGTGTTATCACTTTTATTTGCATTCCTATCACTTTTTTTTAACTCTCCCTGCAAGACTGATTCTTTCTCCTGATACCAGCATTCATTTTGGGTTAGTGAGGCTCATTGGATGGTTAACAGCTATCAAATATCAGCATTCACAGAGACAAATAGAGCTATACTATCATTAAGTACGTAAAAGTCTATATAGAAGTATAATTCCTCTGTTAAAACTGTGGGAGATGTTGAATTATGCAAGAAGTGCATTTCTCTACTCTGCATGGAAAATAATTTTAAACTTTTTATGATTTAGTACGGTGGCTTTTTCTCTGCAGATGACACGTTAAGCTTTGAAAAGCATGAGGAAACTTTAAGGAGAAAAAGAGAAATGAAAAATGTTTCTGAAACAAAGAAGCCAAAAGATATTCCCATACGTTGGCGTACGCTGCAAAAACTAACCACTGCGTATCTCCTATTCTAGTCAAATGCGAGCTAACTAATCTGTCGAGTGATTTGAACTGAACACCTGCAGAGAGTGCAGTTTTATTTCTCGAGGCACCACGATGAGGCCACAGGCAAATACTTCTCGTGGCTTATCAACTAAACTGAATGAATAGCGTATGTATATATGTTTTATGAATACTGTTGAAGGTTGAAGCTGTGGAGTGGATTTTTACAGGTGTTCTTAATATTTTGCCCCCACTCATGTTTGTAAATGTAGTGGAAAAATATAAGGACCTTTTAATATAACACATTCCAGTGGGGGAGAGTGGGGTAAGATGAGCCATTTTTCATATTTCAGATCACTACATCAAGACAATCATAGTTTTATCTCCAACTAGTGTATCTGAATATATTTGAAGATGTTGTTCATCCCTGCAAACCAACAGAATGAGTGTAAAAATAACTGACTTGATAAGATAGCATGTCAAAAAAAGTGGTCTCCTATGGTCAACCTACCCTGTGTATGGGGTAAGTTGAGCCGTATCCCTACTACCCCCCACTCTAAACCCCAGCCCTCCCTTACCTTCTCTTTCTCTAAATAACAGTCACTTCTTCACATTCATGTGTATTTTTATACACTATTCAACTGGTACAAGAATTCTTTTTATTATTAATACATATAACTGCTAAAAAGCTGTTTTTTAAAAAGTCATTTTAACATGAGAATGTCTTTAAGTGATTCAGAACATTCACAGATCTGTATTTTTGAAAAGAAAAAGTCAAACATTTCAACAATCTGAACTGAAACTCTGATCCTCTCATCAGACTCCTTTACTTTCTCAGTTACCCCTGAACGACAATCATGACTTTATTAGTCCTTTAAGCTAAAATGGTGGTTTTAGACCTCATGTTGTAGCTCATAGATACCACAATTTATGTATAAAACAAATCTAATGTGATCTTTTTTGGTCTGAACACAATTCTAATAAAACTTATGACAGACTAACTTCACTTTCAAGAGTGAAATTTTTTTTTTGTTGTTGTAAATAAATGTCTGACTCCTTCACCTATGTCCTTCTAACCTTCACAGACTCCATGAACTGATGCCCATCTCTTAAATATTTGGTCACATGATCAATTTCTTTCACCATTTCCAAGCAACACGGGGTGGATCAACTTACCCTTTGGCTCAACTTACCCCACTCTCCCCTACCAGCATGACCAACCACTATGTCTCATCTAGTCTAGACTGACCAGATGTAAGTTTTTGTCAGACTTGTTTATGAATTATAATTATGAAGCTTAAAAATATGGCACAGGCCTAGTTTTATCTTTTCCGGTAAACAAACATATTAACATGAAGTCTCTGCATTGTTGTGTGGGGTTTGGCTTACTTCAAGGTGCCAGGTTTAACCAACAGTCATGCATAAAAGAAAAGAAAACACTTTTAGAGTTTGGTGATTAGTACAGCAGTAACCCTCATAATAGCTGTTATTTTAAAACCTATTAATCGTATTAAACTAGTTTTAAAAGCATTTCCATCCTGGACTGTATGGACTAAGAGCAGCAGCAGGTGTAATTAGGCCATTTTGTTCGAACGGTATGTAACTTCTCTGAACCTCTAACACAAGTTAAAGCGCTCACTCACTAACTTTACTTTAATGATAAGTTCAACAGGTGAATCTGAAGTTATGGGATCACCTGTTGCGTGCTGGGTCTGACGTTACTCATTGAGACGGCGGAGAGACTTTCCGATCAACAACAACAAAAGCTGGAACATTTTGGACCTACCGGATCAATGTTCATCTTGTTGGAGTCGATGCCCGTCGACCGGAACCAAATGGATCAAGTTTGTTTCAGGCTTCTCAAGTGTTTTATATTCTTCAAAAAGGTTTGTTTAAGTCCAGTATTCCGCCGATCCAACAACGTTTCCTTCTCGGTTAAACTTCCTGGTTGTTTTTTTTCCTTCCAACTTAATTTTGTCGCCTAAGGAGTAAAACACGCCTCAACACGACGACGACTTCCGGTCTAGATTTCAAAATAAAATATGAATAACGCAAAAGTGACCGAGTGATAAGATAAAAAGGTAACACTGTACAATAACCATCATTTATAAATGGTATAAACCATCATTTATAAATGGTAAATAGATAGTTTATTAATATAGTTATTAGTTAGTTTATTAATATAGTTATTTGTTACTTTCCCATTAACAAGCAATGAAATGATGACTAATAATTTTTATTAATTAATAATGGACTATTTATTAATGGTTTATATATTGGTTGTAAAACATCTAGATTAAAATGTGTGCAAACATTAATAAACTATTTGCTTACCATTTATAAGTCATGGTTATTGTAAAGTGTTACCAAGATTAAATAATCATAATGAAATGGCTACTGGTTGAAACATCGACAGGTCTGTATTTCATTCGATACATTTTACGATCACTTATTTATTTAGTTTATTTTACCTTCAGGAAATTTATGATTATTATAACCTTTATTTAACCAGGTTTGTCCCACTGAGATCCAAGATCTCTTTTGCAAGAGATACCTGACCAAGAATGGCACCACATAGTTTCAATACATAATCACATAAATCATCTATAATACAAAGAATAGAAATAATAATTGAATTTTCAAAGTTAATTAAAAGAATTTACAAGATTCGTCAAACATTTGCACTGAAATAAAACATTTTTTTCTGAAGCCTGGATGTTATGAAATTTATCATGGATTTGAATACATTCAGAGATACCAGACTTGGAGTTTCAGGTCTGATTGTAAGATCTTCCAGAAAATCTAAAAGTTTCTTTCCCCATTTCTGTTCTGACCTTAGGAACAGTAAAATAATTAATATCCTGGGAGTGGAGACTGTAGAGCCTATTATTCAAGATTAAAAGAGATGATAAATGAGATGGAGTCATCTGAAGAATAGCCTTATCAATCAACACGTACCAAAGACCGAGCTGGCGTACATATAAAGACGACCAATTTGCTGTATAAGACACAATGATGTGTTAGAGCTCCACAGTTTGGAGGCAATGAACAGAGGCATTCATGTATAATACATCACCGCAATCAATAATTGGAAGGAAGGTTCCACTAGTTTCTGTTTCACCCTAAAAAGAAGAGCAAGACAAATCCAAGTAAATCTTCTCTACAGTTTACTGAAATCACATCTTCTGATCGATGAAATTATATCTGAACTCAGTCTCTAAAAATGTGCTCTTATTTTGAAGGTAACTCTTCGAGGCTCATTTCCTTTCTTATTCAGTACTGTATTGTGACTGTAAGGTGATGAGCTCGATTTCACCTGAGGAATGGCGCTGCAGCCAGGTGTTCCCATTCTATATTTATCCGTCCTTGGTCTTCAGTTGGAAGAACAAAATCAGACAGTTTAGTAACATTTTGTTGAGTCTGTTTTAGTTTTCATTAACCCAACAGACTGAGTAGAGAGCTCAGGGGTTGCAAAGACACATGAAGTAATGTTTTCTTCAGTTTAGTCCTTTCCTTGTGATGGCCTATGGTGCTTAAAACATTAATTTGTCTGATTAAATCTTGTTCAGTACAACTATTTGTTTTGCACATGTAGCTGGCTTTATAACCCAACTTGTTCTGCTAACAATAAAATGCCATAAATACTTTTGGTTAAGATAAAACACCAGTGTTCAAAATTAAAATCTATAAGTGATGAGACTGTACAGGCCATTATCATTGACATCAGTTTCATAGTCTGCCAGACATGTGGCTCCTCCTTGTTCCTTGAGGACTGATGTCATACAAAGTCCCACCCAACCGGCACCTCCACCCCTGACCAACCGGTTCCACCTCTATCTTGTAGGAGAGTAATGACGCCTTAATGCCGATCATTTCCTGCTGTCAAGTCAGACCAAGGCTGAATCACACGACATGGAAACATAAATGAATTATAAAAAGTTTATCTGCTAGACTGGCCGCCTTCCTGGATAACAGACTATAGGAGACCAAGATCTATTGTTGAGTAAATATCCAGTACAACATGTTTTAGAAAAGGCTTTTATTTGTCTTGACAATATACACATTTATTTTCGGCAGCTGAGGGTTAACTTATCCACATGCACACACACACACACACACACGCACGCACACACACACACACACACACACACGCACACGCACAAGCTAGAGGACGATAAAAATGACAGCTGTTAAAAAAGGGGCAAAGGCCTTGGAAACGGTTCTTGATTATGTTTTTGCCAGAAAATAGAATCATACAATCTAATAAAGATGGTCACGGAAAAAAACAATCAAATATTATACAAGAGAGAGGTAAAGTAGTGACTCCGTTCAACAGCCATAATATCTCCTTTCCCTTTAGTGGCCTTGTTTGATGATGATGTCTGACATGTCATCAACTTTCACCAGCTCCAAGTTCTGTTAGACACAAAACACATTCATTAATATTATCGAAGTATTCAGTATAACTACAAATAAAGACAAGATAAAAACATATTTCTAAACAAATAAAGACTTTTTCTAAGTTTAAAGTTTAATGAATATCGAAAGTTTAGGGCTCTTGATATGCTAACAGGATGAAAAAGATAGACTGTGTATGTGTATTTTCATGTTTGGTAAAGTAAAGAGAGACTACAACTATGTGAATCGGAATCATGCCCAAAATGATTCAAAACCAGCTTTGTCTCTTTGCACCTTTTACTTAAACTTTCAAGGACTTGAAGTTTTGTTTTCACTGAGTAAAAAAAGGCAATATTGTAAAAAAAAAAAGAAACAAAACTCACCTTTTCATTTGCAAGATGAAGCAGAGCAACAAACGCCAGGGGCACCGAAAGGTTCTGAGCCATTGTACTGGGCAACCTAGACGCCACAGAATACAGAGATGGTTAAAGATATACACCTCGGATACCTTTGTGCCAGTCTGACCGGCACAAATATGAACATAGATCATACAGACTACAGGATTACTACATGACGGAACAGCTCTAAATAAGAATGAAGATATGTTGGAGAAGAAAAACATTTACAAATGAATTGGCATGCAGAGTCCTAGGGTTTTTGTAAACACAATTCAGTTATTATTATTCCTCATTAGTCAACAGTCATTAGTAGGCTTGGTCAGATGTCTCCTGGTACCTTTGTAGCAAGGTCTTCGTGGTCTGACTGAAGACTTTCTCCCCACACACCTCCGGCTTCTCAACAGTTGTCACCTCCTGCAGGGCATAAACATTCATGATCAACTGACAATACTTCACACAGACACACACATTCTATGACTGTGGCTATGTGGCTTTTTTAAAAAACCCAAATCTGAGCAAAGACTCAGGAAAATGTATCATGCTACTTTTGTTAACAACTGAAGACAAGAGGTAGATAGATATCTATTCTAATGGAAACGTTTACCTCTGTTTTTTTTTCTGGGCTGTCGGTCAGAAGAGTCCACATGCTGTTCTTGAGTCTTTTCATGTCCATTTTCTTGGCTGTCTTTGCATAATTGATCTCAATCTTGTTGACCTACACAAACATGAAAAGGCATTAGCATAGAAAAAAGGCATTTGTGTACATTATATCCACAGCGAACTTTTTAAATGTCACAAATTATAAAAACAGTTTACGTCCACTTAAAGCCACACATAGTATGTCATAACCCCGTGTAACTCACCCTGTGCGGTTCAGGTACCAGATCCTCCTCGCCATAGGTTGAAACACCCTCTAGATCTTGTGAGGGTGGGAGTGTCGGCTCATTTGAAGGCTGTGTATCATCTGAGATGGCATCATCATCATCGCTGTCACCACCCTGAGGAGGAGGATTCAAAAAAACAGCTGTCAAAGGCTGAAACACAGAAACTCTGTTTTCATCCAGTGAAAATAAAATTCAAATAAAAGAAAGAGGAATGCATACCTGAAGACCCGGACAAAAGTTGGCGGTGTCATTGGGGTTGTTGTAGTCATAGTCTCCAATACCTTCCCCAAGCTCTCCAGACAGCCTCTTCTGACCCTCTTTACTCAGCTAGAAGTCAACCAACAAAAAATCATTCATTTTTAAAAGCAGATCAAGTCTATTTGTGTTTTTTCAGGGCATATCCTATGAGGCTGAATAGAAGTTAATAAAGTTGTTTTACATTTATGATACTTTCTGGACATATTTGTATGAATTCAGGATGAAGCCAAAAAAAAATCAGTCCTCAGATATCAGATTTTTGGATTTTCATCATTAAACCTGTAAATAATCAATAGATGAACCAAACTGTTTTTTTTGTGTCTGTACATTTTGCATAACCAAAAAGAGGATTTATTTACACTCAATGACCCCAGACTGACTCTAATTCCCTACTCGTCCTCAAAGTCATGACCCAAAGCAGTACAACCATTCAGAAGAGGAACTCACCGAGCTGGAGGGCTTAAAGTTCAGCTGAGAAAGTGTTTCTGGAGGGAACTGGAAGTCAGCAGGTAGAGTTGTTTTCTTGTTGCTGGCGCTGAGGGCGGACTTGCTGTTTGTTGTGGCAGCCTGTAAAGAAAAAGTTGACAAACTGAACTTTGTGGTTGCAGTATCTCCTGTAAATCTCCTGTAACTTTTGGATTGTGATGGATCAAGCTCAATACTGAAGAAAAAAGAGAACTGTCTCGATTTTATCAACTAACTTTGACAATGAGATCTAAATTTTACAGAGAGCATGGGAATATAGATTCATAGCTATTAAGGTAAGATACACTCAGTAAAATTGTGGAATAACAATGGCAGCAGGAGGACTTACTCTTGTGGTGCGAAAGTAGGTATCAAAGTTGACGTCATCGTTGAAGTCTATTTCGAAGGTCTTCTTGGGCTTTCTTTTGCGGGTCTCCTTGTCAGGCAAATGGTCCACTGTGGGATATTGATTAAAATTAATCATCATGTTCATCCATGATTGTTTCTCTGCAGACCCAGGGTGATCAAAAATCAAATCAAATCAAATCAAAATACTCTCGGCCCTCAGGATGGGGCATTTCTATTTTCATCCTCATTCTGACAACATGAGCGTCTGTTATCGTGAATTAACAAAGACTTTCACTCACACTTGTGCTTCGGCTTGAACTGCCAATAGCCAGGTCCGGCCCACGTGGCCATGGTCCTGGGGCTGAAGTATGAGTACTCCCTGGGTTGTGAGGACAGCTGCAGACACATGGTGGTAATGTCTCCCTCTCCAATGGGAATCACATCCCTGTAAGAGTTTGAATAATTCAGTTAGTTTAATAAATACAAAGCAAATTTATTTTTGATCCCTGAAACCAAAGTGAGGGGTTAGAGTTAGACCACATGACTGGGCCGGCTGAAGAGATAACTTTTTATACCTTTAACACAGTTGATATCCACAGGAAATGATGCATTTCTTAGTTAAAAGACAATAAAATGAGGTTGATGTCTCAAACAATGAGATAAGAGGTATCACTTTATCCACAGGGGGGCGCCAATTTCAACACAGACCAAGAGTTTTCTCACAACCATTCTTACCGTCCTTTGCCAGAGCCTGAGGCTTCACAAGCTTCCTTGTGCTCCTCAAAGTCACCCTGCCCTTCCTCATAGTCTGCATCAAAGTCAGGACAGTCCTCCTCTTCAGGCTCAGGCTCAGCATTCAGGTCAAACACATGTTCACCTTCTTTCATCTTCTCCAGGAGCTGATTCATAGTCTGAAAGGGACAGCACAGTGAGATCGAAAGCACGAAAAAAAATCCAAAAAAGTTTGGGCTCTTTGAAATGTTAATGAAGACAACCTTCGAAAGTTTGCAAATCTTCTGAGACCCACATGTGATTGAAAAAAAGGGCAATTTCCACCAAAAGTTCTCCTGTAAGTGAAACCAAGGAACAACAAGCCAACAGTACCTGCAAAGTCTATCTAGTCTGACAAACATAACTGTGGATCTGTTTGACCTGATTTCTCACTGGATAGCCCTGAATATGTCATTTTTGTCCAAGTATAACAGGAAAACTGACAGCTGGCTCAGCTGTTACTGGAGCACAGGACCAAAGAAGGCTGGATTTAAGAAGACTCAGTTAATTCATATAAGAGGTTCTGACCTGCTCAGGGTTCCAGCTAGTGAATGAGAAGTCCTGCAGGGATGGGCAGATGGAGCTCTTCTCTTGGGCATGCTGAAGTGCAGCTTGTGGAAACACAGCAAAGGAAAATAGTTCTTAAGCATCTTTCTGAGAAACAGCTCAAAGTGAAGTGACACAGAAACCCAGAAAATCCCTTTCTCTGACAGTTTTTAATGGGTACCTGATGATTCATGTTAATGAAGGGCTACGTGTGTTTTGATTTTGGTTGATGTTTTACCTGTAAATGGAGATGCACTGACTCCCTGAGGAGATGGAGGAGAATAATTGGGTTTGGACTGCAGGAGCGTCATGTAGGAGGGAAACAGCAGCTCGCCGCGATTGTTCTCGCTGAAGAGAACTGACAGGAAGACGCCTGCTGTGCTGCTCTCATCAAACGATGAAGCCATTCTGTGAAACATCGGGTCCACCTAGACAGGTAAAAAAGGACAGTGAAACATGTGCGTGACACCAAAACCTTTGCATAGGGATATGATGTGGATAAGTCTTCCTGCTGTCCTCTAAACATACCTCACACTTCCTCTCAGACTCGGCACTGTTGATGTTGCTCAAGTTCTGCTCCACAGTCCTCTTAGGAGGCCTCTTTTTCTTTGGCTGTTTGGCAGTCCCCTCAGCACCTGAAACCCCTTCATCTCCATCCTGCCCCCTCTGACCTTGGTCTGTTCAATCACAATAGAATAAGAGAAACACAGGAAACGATGAGGGTGAGTCATGATTTACATCGATACTACACCCTTAATTTACTGTAATTTAGTGTATGAACAGGGTTGGGTATAGATATCAATGTTAAGGTACTTACCCTCTCCAGGTTTGGTCTCAGCCCCCAGGCCACCCAGCACTCTGTAGGCATCAGCATGAACAGCATCCACCCTGACAGCATAGATCTTTGTACTGGCATCCAAAGTGCCAGCTGCTACCTTTAGGCAACACAGAAACAAAACAGATCAATCACACTGGCTGCTTGGATCATAAATATGAGGAGCGATCAGCAAGTTATTATCATGTAAAACCTAAACAATTAGACTTCAAAACATACACTAAGAAGTAATTATCTAATGTGATGTATGTCTTATTATGATTTAAAGAATAAAAAGTAAATTCCTGTTGCTTTAATTTAACAATTATTCAAGTTACTTTTATTTTCCATCATGAATTAATAAAGCAAAGATTATTAACTACTTGATTTTGATATCTGAGAGGTAATGTTAGACCAGATTTCAAAGCTCATTTGATTTTCAGAAAAAACACCAACATACAACACACACACAGATCCCATATGACTACACTACACAAGTATTAGTTTCAGCTATCTTGTAACTACAACAAAGACAGCTGCAACACATAAGATATAACAGCATTTGATCTTTAATAAACTCAAGACCCTCAAAGATGTGATGAGAAGTGGATAAAAAGGCTTTCAGACCTTGAAATTCGTGAGTTCAGAGTCCTTCTGTTTGAGGATATCAGCCATGTAATCAATCAGATGCAGACCAAAAGCATTTTTGGTCGTGATTTTCTGCCAAAAAGAGAAAAGTTTTCGTGTTATATTTTATTTCTGAGCATCATAACCACACTTACTAACACAGAAGGAATAGACACACACTGAGAAGAATCTTAGAGACAGGAAAAATGTAAGATATGCAGGAAAAAACTTTGCGTTACCATTGTGCATTTAAAATACTGCAAGTAAACCAACTTACATTCTCAGTAGACAGTTTTATGCAGGTGGAGTAATGCTCTGAAATTTGAGCATTTGACAACTTGGGCACAGCGGCAGGAGTCCCTCCAGCACTGTGTGCAAAGAGATAAACTTTAGGCCTTCGAGACGTATGTAATGAAACAAAGTAAGCCATGGTTTTTAATGTTGTCATACATCAAAAACAGCTCAGTTGTCTTACAAATAAAGTGTGAAAGTCTGTCACCAAACTCAAAACAGAGGTATGGATATGATCGGCATATTCCTGAAACTTACCTTTGTGTTGCAGAGTCATTAAAAGAGGAGTCATTTGCAGTTTGAAGGTCAATGACTCTCGATCTTCGCCGCTGACGTCGTTCTTTCTCATCATCATTGCCGGGAAAGGCTGCCAGCAGTGGGGTGCTGCAAGTTGCGGGAGAGAATCCCTTACTTTTCATGGCAGATGATCCCCATCCTGACTGAACCCGGGAGACGGGTGTTGAAGCTGCACTCATTTTGGCTCTGCACAGGCAAGGATACAACCAGAGAGACATGTTACAACAAATCCAAGATTCACTTCATCCAATCCAATCATCTTTATTTATATAGAACATTTTAAAAACATTCAAGTTTATCAAAGTGCTGCACAATAAAATTAAAGAACAGACACTGTAGGAAACACCAAGAGGAAGTAAATAAAAGCAGGTAAAAAAATATTTATAATGAAATAAAAACACAAAAGCGTAAGAGTGATAAAAGGACAGAGATCACACAACTGTAAATAAAAAAGCCAGGATGATGGGGGAATTCTTTAAAACATGCAGAGAAAAACAAACAATAAAGCAGTCATACATGAAAATAACATATTGATTCATTAGATATGCAGTAATGAATAAATAAGATGAGGCAATGACTAAAAAAGGTAAAAGTCTCATCCACAGAGCAAAGTGAAATCATCTTTGGTATCTTAGATTTTCATGGTTTTGACAGGATGTAAATCAGTAAAAAGATAAACTTACGTTGATGTATTAATATAGAGAAAGTCGCAGTGTATTAAAGGTCAAAATTGAATTTGTAATAATAATTTTAAGGCATACAAATTCATTCAGTAACCTCCCGACAGATTCTTTTAGTCATTTGTCGAAGTTCGGATCTCCGTTTTCTCTGAAATTATCTCTAAAAGTCGAAAACAAATGAAATCAGTTCACCGTGATCACACTGATAAATATAAATCTGACACGAAGACTTTTTTCAAATCATAAAAACGTGATCTGATCACTGAATATCCTAAAAAACAAAGACAGAAAGACTCGGTTTGCTCCTTTTTAAGTTAACTTCACGTTAGCATAACAGAGCTGTTAGCATTAGCCGACATAAACGTGTTCTCATTGTTTAACATTGTAGCTCGCTAACCCATAAAAGCTCACCCCAGAATTTGCTCGCTTGGGCCAACATACCTGGGATCGATTAAAATCCAACGTGGTTTCTTTAAAAAGTGGTAATTCTCGCTTTAGTTTGTAGTATAGCGGGCGAGTACAGAGCCAGCTGTGGTTTGTCTTCCTGTGTACCGTTTGAATTTTGCGCCGGACGGTTTACGTAATACCGCTTACGTCATGACGTCAAACAGTGCCGCTCTCCAACAAGCTGAAAAGACTCACAGAGATAAACTCTTTATAAACGCTTTCACAAATATATATATCTATGAAAAGACTCCTGTAGTTTTAAAAAGTCTGCTTCAGAATATATTTAGAAATTCAGAAAATAATTGTGCTGTAGCAGAAATTTCTATAAAACTGTCAAAGCTTTGAAATCATGCAAAAAGAAGTCTCAAGTGGTGACCGTCCAGGCAACTGGAGTAGGGAAGACTGGGGTAAGTTGAGCCACAGGGTAAGTTGATCCATCACCTGTTGCTTGGAAATGGTAAAAGAAATTGATCATGTGACAAAATATTTAGGAGATGGGCATCAATTCATGGAGTCTGTGAAGGTAAGAAGCACATGGGTGAAGGGGTCAGACATTTATTTCCCCCCCCAAAAAAAAACATTTTTCACTCTTGAAAGTGAATTTAGTCTGTCATAAGATTTGTTAGAATTGTGTTCAGACTAAAGAAGATCATTTTAAATTTGTTTTGTACATCAATTGTGGTATCTATGAGCTACAACGTGAGGTCAGGCTTACTCCGTCCTGGAGTTTATTGGTGAAGGCTGCTTTGGCAAAGTGGCCAAGTGCCTAAACCTTCAGACAAGAGAGACATTGGCCACCAAAATCCAGAAAAAGAGGCCTGGAGTGATCCATGACGAGGAGAAAGAGGTAGACTTAAGGACTCATTTGATTCTGCAGAGTTTGATCTGCTTCAATGATAGATTTTAGACTTCTGCATCCTCACTGAGATCAGACTTTTCAAAGACACCTGTTAAATTAAACCAGATAGATGCAGTACAAACATAATCCACCAGGGAGCAGAAGACATGCTTCATCAGACCTGTGTGCGGCACATTGAATCAGTGACAAAAAGGGATTTTTTAAATAAATATTTCTGCAGATATTAAAAACAAAATAAAACAAGAAGTGCAATCACACTGATACTTCAACAGGAACATAAAGCTAAGCCTTCATAGATATATCTTTTACTGAGCAGCTGATTTTACAGTAAAAATATGTCAAATTCAATACAGTCAGACTCGATTTAGTCCTTTGCCAGTCTCTTAAACTTAATGCATCATGCTCTTCTAGTAAATAAGATATGTTTAGAGTGTAAAACGCTGTATTTAGAATATTTGTTTCATTTTGTTGTGTTCATGCCATTGTAATTTCACATAAGTGGGAGATATTGGATGTTCTCTGAGGATCATTTGCTCTTGAATTTCTTTTCCTGATTTCCATCTCAGAAACTCTCTCAGTCCTGGATCCAGACTGCTCCAACATTATCCTTATTCTCGAGAGGTTCGACCACGTGGGACAGAGCTGTCTGGCATTTGAAATGCTGAGCACCAACCTGTATGACCTGATGGCAAACAACCCGCCTCTGTTGTTAAACGCCATCAGACCGATCGCTCAGCAGGTAAGTCAGCAGTTAGATCAGCGGGTCAAAACAGAAACTGCTGAGGGCCGTTTGAGTTCAAGACCTCTGACAGCTCAGGAGCAGGATAAGAAACGTGAAGTTAGTTTAAAGGTGCTCAATGTTTGACATGTGCAGTGACATGTTTTGCTCTGGTCTGTTTGTTTTTCTCAACACTTGTGAGCTCAGGGATCCTGTCGGTGCTTCAGACTTTGTAGGAAACTTCTTTTATCAAACTCTGCAGCAGCTGAAAAACTGAAGCCAAAGTTTGTCCTCTTTTTAACCCTGCAGCTGATGGTCGCTCTGGACACCCTGAAGGGTCTTGGTATTGTGCACTGCAACATCAAGCCAGACGACATCATGCTGGTCAGTCGGGACCTGTGAAACTGATCGATTTTGGAGAAGTTGTGTAAGTCTCCAAACTCTCACGTGGTCACATGTTCCAGCCTGTTGTATACAGACTTCGCCCCTCAGTCTCCGCCTCAGTCCCCTCTAGCCGCAGCAGAAACCTTCTGAAGAGGGTTTGCAGATTCTTCAGAAGACTAAAGACGACCCTCTGTTGCTGCTGTCAGGCGGAGGAAGACTAAAACCTTAACTGTTTTATCTTGTACATGAAATGTGTCTAGTGTTTGCATTGAAATGCACAAACACAGACCTTCAATAAAAGGTTGCTGAAAATAATTTTACTGTAAATAAAACTGGATTTTATTTACTGAACATATTCGCGGTTCGAGGTATCTGAAATGTCATTATGGTGACATCATCTGTGACAGAAAATCGAGGGTGTGTGTTACACATGTCGTATATCATCCGAATAACATTTACAGCAAATCCATCTCTAAAACACTTCTCTATTTGGACTCATTTGTTGTTTCACATTTCAAATCCCTTGGGTGCAGTAGTGTGAATCTGAGTGTTTATATCTGTGTGTGCGTCTTTGCTGTGAATGTTGTACACCTCGAAGGAGAATTTCTGTTTGATTTATGATTATGGCATTAAAACCAAAACCACTCAATGTGTGTCTAACATATGCACGCAGTATATTAAAACTTTATGCAACCCCATAAACAGAAGAGGACACACACAAACACACACATATATTAATGACAACATGCAGCAGTGCCGAACAAATGAAGAGCATTCATCTCTTAAGCAGAAACCCCAGTTTGTTTTAATCAGCCGTTTGATTAATATTGCCTGTGCGGTCATTAATGGGCCATGATTACGATTATTCAGCGGCTCAGTTTGTTCCTGATATTCTTAGTTTTTTTTTTTATTATTCTGAAGAAAACTGAACATGTCCCAACTTTCTGTGTTTCATTATACTGTTTTAAAACAAGCCTGGACTTGTTCAGGTTACAATGCCAGAGTTAGGGTTTAGAGTGGAAGGCGGATGGATGCTTCTGTAATAAATAAAACATTATGAAACGTACACTCTGCTGCCCTTTTTGCAGGAAATGCATGAAACTTGCTTTAGTAACAAAGGATAACACATGAAAAAGTGCCCTCTGGATGCCCTTTCAGTATATAAAGTGTGTTAAATGGCCTCTGGATAATCTTTAACACCGTAAAGATGATTGAAATTAAGTTATTGTCTTTTAAGAGCGTCCCTGTTGGGTTGTTTCTAATTTTGCAACGTACCACGCTTAATTGAAAGGCTGATCCCCAGGGATGTTGCTCGCTCTTTGCTTAAGAGATGCTACAGTGCATTTCCTTACCACCTCTCTGTACACACTAAAAACTCTTGGGTTATTTCTTCAACCCAATTCCTGGGTTATATGTGTCGAGTGAAATTTCTGGGTTATATTCAGATCCATACCCATTTCTTAGGTCATTTGGATTCGATTGTAACCCAATTTGAGGGTTTTTTGAATGGGTTACTAATCATGGGTTATTTTTCTAGGAGTAACCCAATAATCATGTCAGAACATTGGGTTCGATTGACTCTAGGGGGTTGGGGTTCAAGTCCCCGTATGAGACACATCTGTAAGGAACGAACTACATCTACCAGTGTGGGTCCTTAGGCAAGACCATTAGCATTATGGCTTACCTCATAAATTTGAGTGCATTACCATTGAAAGCCAAATCGGCTCAGACGTCGCCCGAGTTAATAAGGTCTGCAAAGCAAAGTTCCCTAAATGCATACATCAATCTATTCCAAGATCATAAGTCAAATTAACTTGAAAATTGGGTCAACTTGACCCTTAAAAAGGCTTAATGAGTCAACCCAAAATTTGGGTTGATTTGAATATCCCAACATTCTGGGTCAAAATAACCCAATAAGTAGTGGGTCCCTTTTCAACCCTGGTGTTGGGGTTTTTAGAGTGTATGTCTTACATTTCGTCACCTTTTCATCCAAAACAAAACAAAAAAAGGCCAGGCAAGAGAGGTTTGTTGACCTGGAGTAATGGAAACCTGTGATAGAGGGAGTTCATACATGTCTCGCTGCCTGTCTGTGGATCACACTTTTACAGTTTCTACACTCACAGATGTGTACGCACAGGAACATGTAAGGGACAGATCTGAGCAAGGTGTATACGAAGTCGTTCACATGGTCTAATGGCCCCACGCAGATGCATCACTGACTCTCCAATGACCCCAAAGGATGCTATGAATACTAATGGTGCACGACGGGAAAAGTGGGTCTAAATATTGATTTGATAACCTGATTGAGGGGTAAAAAGACCATTAAAAAGACACCAGCCTATCTAAGGTCCAATTTGAGATTCTGCCCCATAGAGTCAGTTTATGGCAGATCTGAAAGCACCATTGAGTATTTGTGATGAGTTTCTGTGCATACCGCCTGGGATGTGTCGATGACGTATTTGTCTTTTTTCTTCATGTTACACACTGTGTACACCTCCACTTATAGTATGCGTCTATATTGGTATCCAGGGAGAAAGACCTTCCTGAATTTTTTTCAAGCCTGAAACAAAGATAAAGCTTATACTGTGAATGAAAAACAGTATGTGATTCTCTGAAGGAGGCGTTCTCTCAATGGAGAGAAAAATGTGGTTCCCAGGCAACAGGGTGAGATGAAAAAAAGCCATCCCACATTCATATATGAGTGGGACACCGGTAATGAATCACCTATATTTCACTTAATATGAGGAAAGAGGGGAGGGTAAAGAGCAACAGTCTTGGACATCATAGTCCAGAGAGAGGAATAGTGGCACGGCTGGTTTGTATGCAGCTCCTCACCACAGGAGCCTCCACTAAATGGTTCGTCCCTGAGGAAAAATAGCATCCCTGCAGGGCCGTCCTTTTATGGAAAAGATGAAACTTATAAGCAAATCCACGAACAGCCTTGTTGTGTGCGGATTAAGGAGAGCAAACCTGTACAGGTGAGACTGAATCTCCTAGAAAGTTCTCTCACGTCGCAGTTGTGGGGCGCTAATCTTCTGTCCTCTGTGGGGAGCACACACTCTGGTATTTTCTGGTACGTGGAGAGAGAAACAAACAGAGGAACAAACAGAGGAAAGAAAGACACAACACAACGGTCATCCTGCGGTTAAACGAGACATTTTAAGAAGTGAGACCAATCAGTGAGATCAGCAAGGAATCAGGAGCGGTGCGTGACAAACACCACCCTTTTTGGCTGCGCTACATCACTGACTGTTTTCGCTACGTGCTTCTTCAGCTCTGGAGTCTGAAGAAAATCAACACGCTGTTTAAGCTGAGAAAACATGTCAAGGTTTGGAGCAAACACCTGTCTGAGTGAACAGTTCGATGATTAGTCGCTCCCATTATTGTTCCTGTTATTTTGAAGCTGGAAGTCTCTATGTTCTCTAGAGAAACATAATAATGCACTCTTCATTGCACTCATGCTTTGTGAAAATAAAATATAGGTTTGGTTTGTTACCAATCTTTAAGAAAAACAGTCCAGTACTTTGAGTTAAGCAGTGAACCAACAGCAGCTTTCGCTCATATCTAAGGTTTGGGTTCACCAAAGCCAAACTCAAACAGTCCAAAAATTGTTACGTGGCAGCAAAAGCCGTTCGGTGATTGCTCATAGAGTTTAGGTGGGTAGACGACAAATCTCTCGCAATTTTTATTATTTATCATGGAACATCGTCTGCTCATCTTTATGTTGGTGCTGATCTGGAATGCTTATCAGAAGACTTTAACAGACCGTGCATATGAACTGCTGGGAAGACAGCAGCAATTAAATTCTGTATTAATACACACACGTCACAGGAGATGTTCTGCAGTCAGACGGTCATATCACAGAAGATGACAGGCAATAAATCGTAACTCCATGATTGTCCCCTGGCAGACATTAGTTGCACTTTGATAACTTTGCCTCTGACCTAAACAGGAAAGATGTGTGACGTGTGATTGGTGCGGATGGGGTTCACACCAGAAGTAAACCGCTCTTGAGTAGGGTGATTATATTCTGACCTCCCAAGTCACAGAGTCGCACGAAGTTGACTTTGAGAGTTTTTCGGGTTAGATTGAGTGTTTTTTATGCACTTCTAACTCACTAAGTCCATGTGACACAAAATCGAAACTTAAGTACAAAACTGCGACATTTGAAGGATTTTATCAACTTCCCTGGACAAACCCGGACAGCCCCCAAAAAGAGGACATGTTTGGGTAAAAGAGGACGTATGGTCACCCTACTCTAGAGTTCACTTGATAGCGGCCCGAGACCATCTCTACCAGGCGAACCCAAGAGTGGTTGACTGGTCCGCATCAGAGTTCGAGGCCAGCGTTCACACCAACCAAAACGAACTGCACCAAAGAGGTAAACGCTCCAGGGTTCAGTTCAACTGGACTAAACAAGGCTGGTGTGAACGCGACCAAAGTAATATTAGATCAGAAGTATCTACACTTGCGCTAAAGTGAGAGAATTACAGTATTTCCTTAAAGGGGCCATGGCATGAAAAACTGACTTTGTTAACGGGAGGGGGATGCACATCAGGGATACGTTTTTTAGTTATCTCCGTATTTAGGAACTGTTTGCTCAGAGCCGTTCTGAAAATTCCACTGACATGATGTCATGTCAGTGCTGGCGGGTTGATGGTTCTGCCCATGGAGCCGCCCACTGCCCTGCCCAAAAAATTATCAAAACAGCGCCATTACTTCCGGCCGCTCGCTCTCATTGCTCCGGTTAGAACCATGGCGGAAGTACGATCTGAAAAAGAGGCAGCGTTTGCTCTGTTGTTGGCTGCACAAACGAGCACAAAACTCTTTTGAAAACTCCCTCGTCGGAGGATTTGAGGACTCAATGGGTGGATTTTATTTCTAATGGGAATGTACCCGCGGCACTTCCAAAATATCTGTACGTATGTGCGCACCATTTCACTTCGGACTGTTTTATCAACGAGGGACAGTTCAACGCTGGATTTGCTAGATGTCTGAAGATAAAGAATGGATCCGTA